CGGATGAGGGTCTATTGGTAGAATGTCTGGTCAGTTTGGTGTTGTTGCGGAATGTTGACGACAGAATGCGATGGCGATGTGCAGCGCAATGCGAGAGCGGTGCCAGAAACAAGGGCAATACGAAAGGTGATGGAGGAAATTTGCCGCTGTGGCCGACGTCAAGATGCGCACCATCGGCCAGCTAAGACATGGATCCATCAAAAAGCACCACCTAACGCTCCGGGGCCCCTCGTCGCAACACGTTGACAAATCGACCGTAATCCTGTGCGTCGAGGTCTCGACTCACCCAAGAGAGATAAGAATATGATTAAGCTTCGTCGGTAACCTTTTGCCGCTTCGTTGGGAAAGTGAGCGCAAGGCAAGGTTTACGTTTACTCGCCACGGGCCGTATTCTCGGGAATAAACCACGCGAGGGTCTCGGAGGGACGGAGAAAAAGTGCGAAGAATTAAAAAAAATCGCAAGAAGTCGGTGACGAGACGAGAGACGAGTTTAACACGACGGACCGGAAGAACGCTTGTCGAGACTAAAGCCGCTGCAAGGCAGACGGAAAAATCGAGGCGGAGGAAGAAATAGGAAGAGGTACCGTAAAGGTAAGAGGGAGAAGGGAAAGGGAAAAAGGTGGTGGTGGTTTAAGATGATGAACGACTCGTCGACTTGGACAGGGCGTGACGGGATAGGTTGGGTTAGAATTGAATGGGGGGAGAAAAAAACCAGGGCCGAGCGAGCGGGAAAGGAGAAGGAGCAAGCCTAGCCTGGCTTCTCTCGCCCATCAATTAATCAAATCAGGAAGTAGCGTCGTGCCGTGGGGAGTGGACAGTGGAAACTCACTGGACAGGAAGGAACAGGGCATTTCGTAGTGGGCACAGGCCGGAGAGTGACTTTTGGGGGCTCGTAGTTGGCAGGTGCCAGTGCAGTTGAGGCCTGAGGTGCGGGTAAATCAGGTACTTGAACCAAAGTATCGGCTGTTTTACGGCATGCGAATCATGGCGGTTCATTGTATGACAGCCTGGCCAGGCTAAAAGGCGGAGTACATGAACTGCTTGTACCTCGTTTGGCAGAACCTGAGGTACAGGCAATCACGGTGCAGTAAGGTACCTGCCAGCACGAAAGAACACTCGATCCTGAGATTTTTTGCGATGTCGGGGTATAAACAAGACATGCATTCTGTGACCGGATCGAATATTCCGACCAAAAGCAAAGCTGACATCTCTTCTCTCCCTTCGGTTTTGGTGTTTCCCCTGCCATTGAACTTCTTTGCCTATCAATGAAGAAACCACAGTACAGCGCAGTACTGGCCGTCAACAACATCCCCCGGCACTGAGGCTAGAGATGGTCCTGGCGCTGGTCGCCCGTTGTCCGTTGAAACCCCAGGCGCTGGGCCCAATCCTCTTTTGATTCGATAACGGGGCTAATAACGGAGTGTGAAATGACGACGTGTGGGGGGTGCCATTTCTCGTTTCTTGGCCCTTTTGCCAGCAACGTAACTCCACGCTCCACGATGCCAGCAGATGATGCCCACGACGGGTGGGTTGCCAGTGCAGCTGAAGAGAGAGAAACACTGTGCGAACTCACTGATCTGGAAACATGAGGTTATCATCAATTTCAAACAGAGTACACCTCAGTCGGTGTCTCCCTCATTGATGTACGGAGTACTTCTACCGGAATCTGCAACAGCTCAATCCAATTACACTATGGCCCTAGCGGAAAATCACTGGACCCCGAGATAACGACACTGATCCAGCACCCTTTCCCGGGCAGGTTTATCCCGGCCTCTCACTAAACCTCGGCCGAAACTCATCGCGCCATCCGCGGGCTTCCAGCGCTTCAGTGCTTCGCGATCTTCTGGGATGCCCGGGGTCTTTGCCTGCTCCATGCGTGTTCAAAAGCACACAGACATGACAGACCTCTCTCGTGAAGCACGGTTCAGGTACAACAGCGCAAACTTGCATGGGAGATGAACCAAGACGGGTCGGTCGCTTAGGGATGCACCTCATCCTGTAAACTTGGCGCTCCAGGTAAAAACAGTGGGTTATACTGGCAAAGAACGCAGATAAGTTTTGGATCGGCAATAACCAGTACAGATATATCCAAACATGAATCGCATTAACGCAATATCAACAATGGATGTTGCACCGCAACAGCTTGCCAAAGCCCACTTACAGTATCCTCTGCATCAAAGCGCGTGTTTCCACATCTTGGCACGTTCTCCTTCCCCTTTCTTCAAAGTCAACATCAATCGGACGTATTGTCTTTTACATCTCCAAACGAGCAAGCCATCATCTTGATATTGTGGATACGCAAATTACCTTTATTTGAGCAAACCCCTTTTCCCGGGATTGCGCTCTTGACTTGACCAGTGCTGGGGGTTTTAGCGGGGTGCTCTTAGACGCCGATTCATTCCATGGGTTCGAGCTGTGGATTACCGCCAGCCAAAGTCACCTGAATCACACCTCCAAGTGTTGAGACTTGACATCTGCAATTCGCAGCAGCGGTGTTTGGGGGACAGATTGTTTGGGCTACAGCACAAACTTGCGGTTCATGGGTTGCAGTCGTACCTGCGAGTGTACCCGACATGACATGGTTGTCGGCAACTTGACGTCGGCTGAACATTAAATAGCATGCATGGAGCTTGAGTAACCAGCGGACGTGGACAGTCGCAGAAAGATATCACGCATATCTTTGCGATGGACCGCAATACCTGTGACAAGAAACATGCATGGCGCTGCAGCATGTTTCAATCGTGTATGGATATCTGGCAGTCGCTTCAGCTTACACACGAAACATAAACGAGACTGGCCAGAACATTCACAAAGTCTCAAGAAGTGATCACTGTGTCACAACTTGGAATGGAGGATTGCTTTTCAAATTAATTGCGGCGTTCGGGCCGTTGTCGATTCTCGCGATTGGGAAGCTGTCAGCCAAAGACGAACCTCCACTCAGAATGCCCTCCACCACCCGGTCACGGCGCATGTCAACATGGTTCGATTCTGATGATACCCTGCCGGTCGTTGGGCGTTGAATCTCTGACGCTCTTATTCCGCCTGGAAAATGAACCATGGAATTGTCACTCTGTTTGCTTTCGTGTGCCATCATCATCGTGACACCACGGGACCGTCGCCCGTATACATCCGGCACACCAGGCGGCACTTGGGTCCCGGTATTGGGCCCGAAATGTTCGGGATGGTCCCCAAGATTCCATTGACGATTATTAGGCTCTGTTATCTGAGACCTGGAGTGAGACATCCCCTGAGATGAGATCTCCATCCGACTATCTCAATTCTGGCTTGTGATCCTCCCTGCCGTCGGCTCTGATGCCCGTGCTTTAGCGAAGATGACCGGAAGATGCTTCGTCAGGCATGTCATCTTTGCGATACCTCTGTTCTTCGTTCAGCTGCTGACGATACTCCAGTTAGCACTCTGGGCGACAGGGATCTAAATGGACAGCCCCAGATGGGTGGATAGACTTGGCCAACAGGGTCCACCAGCAAAGGGAAGTCCACCTGTCATCGCGGGCAGGTCGTCACAGTCTTCCAGAACATGCTTCAGATTGACTGGTCTGTCACTTGATAAGCCTTCCGGTTATGCAGCAGCAGGCAACGGCTGTTACATGGTGACACACAACGCATGTAAGGTCGGTCCAACGCGAAAGTCTGCCTTGTGACGACACCGGCCGACGTTATGTAACCCACAGAGGTCGCTCTGTACTGTACGACAACACCAATTCCATGTCCATCTCTGCGCCACAAGAGTCACTTTTAGCCAGCCAATATGCGAAAACTATATGGGTCTGCCTGCCCGACTTTGGCAATCGATTCTTGAACCTTTGTCATCTTCGGGTAAGCGTCCCAAAAGGTAAGCTTCCCCAGACTGCTGCCCCGCGGTTATTGGTTGAAATGACCGCATGTCGGACTCGTCAGCACCCATCAAGCATTCTTGTCACCCGATGTTTCTGCGAATTGTAACTGCACTCACCATTCACGTTTCAATGCCTTGAGTAATGTTTCAAGAACCAAGCACAAGTTGCACAAAAATTTCACCATTCAATGTTTGCGCATTCATCAGCAAATGCTATTTCCTGGAGAAAATATATCATAAGCTACCGACCGTGCCGCAAGTATGCATGCATCGTGGTTGCTGTCATTCAGCAGTCGTCCAAGCGTTTCAGGAGCCTGGAATCTTTAGTCATCCAATAAAGGTATAAGTCGCGCGTTTTTCTGCTTCCGCTGAGACTTATTAGTTTTCGGGTAGACCAGCTTATTGATAGGACTGCTGTTCTGGAGATGCTAAACCCCAAGTGAGACATTAACATATGCCAACCAGTTCAACAAGCTGTCCTAAGATCTAGTCTTCCATCTCTTTGTCAACATACGCCATGAAGAAGACGTATACTGGCGCTGGGTGTCTGGTCTTCTGTGTCAAGGTTATGCCAGACCCCCGAAAGCGCACATTTCTGCGTAGCCTTTTCGTTGTCTTCAGCGTGATACTCCATGAGACCTAACAGCTTTGAAGCGGCCGTGATAGTTAAAGTCTCCTTGCGGGATCATTATATATCACGCATTCTACACCAGAAAAATGTGTTTGGTCAACGCCAGACACAAGATTCACAGTCGTTGTCTAGGTGAATGCCTAACGACCTAGTACGAATTGCCTCTCTACCAAGGCCTATTTCTCCTATTCATCTGATCTTGTGGTCTCCCCATGCCGTGCCTTCTTCCTCGGATGGTCTTCAGTACATTTCTCGTCATTATTGAGTTATGTTCTTGTTCTCAGAACTAAGTTCCGTCTGCTGATTTAAGCTCTCAGCCACGAGCCTCAACTGTAAATAACACACCTAGCTAACAATTTAGACAGTATATCATAACGCCGAGTTTTGTGGAAGCAATAACTCTGAAATGACAGGATGTTGAAATTGCCTGCTCGGTGGGTAAATCTAAAGGAATATCATATGCGTATAACAAGCTTATTCATAACCCGGGCTTATTCCAACTTATACAGGGTCTTACAAGTTGAACGGTCTGTCAATTCTTCAATTAGAATTCCAGCATGTATATGATCACAATTACATACATGAGTTTTGACTACCCGAGAGAAATCGACAAACCATCGCATATATCAAAAGACAATCTTATACTTCAAACCCTGGTATCCCATCCCCAGCACCCAGCCCCATGATCATACTCATAAACTCCATCATCAGCAAAGAAATCAACTCCTGCAACGGCCCATTCAGAACCTTCAAACTACACTCATCTCCCTCCGCATGTTTAATAAGCTCACTCAACACCATATAAGATCTATTTTTACAGATCGGGCAAAAGAAACCTCCTAACCTAGTACAGGGAGCTCCTGCCTCAGCGAATTTCTGTCCGAGGACAAATATATCCATCTCATTCACGCCAGGAATACATCTCCCATTCTCGACATGTTTCATCATTGTGGATGCTTTGTCGAACTTGCGTTCACATGTGATGCAGTCGATGTTTTTGCCGGGATTGCGAGCTGCTTTTGCTTTCTGCTTCTCGTGGTGTACTTGTGCAGGGACGGCGAATTCCAGCCAGTGGTCGAAATCTCTGACGACGGTATCAACGACTTTGGATTTGGCCTGATGATTCTAAGGGGGTTGAGTCAGCAGTGTGATAGGTATGGATGCAAAGGTTACTTACCTCAAGAGTGGCCCGGGTCTGGAAGTACGTCTCGCATGTGATGCAACGATTATGGGCCTCTACCTCATGGTTCATGCGCTCCGTGCCAGTCTCGAAAGACTGTCCACAGCTAAACTGGCAATCTCTTAGGAAATACTTGATTTCAAAGAAGAAAGGGAATTCCTTCGCATTAGGATAGCCCGTGCAGACGGTGCGCTTGGGGCCGTAGGATTCATCCTTTGCGATCTTGGCTTGGACATCGACAACAGCTGGGTGGCTGATACCGTGGACATGCCATTGATGTGCCACTAGTACCATCTGCGGGAAATTCTCGTTGCAGTGTGTGCAGAGCGTTGGAGGACCTCTATCATTCTCCATTTCAAATTCGGAATCATCGTCATCGTCATCTGAGAAACCAGGATAGCCATAGTCTGGGTCATCGGAGTCGTATATATCGCCTGGCTGAATACCAGCTGGGAAGTCAAACTGGTGTCTTCCAAATCCTCCATGGCCAGGATATGAGAAAAAATCATCTTCGTCTTCATAGTCTTCATAATCCTCGTCTTCATCTTCATAATCATCATCATCATCATCATCATCGCCATCACGACCAAATGGTGGAACTGCCATTCGCAGTAGCTGTCTCATTATATCGTCCTCTGAATATCTCGGTCGGTGCATCTCGGGATGGCTGTCACGCTGATGCTGACGAAGTGCAGTCGCGAGACGAAAAGTCTTGTTACAAGGTCTACATCTGAAAGTTGGGTTTTCAGGCACACCTTGCTTGGAGTCTGTGGGTTCGGCTTCGACGATGCCATGTTTGTTGAGTTTATGATCCGCAAGTCCTTTGGCGTGGCGGAATGTCTTTTGGCAGGTCTGGCAATAGGGCTTATCCTCATCATCCTCATCAACGTCTTCTGCTTTCTTGCCTCCAGCCGTCGCGCTTGCTCCTTGACCTGAACTCTCTGCAACAGTGTCATCTGCCACTGCATGCTTGATGAGTCCATGCTGAACGAGGGCAGATTTGAAACGGAAGCTCTTGTCGCAAAGCGTGCATTGATGCATGTTTGGGGCTTTCTTCTCTTTTGCCGCGGTCTCTTCAATGGGCTCTTGCTCCTCACCCTCTTCATCCGAGCCATCTTGTCCATTTGATACTCTCATACCAAAGGCAACCTGCGCCATATTCTCTATGACCTGTCTCATCGCTTCCTGACGTTGCTCTGCCTGATGCTTCATAAGGGTATCCTCAGAAGGAAAGCTCTCATTGCAACATATGCACTTGAACTTTTGAGATCCAACATTATGTCTCTCCTTCAGCGTCGTATGCACTTGCTTTGAGGAGCCAGCTGTATTGCCATCTTGTGCTGAACCCTTTGCTGGACCCTTGCCTTTCTTATCTGAAGTGTGCTTGCTCTTGAGATGCCTTCGGAGTGAATTCCGACTGGTGAACGACTTGTCGCAAACATCACATTTAATTGTCTTTTCTTCGGCATCTGGAGTCTTGTCCTCTCCCTTAACGGGAGTGTCGGTATCCGTTTTCACAGTACGATGCTTGGTTCTCTTGTGCTGGTACAGGGCACCTCTATAACCGAAAGACCTGTTGCAAATTGAACAAGTGGTCTTACTTTCCAGACTCTTGTCGTCCTGCTTCACATTTTCCTGTTTGGCAGAAGAAGATGCGTCGTTCGCGAGGGAGTCTTCCGGCTTGGACTCCGCAGCTTGAGTTTGAGTTTGAGTGGCAGAAGTATCTGGGGCTTGAGGCTTCGGGGGACCATGCTTACTCCGCTGATGCTGTGTCAGCGAAGATTGACGCGGAAATGACTGTTTGCAAAGCGCGCAATCAAAAGTGCTGGCCGTTTCGCCATCTTGTCCTGGCTCAGACGCGTCTGCTTCGTCTTTCTTGACAGCATGTTTGCTCTGCCGATGTCGCCTGAGTGAGCCTTTGTGGGGAAACGACTTGTTGCAGACATTGCAATTGACGGGCTTGCCTGGAGGCTTTGCGGATGAAGCCTCTCCAGGATTGTCATCAGCCATTTCGGAGAATCACAGGGAGGTGATGATTATAATTGAGGAACAGAAAAGAAACGCGTGCGTGTTTAGAGAATTGGAGAAGGATGATGCAGTGGACGTCGCCTGAAATGGGGTCGCAGAAGCAAATAAATGGAAGCGGATCAAGAATAAAGCGTCCAAGTTGATTGGCCAACCGGCGCCACAATGTAGACCGTTTCAACAGAGCAACCGCTATAAATAACGTCAAATTAGAAGCAAAACGAAGCATTGAGCACTTATTTGAAAACTGATGATAAGAAAACAAAGCAACTATTTTCCTCCGTCTGTCCTCCTTCATTTCAGCCTCATTTGAGATCTCTGATGGAATCGCTCTCTGGCCTGGGGCTATATGATACATAGAGATCCAAGGTTTGCTCTTACGCCGAGGACACTGGTTTAGCTACATAAAAGAAATATTAGATTAAAATAGAATACATAACAAAGAAGTGATCCCGTCTCCCAATCATCGTAGCATCCTCAGCTGGCTGGATTCAAAGGACCCAGTGTCAACTTAAGACGCTTCTATCATACGCCACCTCACCTCACTCATGAAATCCACCATCGGGCGTCGACGGATAGATAAACTGCACTCGCTACCCTGCGCATGGAAAAGCAGATCGCTCAGGGCCAGAGAGGTGTAATCACAATTGGGACACTGAAACTTGCCATCGGAAGTGTAGAATGTCGACACCACGCTCTGATCACTCTTCTTGATAGCCGATTTGATCTCATCGGTATCTAGGTAAGCGTGGCATTTACCCGTTTCCACATGCAGCATCATCTGGGATGGCTTTCTGAACTTCTTCCAGCAGGTTATGCAAGAGATCTTGCCATTCCAATAATTGGGCCTTTTCTTGTTACCACGATCGAATAATTGCAGCCACGTCTCGGTATGTTCGCTCTCCCAATGCTTTTCAAGTAGGTCCTCAGACCTGAAGGGCTCGTCGCAGGGTGTGCATCTGTATCCGGACTTTACGGTCTTCTCCGGAACGTTGGGGGGAGGCAGCTTTTCGAGAAAATCGTTGGGGTGTCTGAGGACACTCCCATGCCGGAACCACGCATGATTCATGAAATTCTCCATTGTACCAAATGTCTCTGCACATTGGATGCATCTATACACCAAAAGGGGATCGTGTTCCTTCCAGTTCTCCATGGTCTGCCCCTCATACCGCTTCTTGAGGGGCTTCTTCCTCTTACTTCCATCCCAATAAGGGCCATGGCTGAGAAATTCTTGGTGAGCATCAAGGCTGGCGAAAGTGTAAAACACCTGAGCACAAAACTCGCATTTGAAAAAGTGTGCAAAAGGTTCTGGGGCCGCTCTGCCCGTAAGCACCCTTACCCATTTTGCCCAAGGAGTGCGGCATAACCAGACCGAATGCCTGTGAAGCGATTCAAAGTCGTAAAACTCATCGAAGCAGTCCTCACATTCAAGCAGTGCTGGATGAGATTCGGTGGCGTTTTCACTCTCTTTGTTGGAAGTCTTGTCCTCAGCGTTCTCAGACTTCGCGACCTCATTTTTTGGCACTGTCAAAGGGCCATGTCCGACCTTTTTCTCATGCTCAATTCTCATGCTCAAGAAGCATGGCCGTAAGATGGAAGTCCTCATCGCAGTCTCTGCACTTGAATGGCGGTGGAGGGAGTTCTGCATCCAGCTTCTCTGTGCAGCTCTCGCCTGGCTTTTCGGCGGGCTCCTTATCATTCTCCTCGTCACTCTCATCCGTGTTTTCTTCATTGCTCTCCTCCTCGTTCTCCACGTCGTCATCCTCATCGCTTTCATCGTAGTCATCACCATCGCTCTGCTCATCGCTCTCCTCATCACTATCTTCGTAGTTGTCCTCGTAGTCCTCCTCGTCAGTCTCCTCATAGCTCTCGTCCCATGGATTAGGCGAAGAGAAACGATAAGTAGTTATCATATGATGTTCAACCTCGTCATAAGAGTAAAACGTCTTGGGGCAAAAGTCGCACTTGTATACAGTAACGGGCCCACCGTCCGACCAAAGGTTATGGCGTCTAACATGCTGTTCAAGCAGATCGAAATGGTGAAAGCTCGATTTGCAGAAGTCGCACTTGTACTGTTTTGGAGAAGGTTCAGCGGCCTTTTTCCTTTGACTTTTTGAATTTCTAACTGGGTTCTCTGCAGGCTCTGTCGTTTCCTCTGGATGTCTGGTGGCGCGTTTGTGTTGTTCAAGTGCAGCTTTAGTACGGAAAGCTTTCCCACAATGCGTGCATAGATTGTGGGCGTCTCTGTAATGGTCTTGGAGTGCATGGTCATCAACGAAAGTTCTTTTGTTGCACCATTTGCAGTTGATCTTGTCCGTTTCTGGCTTCGGATCATGCTTTGCCTTCTTATGTTGATCAAGTCCAGATTGTAAATTGAAGATTCTGTCGCAATGAGGGCAACTCAAAACAGTCGGCTCATCGTCTTGATCTTGGTCCTCCTGCTTCAGATCCTCTTGTTTGATAGGGACATCGCTGTCCAAAGCTGGGTTCTGTACCTTGGGGCTTGGCTTTGCGTCTTCGGCGGGTTCAACAGAAGCGACCGGAACTTCCGAGGCATGCTTGCTCTCCCGGTGCTTCTGCAGCCAATGCCTAAATAGCCAGTACTCAGATCTGAATGGCCGATTGCAGACTGGGCATTTGGATGACTTTAACGCTTTGTTGCCACCATCTGATTCGGCGCCGTCTGTATCTTCGGAGGCATGTCCGGTCTGTTGACGATGTTGTCTGAGCGAATGCTTATGGGAAAAGGACTTTTTGCACGTATTGCAAGTAGGCAATTTCGCTTCACGCTGCTTAGCACTGTCATCAGACATGATTGAGACTTGTTTGTTGTTTGAAGAGGGAAATTGGAGTGGTTTAAATTGGTGCATGTTATTGTCATGGTAACAAAAGCAATTAATCAGACTGGGCAATGATTGGCTAGCCGGTATCTCGGCCAACATCCAAAACTCTATTACTCTCAGATCCTATTTCCGATGGTTTCCAGTAAAGGCCACTGTAAGCAGTATCGAACACAATAACATAAAGCCATAAAGTATTCAAATACGCGCTGGTGTAAAGATAACTATGTAATTGTCTCAGCCCCAAGACTGTAGCATCCATGATAAATCAAATTCATAAGACCCAACCCCAGCTTAAAAGAGTTCATTCTCTATCATACGCCACCTCACCTCTGTCATGAAAGCCTTCAACGGGCCCTGGCTAACATCAGCACTGCACTTGTTCCCCTCCGCATGGCGAAGCAAGCTACTCAAAGAGTCAAAACTGGCTTCGCAGCCAGGGCACTGAAACTGGTCATCAGAATAGCACCTCGATACCACGCTCTGATCGCTCGTGTTGATAGCCCATTTGATCGAACGAGGACCAATATAAGAGTGGCATTCACGCATCTCCACGTGCTCCACCATCTGAGAAGAGGTTCTGAACTTCTTCCAGCATGTCATGCAGTGTATCTTGTTCTTGTCGGAAGACCACGAGTCTATCTCTCTGAGATCACCCAACATGTCGTCTTCATCGTAATTCTCGAAGTTCTGGAAGTCCGAGTACGAGAGCGACTCATCCGAGATGTTGTCCTGGTCAAATAATGCGAACCAAGCGTCCTTGTGTCTTCTCTCCCAGTGCACTACAAGCAGATGCTGGTTACGGAAGGGTTCGTTGCATGGCTTGCATCTGAATCCTGACGTAACCTTCTTGACGGGAGCATCAGCCTCTTCCGGGGCCACCTTCGTAAGACATCTTTGGGGGGGTTTGGGATGGCGCCCATGGTTATGATCCATATGGTCCAGAAACCGGTCCGAATCGCGATATAGCCTGCCGCAGTCGGTGCATTTGTACACTGAAACGCTGGCTCTTTCTGCCTTGTCCTCTGCCGTTGGCTTCTCAACCGACTTGCTCTTCTCCGCTGCTCGTTTGCCATGGCCAAGCCTTTCTTGATGGTCATAAAGCTTACCAATATAGTAAAAAGCCTCGTTGCATTCCTCGCACTTATGTTGGGGTGGTGGAACCGGTTCCCCGGCTTTTTTCTTTGTTCCTTTCCATAGGCCATGACCGGCCTTTTCGAGATGCTCAACAAGCATAGCTTGATAGTAAAAGGCCTCGTTGCAGTCCTCGCACTTAATGGTTGGCGGCGGAGGTCCTGAAGCCCTTGTCTCTACGGGCTTCTTGCTTGTTACTGGCGATACATGGCCGAGCTTTTTCTCGTGCTCGGTGAGCATAACAGCAAAGTAAAACGCCTCGCCGCAAACTTGACACTTGAATTTTGGTGGAGGAGGTCCTGCCACCGGCTTCTCGACTGGCTCCTTCTTTGGTTCTGTGCAAAGGCCATGTCTGACCTTTTTCTCATGCTCAAGAAGCATAGCCCCAGAGTGGAAGGCCTCGTCGCAGCTCTCACACTTAAGTCGGGGGGCAGGAGGTCCTGTAACCGTCTCCGGCTTCTTCTCCCTTATTGAAAAAGGCCCATGAGCGAACAAATCTTGATGCTCTCGAAGCGCAGCATCGAAGTAAAACGCCTCCTCGCAGTCACTGCACTTGAATGTTGGTGGAGGAAGATCTGCCACCAGTCTCTCTGTGGGTTTCTTGCCTGGCTTTTTGATGGGATCCTCGACGCTCTCCTCCTCAGCTGCAGCCCCCTTATTTCCACCATTTATCTCTGCATGGTCTGTCGATTGCATGGGGTGCTTAGTTTCTTCATGCTGTGCAAGTGCAGCCCTAGAACCAAAGACCTTGTTGCATCGCATGCACTTGTGGACTTTGGCTGCAAGGGGATGCTCATCCTTTCTCTTTGGGCTGTCTTCCGTGGGTTGACTGGATCCATTTGTGGTCACGCTCTGAATAGATTCATCTATCTTCTCAGAAGCATGTTTGTCCCTATGATGGTCTGATAGTGAATATTGGTAAACGAAAGACTTGTTGCAGAATTTGCATTTGAACTTTTTCTGCTTCTGGCCTTCTTTATTGTATATCTCCTCTGGCTCGATACCATGCCTGTGCTTCGTATGAAGATCAAGTGCATGTTGGTTGTTGAAGGGCTAGTTGCAAAAAAGACATCTGAATAGGTTCGTTTTAGATTCCCAATTCTTAATGTCCTGCTTCAGGCTGCTCAGTTGGCTGAGAAATTCGCTGTCGTCGATAGCTGGGTTTGGTGACGGCGGGCTAGGCTCTGCACCTTCAGTGGATTCTGAGGCATGCTTGGTCTCATGGTGTTGTCTCAGAGAGTGCTCTAACTTGAGATTTGGATACACGTGGTCTGTGGTGGTTAGACAGTCAGGAGATAGTTATCAGGGAGGTTAATTGAAATAGCGTCATCTTTCCAAGGGGCTTAGTTTCAAAAGCAATTAATGGAATCGGATGAAGTTAAAAGCGTAAGATATGATTGGTCAATGGGATCGGCACTACGACACGAAGTCTAATACGGCTCAAACATGGAATCTTCGCGAATAGCGGTGTTAGCCGTTGGCGTAGATTGATAAGTCATCATTATACTATACGCACTGACAGAGCCCTTGATCTCTGTCAGAAGTAGCCGTGTACATGACTTTACCATTGCTTCCTCTGGCTCATATTGAGATCGTAGGCGTTCAGCTTCAGGGTAGGTGGTCTGCCTTATTACAATGGCTGGCTATAGACAAATACGTGATGGTTTTATGCAACGACAAATTGTTGATTACTCGATATGGCGTCTATTGGATCAAAAACTCTAATAATTTAGGTTTAAACGCGTTAACTGATCGAGCATTAATAGATCTTGAAGCGTATATATCTGGAGTTCTGATACCATACCGCCTTGACTCAATGGACAGATGGTCATACAATCAATGCAAAACGAATCAATCAACACCCAATCGTCTTCGAAACCAGTTTTTGACCCTGACCCGTGTCCCTTGATTCACAATAGAGCCCCATACCTCCTCATTCTCAACTGAAACTTCAGTGTCAATATCCTCTTCTCGGATGCGGTTCAGGCCACAGCATTCCGGGTGACTAGCTGCCGCCACAGGAAGTCCCAAGAGCCTCGCCTCCAAATATCCAACCTTTGCCTCCTGAATAACATCCGCAGCCACAACTTCCTGATCACCTGTCGCTCTTCTCTTCCAGAAAAACACTTGGTTCGGATCCATTGGCTGAACACCAAGATACCCTGGCACTGCATCGTCAAAGCCGCATTCTTGTCTTCCACGAGCGCCAATATGTACCTGGGCATGAGCCGAAGCAGCTTCATGCTGACTTGATTCGCCTGTCCTGGAATCGGTGCAGTCGGCGTCAATTCCTGGGTTCCGGTCCTTTCTACCCATGATGACTAGCCTGCCGACTCCAGCTCCAGGGATAGATCCGCTTGGACAGCACCAGGCATGCTTCATCATGGCCTCATGCGTGGTATCGTGAGTAAGTTGTCGAGACATCCTTTCGGTTTGCCCTTCAGAAGTGCAGCTTGGGAAGCGTCTTTTGAGTCTATCTTCATCAAAAGAAACACCCAGGTGGGAAGATAGTTGTTGGACCATCCAAGCAAGAGGAGCGTGCACAAGGTCTTCCTGTTGTCCAAGCTTACCCATGTTACCATGGTCTCCTAAAAAGAAAACCTGGTGGACGTTGTGTCCGCACATGTAAGTTGGACTATAGGGACTTCTGGTTTCGTGCAGCGCCAAAGCATGGAAGGAGTATTTCACATCTGTATCAAGCATCAGGTACTATCCAGTGTCAAGTCAGATTATCCAGCACTTACTATTTGGAACATGGTCTATGACCTTGGTTTTATACTTGCTTCTGTGAAGATAGGATAGTGGCTTTGCGATACCAAACAGTGGGATACCCAGCGAACCAACTGTATCGAAACAGCACAATGCATCGATTTGAATGTCGTCCCAGACTTTAACTTGTTAACAATCATTGTCAGAGGAAAATAGCTAACACTTACAGCTGTAATTGCATCGTACTTCATCCTTGTTGGCCTTGGTAAGATACGGGTCCTTCTTGCAGGTGTCGTACAAACGCTTGAAGAACTCCGGTACTCCGTTCTGGACTAGGCCAAGGCAGTCGATTATCATTGCCAGATATCGAGCGGCCCATGCGCCTAAGTATCGTGGTCAGTCATTATCTGGGGGCGAACAAATAGAAGTTCCTGACTCACCTCGCGAATAGCCACAAAAGACAATCCTATCGCCCTTATTATAGTCGTCGGCGATATGACCTCTCTACTGTCAATCTTTTAGACTTGCAGATAGCAGGTGCACTCACGATAAGCAGTTATGACATTCCTTCGCGTGCCCCAACCACCAAGACCTGCGACAGGTGAGTTCAGGTTTTAATAGTACAGGGAATAGAGTATGAAACGAACCTCCAAGGATCTTGTCTGTCAATCCGTCTGTCCCGACTCCGTTGACACGAATCTTTCGAACATCTTCGCATTTGGAGATGAGATCAGGTAGGCAGGATACCACGGTCTCTTTCGAGCTTTTGACGCTGCCATGCCATGTTCCTGTTCAAGTTAGTTATGGATATAGTTGGGGAGTTTTAGTTGGAAGAATTTTCGTACCATCAAATGCAACGAATAGAAGTTTTGGCGAACTTTGGCTCTCCTTTCGCTGGCGGCCCTGCTTTGATTGTCCAGGACGATGGGAGAGTACCGCCATTATAACCAACAGTTATAGTTTGATATGAAGGAGAGTTTAACGGCTGCTGTTTATGAAACGAATGAAGTATTTTGAACGAACGAATAGAAGGGGTATAGTTGAGTTGGGATACTGATTACAATAGAAACATGGACCCCAAGCAGGTAAAGCCCGGTTTAAATAAACCGAAACATAAATCAGGCTGTGGAAGAGTGAACCCCTTCTTTCAGCCACTCTCTCAGGTTATCCTACAATTTCGATGGCGGTGCAAGGCATAACGGGCTCCCTCTGCCCAAGCTCAATCCGGCAGCCTTATTAGCAATCTATCAACACAGTTGAATTGCACTTCTGCCTGTGCAGCCAGTAATCATGACATAGGTGGGAAAGCCTCTTGGGGGCTGCTATATAAAGTGCGGGAGGTATTTGGGGGCCACGTCTCTCCTTGGAAATTGGTAGAGTACTTCTGACCGGGGTGTCAGCTGAAATACACCTACTGATGATTTGAGGCTGTGAGATCCTTCTGACCCAAAATTGCGAACGCCATCCGTTGGAAGTGTATCTTGGCGGCATGTCATCTAGTACAGCGTCTCGTATCCATTTTAACAGTGGCTATTTCACTATCACCAAATGACGTTGAGGCTATGCACAATTTTGGCGATCAGTGTACTCTACTCTCGGGAAGCAAGAAAACACCGGACCTTGATATAGGTTGTCAGAATAAACTTAGGTACGAGCTCCCTAAGTTTAGGCTAGATTTACCTAAACGTTTTTGTTGTTTAGGGTTAAGGGCCTGTATTTTCTTTCCCCCCCTAGCCTATGAACCTGCTAGTCAGGAACGAGGTTTTATGCATAATATTTAGTTCACCCAAAGGTCACTGTTGCTCTTAAGTAGGCTGAGCGATCGCTGACCATCTCAGAGCAGCACTGCCTCATCAATCGACAAAGTGCGTTGAAGCGAGGGATATGCGTCTTCAAGCGACATTTTAATTTAATTTCATTGTCCTCCTATAATGACTTCCTCTTGTAGTCCGCAAGATGTCCTGATATCGTCGTGTCTTGTCGAAACGGCCAACACTGCAGATTGATGAGACAAGTCAAGATCCAATGAAGTTTTCAATACAGTCAGTCATTATAGAGAAAAGAAAAGAAAAGATTGTAAAACAGAATCACAAGTCTTCATCGACTCCAGCCTGGTTGATGAGGCACAGAATCCCAGTACCGACTCTCCGCCTCTTTCGCATGAAATTCCTCCCGGATCCCAAGATCATCCACAATCTGACACAAGAGCAGATAAGCAATATCACACTTATCATTGCTCAGCGGATTGGTCTGCAACAAATTATTCTCCTCAATCATCCTTTTGAAGTCCATACCTCGGTAAGGGCTCATATCAGGAGCAAGACCCCATCGTCTTCGGGGATTCGAGCAAAACTCAACAAGTTTCTGAACAGAGATGGCGTCAGGTTCCCAACGTAGAGCCAAGGCTTGAGGCATTTTGTACCAATATGACACTTCGAACCACGTGAAGAAGTCGTCGATTTCTGTGATTGGATGGTAGTCATATTGCTTTTCTGTGTCGCGTCGCAGCCTTTCCTCTTGCTTTGCTGTCTCGACGTTCCGTTCGAGCTCGCTGAGAATGATCTCGGTGGTAATTGCCAAACCATTGATTGCATCAATCATTCGCTTCATGGTTGGAGTTGACATGATGTCGTCTGGCCTTTTGTAGATGATGTTATGCTGAACTTCGGCCCAAGCCTGTGAAACGACTGTTCCAATCTGTATCTCGACTCGAAACCCTCCCTCCCAGTCGACCACCATCTGCCAAGACTTGTATCCCGAATGGTGCCAGTATTCATCGGACCCATATTGATCTTGTGACCGCCATGGCCCTCTTGAATGACCCTCGAGATTCAGTCGATCTCCCTGTGGAGCATCTCTACCGCTACCAACGGTGCCAAAGAGATGGGCAACGTTAAACCGCTGCTGGCACTCTTTTGCCATGTTGATTACATCTTGCGGTAAATATAGCCCGATCCTAACAGCGGCAAGGTCTCCCATATCGCTGTGCTGAAAGATGTCATTGTTGAGCGCAAAGGAAGTGAACTCGGAGTCACTCTCCATGCCTCTGAGCTTAGTCTCCAGCGACTCATAGGCTTTGGTTCTGCAGGTCACCACGCCTTTGGTGCCGGTATCTTTGAGGAGATCCTGCAGTGTATCTCTAGCTGCGTGCGCAACCTGTTGATATGCCGCTTGAGTGTCGGGATCACCGTAATAAGCAAGGCATTCTTCAACTTTCTGGAGATATTCAGCGTTTTGGTTGTTTGAATCATCGTGGTCGTCTTGACCGTAAGGGTTTGCTAAGCCACCTTGTTCATCCGAACCAGTGTGGCTATAAGCATCCTGCTGATCGTCCGAGTCATACCGGTTGTATGAACCATAGCCATGGTGGTGGCTCATGATGGACGAAGACTGGCAAGGTGATGAGAAGTTGAGATGATATCTTATTTAGCAGAGGGATCAGAAATGTCAGAGACTAAGTTGACCAGAATGAAGAAGAAAATGTACTATTAACGTAAACAGCCTCTTTATACCTTTGCGAAGCCTAGAGGCCGGGATTGCAAAACGAGGCTCGGCTCTTGGGCTTGAACCCCAACGGCCCCCAACTTTCTAAACGCAGCCTTAAATTACAGTACACCACTAATCCTAGATAAATCCTACAACTATTTCCGATTGGCTATCACGTTGCACTCTTGGATGCTACAGTCATCTTGTGTGTTCCGATTGAGGTTGAAATGCGGCTGAAAGTGCAGGAAGCCAGCGCTTATGTGACACACGGCGGTAACACACAGCTTGGCCTAGAGCGGTAAATGCCTCATACATGACGAGGAAATCTTCATAATAAGCTCTAATTTGGGGTCTCTGCAGAGTGCATATCAGGCAGAAATATTATCTTATTAACAGGGGGGATGACGGAGTGTGTCTGGGTTAGGAAGCTAAAATAGGCTCCCGGGCCCGAATCCAAAGCACCAACTTGGTTGTTGGTTGGTTTTATCACATTTCAACTGCACCATGAACCAACAGAGAGAAATAAGCCACTCCGAAAAGCATACCGTCGAACCAACCCAGACCCTTTCAGCCGCTTTACCCCATTACCATTATCCCGCCCTGAAGAGCCTTGGCACAGTCCGGGTCCTCTCGTTAGAACCCGGCCAGCCTGAAAGTCCACTACGGGGAACTCTGGAGGAAGCTCACGCCAGCTCTCTCAAAGACTACGAAGCACTATCATACGTCTGGGCAGATCCAGGTCCATCTGATCGACCACATGAGATCATCATCCGTGAAAATAATCAAGACGCTCTGCTGCCACTAAGAGGAGGTTCCATCTTTGCAGCGTTGCTCCAGATTCGACTTCCGGATCAGCAGAGGCGAGTTTGGGCTGATCAGTGCTGCATCAACCAAGATGATCTTGATGAGAGAAGTCATCAAGTCCATTCTATGGGTAAGATTTATGAAAACGCGACCAGGATCTTGGTATGGCTTGGCTTAGACACCAACAACGAAGCAGAGTCGGCTTTCAATTTGATTCATAAGCTTGACGAGGCTCTCAGCGCTGATGACTCACAACCCCATCACTTCATATCAAAGAATCTAGAGAGACAAATACGGCAGCACGATAAGGTACTACAAGCTTTGACAAGCCGCCCATGGGTAAGTACTAAAAGATCACAACCGCGAGGAGGATGAATGTTGACGGTTCTCACAGTTCAAGAGAGGTTGGGTTGTACAAGAGATTGGAACAGAAACTCCCGCAACGATGATCTGGGGAAATCATAGCATCGACTGGACTACTCTGGCCAGAGTATGCCAGAAGTTAAAAGGCTACCATCAACTTCGTAGCACACTCGGCATCACTACTTCAGACATATCATTCCTCCACCGACGATTCATACCACCCGACATGACAACGCATCATGCAAATCGATATAATTTCATATACGAGCTACAGCGATCCCGTCACTTGCAGTTCACTGATCAGAGGGATCGAGTGTTTGCTTTTCTAAGTCACTTCTCAACTCGGTCACTTCCACCTTTAGGTTGTGGGCCAATATCAGTCGTGGCAGACTATACACTCTCTGTTGAGCAGACTTACATCAGCATCGCCACAAGGATATTGCGAGATCGCCCAGAGGCGGCGTGCATTACTCTTGCGGCAGTGCAGCATCCTCAGAGCAGTCTACTTTCTCATCGCGAGGATGTCAAGCTTCGGAACAATATGAAGCTGCCTTCGTGGGTACCCGACTGGAGATGGTCTGAGGGAATCATTCTAGCTGAGCCCATATGCCCCCACCGAGCTCATGGTAACTCTACCGTCAAGATGAACATCCTCGAGAATGACAGGATACTACAGATATACGGTATCCGTATTGATACCATTGATGAATGTTCCAGGCCAATGCTCTCAAGCGACTTTTACGGAAAAGCCGATCTAGTAGAACACTTCTGGCAGGAAATATGTCGGAGCACAAGCTTCAATCTTGTTGATAAATACTTGAATGGAGACTCTGCTTTCTTTGCGCTGATGCAAACACTCAGTAACGGGTGTGTTCAAGCAACGGGCCACGAATGTAAACAATATGATTCTGTTCCTGAACAGGTATGGTTACAAATGGCAGCAAAGTTCATAGTGGAAGCGCTCGATAGCTCTGCAGTATCGGAAGACATCTTGGAACAAGCAGAAAACATACAGAACGAAAAGGAACATGATAAATGGAGTCGATGGGCAACTTCTGCATCAGACGGACGAGTATTTGCGCGGAGCAAGAAGGGATATTATGTGTTAGGGCCATCTGCGTTACAAGCCGGTGACATAATTTGCGTTTTATTTGGTTGCAAGGTCCCATTCTGTCTGCGCCGCGTTGAGGAAAGGTATTTACTGGTGGGTGAGTGCTACGTTCATGGATTGATGAAGGGAGAGGCCATGCGTATGCCGGCCGAGGGCGAAGTCGAAGAGCAGGTTTTCAGTCTCGTGTAGGAAGAACATTCAGTTCCTATTCCCTATTTTATCTTTATTTGATATCCATTGCGTACCTAAATGCTGCAAGTACTGTTCGTTGAACCTCATCCCTCGTGAACTCAAGCTCGACATCACCAGCCTTCCTCTCCCTAACCTCACTTTCCGAAGCCCAAACAAATCGCTGATGCTCATCCGGCGCCAGCTTGACATCTCGGATGCTCACATCCACCTTGACCAGAAAGTTGAACTGGCAGACTCTCTTTCCATCATCAAGAGTGAAGAAATGTGGTTCACCAACAGGGCCCCCAATCCACTTCGCCTCCAGCCCAGCTTCTTCCCGAAGTTCACGTGCAGCAGCGCTCAGAATACTCTCATCTTCGTCATCGCATGCACCACCAGGAGGTTCCCACTTGTTGGGATCGTCGTCGCTTGCGGCGCGCTGTAGCAGGAGGACGCGTGGTGCAGACGTGATGCTTGTGTCTAGCACGAGAGCACTTGTTGCGATATAGCCAAACTGGGCTTCTGGGTGAGCGGAGAGGTAGGCGTGTTTTGAGACAGAAAAGTTCTCGGCTGATGGGCCATACTCGAATTGAAAATTGCTCATGTTGGTGGTGAGTTTGGGAACGAGTGAACCAACAGCGAACACGATAAATAGCTCTTGGATCACGTGCTGACCTGTCCCCCGCATATCATATCATATGCCCGTTCTTAAGGGGTGGAAGTCCTATTATCGGCTAATGACACTGATGATTAACTTTTGTAGCAATGTGTATTACATGTTCCATCATACATGTGATATGAGTGATGCTCCAAACTCCAGACCTCCATCTGTTCTAAATGCTCCTGCAATGTAACGTTTCACTTCGCATCGTGACCCTCCCATCGTTTACTTAACCTTCCAATAACTTGCGAATCAAAAAGCCTGTGAGCAGTGACCAAGTCTTATTGTTCCCAGACACATGTACAGGCGTTGTTCCAGCTGGATATATCTCGAACATCTCGTCGGTGTGACTTGAGCAGCTGGGGTAATTTCTCATCTTCATGGGGACTCCTTCTACCACTACTGAGGCCCCCTGCTGTTACGCACTTCCTTGCGCATTTTCATCTTCACTGGTACAGTTGTTTGGATGCGCATTGGAGGTTGGGGATCGGCTCTGGTTTTACTGGCAGTGGATGTACAATAGCGGGTTTGACAACAGGGGGCTCGATGACGGGGGGCTCGACTGCATGAGTCTTGCGGTGCTAAGAAACCAATTAGCAAACTTTGGTAGTAATGTAGAGGTCAGAGCACTCACCTGTTTGAGTTCCGCATTTGACACGAAGAACCGGTAACAAACAGCGCACCTATTGTGAGCCGCCGCATCGTGCTTTTTCTTGAGCTCAAGGGTCTCAAACAATTGTCCACAAGGACCGCACGCTGTGTGATCCAGCCACAAATGTTCGCACAGCTCTTTTTCCGATCCCAAACGGACTTTTGGGTCACACAGGTCGCAGAAAAACTGCCCAGGCTTTCCAGAAAGACCAGATATAGATATGATGTGCTTCTGCTTCTTGGCTGGGTTGGCAAAGTATGTCTCACAAGCACAACAGTACGTGTTTTGATGTTTGTCTCTCTGATGCATCGAAAGCGCAACTTCTTGATCAAATTTCTTTCGGCAGACATTGCACTGGGAAGTCAACGGCTTTTTTCCCTGTATGGATCCTTTGAGAGTGACGAGAAAGTCTATCCAGCCTGTTTCTTCGATCCAGTTTCGTAAAGTGCATGATCTCTTTTCGAAATGTTTCAGAAGCCCGCTCATATGGCGATACTTCTTGTCACAGGTTGCGCATTGTAGGTCGATATTCCGAGTTGACGATGGGTGGAATCGCGCACAGTGAGTGGCGACAGCACTGCGGACAAGTTGACCAGTGCAAGCTGATTGGCATGAGCCGTGCTCAAGATGATCCATCATTCCTGAATAACATTTGAATCGTTTCTCGCAGCCGACGCAGCAGATCGGGGTCTCCGCGTGGCCAGCTTTATGCTAAGAAGTTGGGTTAGATCGGAAAGTCTACCAGTCCAGAGAAGGAGCTCACTTGGAGTAGCTCTGACTCTGTCGGGAATCCTTCATCGCATGCGTGGCATAGGTTGCCGTAATGCCATTTGGAGCAGTGTCGCTCTTTTTCCGCATCGCTTTGGAAATATCGGCAGCATTCGCCGCAGAAGGGATAAGGGACCGTGTTTGTTTTTGAAGTTGAGAGATGATGGCCAGAACCTTGAGCAACTTTCGGCTTTGACTCGCGCTCTATCTTGACACTGATAGGCGCCTCAACAATGATGCAATCATCATCAGAAGATAAGACCTCTCCCTCTTCGAGCTTGACGCGTTTGCGCGGCCGCTCCATTATGGCAGTAGGTGATGCAGTTGTAGTCTCAGCGGTTCCGGTAGGCGTTGTTTGAGTGTAAAAGGGAGAAGATGGAGTTTGCGTAGAGATCAGTGATGCTTTTGTGAGCGTTGCAACAAATGGACGGTGCGGGCGAGGCGGTAGATGTTCGCGATGGGAGTGTGTGGTTGGGTTAGGTGCTCCTGCCTTATTCAATACGATTGCCAACGGGACAATCAATCAATACCTAGGTACCTTAGGCGACTACCCCGCAGAGATCCTCCTAGAAACCGCTATTTTTGTCAAAGCCCAAGTAATGTATTAGGAGACCCGTGAATTCAAGAGGTTGCTCCAGATCATAAACCATTTGTGAGTTTAGCCCTTTGCCATTTACTATCATTTCCGACTATGCCAACCTCTTTTCTAGCTCTTATTTCGAACCAGCCACTCATGCCTTAGAAACCAAAAAACTGGTAATCAAACTCTGATTTATTCCCATCTGGACCTTCCTCCTCTTTGGCGTGGCCTTTGCTACAGCGCTCCTCGGTGGATATGTCTCGAATATGACCGATGCTTGAGCTGTCGCACACTTAAGCCGAGGGCCTTGGGTTTTCACGGGAGGCTTAACACCCTTTGGAGAAGCAACTCTCTCCAAAGGAACTTCTGGGCTTGCTTCAGACTTGACTTGTTTGACAGCGGCCGGAATAGAAGGGATTGTTGGAGGAGAAGTGACCGTTGGAAACTCTTTCTTCACGAGTAACAGTGGAACCGTCGACAAGGCCGGCTTAACCACAGTAAGAGGGTTGATTCCATGAAACTCCTTGTAATGCTGCCAATTATGTTAGGGGATTCAAATCGGTGAGTTGAATACTCACCTTACAAAGGTCGTTAGGACTCATGAAGAACTGGAAACAGTCAGGGCATCGATGATGAATCACAGCCCCATGAACCAACCGGTCCTGCTTATTGTCGAAGTTCAGTCCACAAGGCCTGCACTTGTTGTGGAAGTGCCACATATGGTCGTTGTAGTTCTTTTCCATGTCAAAAGCAATTGAGGGTCGGCAGATGGCGCAGACGTAAGCCTGAACTTTGATCGGCGTGCGCGAGATGATATGTTTATGCCATTCTTCCGAGTCGCGAAAAACCCTGTCACACGTTCGACAGACAGTATTCTCATGTTGATATCGCAAGTGATCAAAAAGATCAGCTTCCGAGTCAAACAGTCTTTTGCAAATGTTGCAAGTTCGGTTGGCAACATCGATTTCTTGCTTCAAGACGAAGAGTAGATCCATCAGGCCTGTTGCTTGCTGCCAGTTCCTCAGGGCGCAGAGTCTCGATTCCATGTGGCCGAAGAGAAGAGATAGGGTCTCGAATTCGACGTCGCACCCGGGGCAAGTCGTGTTCAGGCCAGTCTGGCCCTTTGTGAGACAGTGCTTGGAAAGTGCTCTGGCGAAGAAGGCGGAATTGAAGCCTGACTTGCATCGGTTTCCTTCAAGATGATACATCATTTGAGAATAAGAGATGCATCTGTGATCGCATGCCGGGCACTGAACTGGATGTGGGTCATGTGAATATAAATGCTAGGAAGATAACCCGTGTTACTCATAAAGTTCGAGGACGGACGACGAGGACTGACCTTTTTGAGATCTACGGCATTTTCAAATCCTATATCGCACGCGAAACATAGGAAATTATCCCAATGCCATTTGGCGTTATGCTCTGTTTGCTCCTTGACGTCCTTGAAGATGATTCGGCAGGGCATGCAGTGAAGCGTCCAACATGCTGTGAGTCTGAACATTTGTTCTTCCACCATGGCAAAAGTGCGCTCGATGTTCTGATTGCTGGAAATTGGGGTATGAAGTAGATTCAAGAGGTAATGAGCTAGGTTTCTCATTAACTTACTCCGGAATCATCAGAGCGTTATAACGAACCGGCGTAGCGAAGCAACAAACGCGTCTTCTTCATTGAGTTTCAGTCTTGGTTGGGCTGCGTAGCCCCAAAAGCAATTTGTTCCAGGGCGCGTCACGACGGGGCGGGGGTACTGCCCTTCCCTGGAACTACCTCCAGCCCCGCCCACGACTTTTCAACCGCCAGCAACATAAACTCGACTTTAAGACTGTCTGATATCAAATCGTGAGGCGATTTATATGACTCAAGCTTGATATCAAAGCATACTAGAATATACTTAAATTACCCAAGTTTCTAAGCCTCTCCGATCGTGAAGATAATAATCTTAGGTTTACCTATGTCCCCTTCTCAGTTTCATCAAGTACTCATTTGCCTTACCTATTCTAGGTACTTTAGGTCTCCATTGCAGTACGGTTGTTCTGAAGGGTTCTGAAACTTGCCTATTTCCTAGGTGGATTAGTCGGTTCACGATCAGTACAGCAAAGTTATGTTTAGGTAGACAGTCCCCTGCACATAGCAAGCATAAACAATCGCGGGATTACAGCCATTGTGAACGATTTGCTATATCTGAAAGAAGAGGAGGCTATCACCCGAGAGCCTCGTGTGGCAGCTCTCACTCTCGACACGCTGCAGAAGAGCGCCCATCAAACGCTGATTATGAGCTGGCTTCCACAAGTGTCCAGGTCCAGGCAAATCTGCCTCGAGGGTTACTGATGCCAGAAATCTATAGCTGGACGGGTCTTGGTTTATTGTGAGGGAAATCACTTCGAGCTTAAATATCCCAGTATCAAAAGGAAAAGACATAGGTGTAAGAACACTAGCACAGCATAGCACAATGTTAGACAAGAGGTTTAATTATGAAATGACCTGAATTTAATTATCTAAAATCAGTAGACAGACCAGCAGCTCTGAGAGCGAAGTACGGTGCAAGACCTTGCCTTAATTCGCCGAGAGCTGCTCGGTACAGTCGTCAATCTCTCCATACTAAAAAAGGCTCCTGAGACTTTGGAACCTCGACTGTCTACCTAACATAATTTGACAGCCGGGGTCAGAAACACATCCTGCCCGAGAGTGATACAGTTCTGTAACTTTGATGAACTGATGGGAAACTTTGAGCCTCGAGATGAAGCATCATGGCGTGCTGTAGTAAGGCAACGTGCGCCGCTCACAAAGCTCTAGCTATACTAAATACCGCCCCGTATATAGTCGAGGAGTCTGTCGTAGTCCGAGATACTCGCGTGACAGTTTTCACTTTCGACGTGCTGAAGCAAAGCGCTCAACTTGTCAAAATACGCCCCGCAATCACAATCCAAGTCATCGTCGTGATCATGATTCCAAGGTCTATAGATCTCGTAGTAGTCCCAAACCAACTGTCTGATGGAATGTTCGTCAGACCCCGACTCGCAAGTGTTGGCCTCGAGATGGAGCACCATGGCCGAATAGGATATGAACATCCTCGAACATCCGAGACATTCGACGTTTCTCGCGGCGTGGACCTTGCGGTGCTATGAAAGGATAAGTATGAAGAGAGAAAGATAAGACAGTAGTTGGGAAGACAAACGTTGATCAGGTTCGATCGCGAATTGAAAAACCGGCCGCAGGTTCGGCATTTATCATGAACATCCACATCATGGTCCAGAAGATCTTCCTCGTCGGAAAAGTACTCACCACATGGCATACAAGCATGGTGCTCTTCTATCAGATGATCCACCAGATCTTCTTGTGAGTCGAAGTCGGGCTCATGATAGCAGTGAGTACAGATATAATGTCGAGCAGAGTTCTCAATGTGCTGCTGCTTTGCACGTCCGTGCGGAAAGTGTCTATCGCACCGCCAACAGTAGGTATGAGAGTGGATGGCACGGATGTGTTGGTCCAGAGAGTTCTCTAGGCGGAAGTGCCTGTCGCAAGGAGGACAGTAAGGCATTGCGGGCTTCGCTAGGCTGATGGTATCATCTGAAAGCTAGGCTAGAATTAGATTGTGTCTTACAATTGAGCGAGAGACAGAGAGGTGACTGTAAGTCTAGATATGGGTTGATAAGAAGGTGAGTTGTTAAATGTTTGTGGGTGAAAGGAATTTGGTTTGAGGGGATATTAAGTTATTGATTGGTCCCACAAGACCCACTGCAGGCTACAAGACTGCGTTTATAAACCAGCAAACAGTTGTTGAAAGCTGTACCACCTCATTGAATGTTTTTGTTATTCAGAACACTTGTGTAACTGTTTGCCTAGCAACGTATTCAAGCAAGCTGACCAATGATATCAATCTCTAACATCAGGTAAACCACAAGGTGCCACATTTACAGAGGTACATCCCCAGAGCATCGTCCCTTGACAAGACTAGCATCCTTCCCTGTCAACCCATCAAAGTACTTCAGAAGAGTCTTCACGGGCACCATCTCCATCTTCCCTAAGTCGGGATTCGAAGAGGTCAACGTCTTTCCACTCCAAAGGACCCTAACAAAGTACTCCTCCTTTTTCTTATACAGCTCAAAAACAACTTCACTTCCCATACCAGGCCAGACCATCACATCGATCTGAAGAATACTCAACAATCGACTGATAGAACCATCGTGCGCAAAGTTGTGAAGATACAAAAGATCTTGCTTGCCGGCCATGACGGCACGGAAGTGGCTTGCTAGCTCGGCGATCCATACACCCCATGAGGTAGCGGACGCGGCGAGGGATTCGGGAGCGTCGCGGTACATTTGGGAGTATTCCCATTGGCCAAGACGATAGACTTTGTCAGCAAGTGTTTGGTCAACGCAGGTGGTTGAGTTCTTCCCGTTGACTAGCTTGCAGGGGAAGGGTTTCTTGTGGCATTGGCGAGCGGAGAGGTTATCGTAGTAGTGATCAAAACTTTCGTGGAACCCAACATCATTAGATGGGACACCAGAGATGTCATCGAGCGTCTTGTAAAGATCCTTGGTCTTATCAAGATGCTTTTGCCAGTCTTTATTAGAAGAAGACTTGATAGCGCTAGTCAACTGACTCCCAACACTGCATTTGTACTGCGGCTCCAGACTATCCACGCCAGCTTGTTGAATAACAAGCGGGACGGATTCGGTGGTCTGATACATGCCGTTGATGAACATACCAGCAACCTGACTGGTGATCTGGTTATTGGTAACTCGGAACATGACCTTGCTCCGCCAATCTTCCTTGCGGCCTGGAATGAATTTCAAAACGTCGTGGTAGACTTCATACAGATCTTTTCCGTGGACCCAAGAATCATCGAGGCCTTCGGCGGTAATTTGAGGAAATTGGCAGGATCCGATCCATCCGGAGGGGATGAACGGGTTGATTTCGGAGGTGAAACCTTTCCAGTAGCCTTGGGCGTTGGGTTTGGGGGATTCAGTGAATTGACGGCCGAAATAGTAGAGCCCTTGATTATCGCAGTTCCATTGGTATGGCTCAACGGGGAAAGCGTTGGCTGCGTAAGGAGTACGCTTATGATGTCTTTGGATCTGATGCTTGTCAGTCATATCATAGCTTTTCCACCGAAGGAATTACTTACCACTTCAACATATTGCAACTCGTAATCCTTGGGAGCTTTCTTATACTCCCTCTTCCTCGCATGAGGCATGTTACACCAATTATACGTCCCATACTTATCATCTGGCGTATGCGACGACTCGTAAATGAAGCCCCAAGTGCCCTTCTCATGCAAGACTTTATCCAGATTATTAACCTGACTAGAACTCGGAGGAAACCACTTCATATTTGCGTCATTGCCCAGTACCGGCGCAGCCGCGAGGAGGCCGAGTAACGAGCTTTTCGGTAGTGACGCCATATCCGCGTATTGTCTCAAAACGAAAAAAGTGCCAAAGGAGAAGACTGCTGTGAGAGCGAGCAGTCTCCCTCTGCAGCGGAACCAGGAGAGCGCCATTATATATAAGGTACTGAAGGGGGAAGGTAGTTTAGTTGATGGAGGATGGTTGTGAGGCTGGAAATTACGCGGTTTAATTGGAGCGCACGTGGAGACGCCATTGGCTGAGACAAGGTTATGAACTGGGTCTAGTGTTGCGGAGACGATGGCATGACATTGGATGTTTAGCCAGAACTGAGGATGCATCTTGGAACGTGAGTTGAGGATAGAATCTTAGCTATCTTCCACTGAATGGACTTTTCCAATGATGGTTACACCCACCGTTGGAGTGACAGTCGTGACACGTGAATCTGTAAGGTTGGAAGTTTATCTTGAAGCCTTACTCATTGAGAACACCGACAATGACAACTACAAGTTGTCATTTACCTAGTTAAAGGATATGAAGGAAAATCCTGCATTTCCTGGTAAGAACCGGATATGATCTAAATCTACCAATTCAGGGCAGAAGACTTATCTCCACTTGACAGATTAAAATCAGTGGGGACCCTCACGCCTGGCCCAGATTTGGGGTATTGGCGCGGCTTTTCAGCGGTCATCTTTAGTGGTGCCGTGCCGCTACTGGCCCCATAAGCTTTGTACCTGCGCCAACGCCTGACAGATCTTGGCAACTGTCGAGAAAAGACTAAAAGTGCCAGTGTACAGTCTTCATTCGTCATGTGAATGTTAAGAGACAATGACGATGCAGAGAACTTGTAAGCATGAAATCATTTGTGACACAACACTCATCGTCCTCATTCGCTCAAGTGAAGGAAGCACAATTACGTCACAGCTGAGGAGATCACCATAAAGTAAGCCGTAAGATCGAATGCCTCTCCAACAATGATCACCTTTGACAAACTTACTCGACAAAGACTCAATTATCTTCTATCTCTCTGAACTGCTATGGATATACCATTTGAAGCTCGGATCCCTCGCGATCCCAAGTTCAAAGCCGAAAACAGCAGCGACGCTTTCGTAGCCCTGGCCAAATGGGCAGTGGATTACTCAACAGCTGAGGGGGTCAAAGCAGGCTACAAAGCAGCCTTCCAGTCCGGTCAAGAAAGATTAAGTGGTTTCTTCTCAAGCATACAAGGTTCATCTAGCAAAGCTCCGGTAAGGCATTGCATCCTCGTCCTGAGATTGCGGCCGATTGAAACTGAGATAGGACTTGCCAACAGAGAAGTTGGTCCACTCGCCACTTCAAGACACAAAGGGAATTCGTCTTGTTGAGGTTGAAGTTAATGACTCTATTCTTTCTCTGACTATGAACACTTACTCCGCATCCGAGATACCGCCCTATGTCTGCCTCTCTTACGTGTGGGTTGATTTCGGACCGATGTGGAATCGCGGTCGTGACTTTCGCGAGTCTGAGCTTGAGGTTCCTCACTTCAGCCATGACGATAAGGTCGATATAGCAATCAATGGCCGCAGATTTCCTATCGGAGCCAACTTGCATGCTGCGCTACTTGGCCTACACAAATACCTCAACGGAACACCTATTTGGACTGACGCCGTATGTATTAACCAAGATGACCCGGCTGAAAAGACTGTCCAGGTAGCTCGCATGGATGAGATCTACAGTGCAGCTGAAAAAGTCTTTATCTGGCTCGGTAGGAAGCACACGGAACGAACAGCCGCGATGAGCATTCTTAAAGCATGGCCAGCATTTCCAGAAGACCCAAATCATGCTGATATCCAATTCCATGGGAAGAAGTACACAACTGCAAAAGGATTTTTCGACGCAACTTCGACGGGCTCAGAGCTTATATCATGGCTCAGCCTCCTCCGCATGGTCTCGGAGAGTTGGTGGAGTCGAGTTTGGACTGTCCAGGAGTTCATCCTCGCAAAAGAATACGCTTTCTATTACAATGGCGAGGAAGTCCCGGCGTCAGAGTTGAAGAAGGCGATGGATTGGACGTACTTTGTTGCGAGCTACTTCTCGCCTAAAATGGTGCCTCACTGGGTGACCTTTCAGCCTTCGATGTTTGAATTGAAGAAAGCTGGGAGAAAGCTCCATCTTCTTGATGTGACGATGCTTGGAGGGACTAGGATGGCTGGCGATCCGCGCGACAAGGTCTGGGCATTCCTCGGTATCACTGACCCGGCAACTCTTGGCCAAACACCTCTCAAACCAGATTACAGCAATCGAAATATGGGCGACTTCTACCTCGACATAGCGCAGCGTCTTATCAATGGTGACGCAGGCCTTCTAGTTTTGTCTCTGGTCTATCATCCACTTCCTCGGGGGTCTTATAAGTTCGAGTCAAAGAAGCCAATCGGCAACAGGCTGCTAGATAGGCATAAGGCAAAGAAGCGATTTCCTAAAAAGGAGCCAGATTGGGCGCCGCTGCAAGAAGATATCTTTGATGGTGCCCTCCAGCCGGATTGGTCTGGGAAGGAAGTTGGCTATCCAAGTTGGGTCCCGAAGATGGCGAGTGCCGTTGCGACTGAGCCACTGTTCCTGAAGGAGATGAAGGCTCAAAGAGCTCGGGGTAGACCGCTGTATGATCATAATTGGCGAGTCTTTCATGCGGCGTCTAATGTAAAGGGTGGTTACTCGTTATCCGGAAACGGAAGAACACTCTCAGTGAGTGCCTTTGTCTTGGATAGAATCACCAAGGTTGCCCCTTTGCCCAAGAAAAAAGAAGACGAGAAGGCCTTCTACAAGAGTCTTCGGTCATGGTACCCAGGGAGGACTCGTCTCGTCGACATAGCTTATCCGCCCAACCCTCCCACGACCGTCCCGGAGGCGCTCTGGCGAACCCTCTTGACGGACATATGGCTCACTACCCATCCAGCACCTGATGCTTGCAGCGATCACTTTGCAAATTATCTTGCTCGTATCTCAGACTCTGCTTCAGATGCTAAGCGTGATCTTCGATCCAAGCAGAAGCCTGATCCAGAGGAGGGAGACATCTTTACGATTGCGGTGGATGATGCTGGGACTGATAGAGTGCTTTTTGTAACTGAGAAGGGATACTTGGGACTGGGGCCAGCGAGGACAGAAGTTGGGGACGATGTGAGCCTGATTGCTGGGGCGCATGTACCGTTCGTGCTGCGTAAAGGAAATCAAGGGTGGATTTTGGTTGGGGAGACTTATGTACATGGAGTGATGTATGGCGAGGCTGCGTTCCAGGAGTACTTCCAGAAGATTGAGATTGTTTGAAAGACGGTTCTATATGATTTGAAAGAGAGCCATAGAATGACATATCTGGGCCTGACGGAGGGCAAGCTGTTCTTTCGAAGTTGATAGCATGAAGCCTTAGCAACACGGTTAAGTATAATATTCTGAAAGCCACTACCTTATCTAGCTCAATATGCTACCCGACATTTACACGAAACTGAGATCAAAACTCAACACACCACAACCGAACTCACTGCCCCTGTACCTTTTGCTTCCCAGTCTTGACCTGCTGAGGCGGCCGAGTCCTCCTAACCTGCTTATACCGATTCTCATAGGTCGTAAGATCTTCACTATCTTCATCCCTTGGAGGCCAAGTCGTCACACGATGAGGATCAGCAGCATCATCCGCAAACCGACGCATATACTGTCTCCCCTCACGATCCAATGGCTCCATCTGTGCCCTCTGAAAAGCTAGCCTGTTTCCTTGAGGATGGTACATCACACCAGCAACACCATGAGATTGACCCGTGTGCCTATCAACAGCGACAACGCCTCGGAAAGGGCCGGGGGTGTTGAGTTCACTCTGAACTATGCGTCCTCTGTCGCGAGGCTCGTGAGGTCTTTCCTCGCGTCTCTGGACTTTCGCGAAAGGAGCGGACTTTTTGTTCAAGTCCATGCGACAGTTCACAGGGACTTCGTGCAGATTTACATCACTAGGACGGTTTCTCTGCTCAAATGGTTGGAAGATCTTCTGATCTGGTGCAGTGCTAGTTGGTTCCTGGTTTAGGTAGACGTGAGGGTAAGGACCGTTGGTGCTGTCGTCGTTTGGGTCGATTGGCATTTGGCGGACCTGTTCTTCCACAACTGGAGCAGGAATGCTGCCCCGAGGAGTGTAGTATTGCTGTAGATGGGTGGTCATTATAAGAAACGGCGCTTGAGTGGATAGTGAAGTGCGGGACCAAAGATCGGAGGGTGGGGGCTGAGGTGAGGTTGGTTAACCAACATACCATTTTGCTCATATCCTCATCGGTGCTACGTCTCGGCTCCTTCTTGCTGCCAAGTCCAAAGAAGCGACTCATGATGAATGATATACTTCAACGACGGAGTATTTGTGAATGAGTTATAGGAAAGGCAATAAAAACACCAAAGGAAAATGATGCTGATAAGAGAAAAGGCAAATAAGAGAAACGCGGACTTATTGGGCAAAAGCAAGTGGCCAGTCGACCAGCGATGGCTTTGAGGAATTGTGTGGCAAGCAATGATCTGAAGAGCTGCTCACCTCTGTAAACGGAGGTCGCCAGTTTATATATCTAAACGATGAAGCAATTTCAGAAACTGAAAGTCCTTCAAGTGGTTGGCCCAAGTCAGAGACCATTATCTGCTGATTTTCTAGTCAAGCGAGGCATAATTTAGGAAACTTAGAACCAACATGCATAACACCTGAGACAAAGAGAGACCCAGTGTCAAGACCCATGGTGATCGATCCCCTGTCAATACCCTGGAAGGGTTCCTGCGAGCGCTTGTACGGATGTGACAGGTCTACGCGGCGGCTCGTTAATGTTACGCGCGCTTAAGCCTGTCATTAACATCATTTTGACATGTGATGTCTCTTTATCTTCTCGTTGTCTCGAAGTATGGTACAAGCTCAATTGTAATCGATGGAAGCCCATCGATCAACAAAACAGTGGACAACTTGATCAGGCGTGGCAATTCCTCTTCTCACCACGTCAACCGAGGACGCGCGACTCTTAGGGATAAACAATGTTACAATAAGAAATAATCCAACTGTTTACCTGTTGGTCTGTTTAATTTCATGATATGATCTTATGCCTGCAAAAGTTCTTGATGATTATCTGCCGAGATACCGAATGAGCCCTGTCCTTGTTTCAGTTGAGTTACCGCGCGTTTGCAGTGCTGCGATTCTGATTGGGCGATGGCAAGGCGCAGCAAACCTCGGCGGCTAACTAAAAGACCGCAACGAGACCACCTACTCAGCCTCGCAAACTGCCTAGCGACATTGCCCATATCATTCAGAAAGAATATTGATCGTTCCTCTTCATCCTTCAACCTTCTTATCTTTTTTTTTCACTCGTTCACTGCACCAAAAACTCAACCACCTCTTGATACACAAGCGGCCGTTCATTCTCATCCACTACCATGACCGACCAAACCCAGGCTTCAGATAGCCCCAAGTGGCTCAAGCACATTGAGGATATGATAGGAGAGGAGGAGGAAGAGGAAGATGAGATCGACTCTGAAGCCATTTACTACAGAATTGTTCGCGATATGCTCCTCTCAGAAGAGAATCCAGACAAATCTGTCTCTGAAGCCATTCAAAAGTTTTACGATTATTACGTCGCCGGATTTTCTGGAGAGGACTTTGGCGGAAGGGAGCCACCAGAATATGATGCAGGTGGAACCCTAAACAGTATCGCAGACATTGTGTTCGAACTAGTCGCCAAAATTCCCTTCACAGACCCCAAGCAAGACATGCTCTCCAATTTCCTGATTGGTATTGCGAAGAATGCTGCCGATAGCTTTGATGAGAAGGTATGATATAGAATACTCATAACACAATCCAGAAACACTGACCATTCTGTAGGATCCTCGTTTTGTCTGTTGGAGCTGGGGAGTCCAAGCAGCCGCAGTAGAGAGATGGAATGCCTGTCACAGTACGCAGTTTCACTGCCACTAACTTCAAATCTCATTTTACTAACGCCTTGTGAAGTCGATGCAGGACGCTTGGATCGCGAAGGGCCAGCTGTAGATAAAGCCATAGACAGATGGCTCAGTACAACTGCTCTGATCGCCAAACTATTCCAAGCAGATCTCCTTGGGGCGTATGGCCCCCTCTGGCTATCAAACGATTTCATAAGAGCCTTTAAGACGCATACAGACGGCGACTATACTAAGCATCCAGTTAGACAAGCACAGATTCTTGCTGTTGCGAACTACATCTTCCTCGCGGGTGAAGCGCTTGCGCAGGATGCGAAGATAGCCTCACCAGAAAGAAGGTATGACTTGGATGCGGAGAATTGGAAGTTGTGGGCTTCGAAACTCAAAGAGGTCTCTGATACAGTGGATGAGAACGTGAGATGGGATCTCAAGGAGAAGACTCGGAAGGCGTACGAGAAGATGATTGAGCTGTATCCAGAGCCCTTTTCATCGGATCAGAAGACTGGAGAATGACGGTCACACAAAAGGATACTATATAGGTTTAGATTTTTATTATCGTTTGTTTGAAGACATCCCGTGGCTGTACTTCGACAGCGTGAGTAGACGCTCACGAAAACGCCTTCGTTGAGTTACCCCGCTTCCATGACATCTCGGCATCATGAGTTCCGTCACAAAGCCTGCACAAGTGGATGTCGTGACAAGGAGTAAGAGCGAATGAACGGAAAGGTGTTTCCTATTGAAGAATATTCAAAATACCGAACTTATTGTTGTGTGGCTCTGGATTTTAAATATGGCTCTTCCCGAGTATTCGTATCTTATACGAGCTGCGAGCCTGGGACTATCCTCCATTAGTCATCGTCGACGTCACTATGGACCTTGTTTTGACTACAGCATGATGAAGGCAGTGTTGATTTATCAGCTAATGAGAGAACTATTGGATTCAAAGACATAAATACCGCACTGCATCCATCTTCAAAGGGGGCACAGCAACTGAGCTATTGTTATCGAAGAAAGGACAAAATGGAGGCCTTGAAGGGACAGACCGCTTTTATCGTTCGTACCCATTGGCAAGTAGACTTTAGGACGCTAATCCTGTGTATAGACTGGAGCCTCTATGGGCATTGGTGAAGCCATTGCGTTGGCTCTGGCTGAGCATGGAGTGAACGTTGCTCTGGTATCTCGAAGCAAGGTACGGGTCGGTCAAAGAACCCCTAGGCCACTCACTGATGAATTTCTTCCATGTAGGATAAGCTTGAAGCAGTGCGAAACAACATCACATCCAAATTCCCCGAGATCAAGGTCGGAGTCTACCCTGTTGACATCCAGAACCAACTAGACATTGAGAAGGCAGTCAAGTCGGCCATATCTGAGCTTGGTCAGATTGACATCCTCATTAACAATGTTATTCAAGTATATCTTCTTAGACGGTTTCTCAGTGCTAACGATATCTTAGGCCGGGCTTGCACTTGGCGCGCCGGGGCGCTTTTGGGAAATTCCCATCGATCAAGTCGCCCAGATGTCGAACACCAATATCAACGGCGTCATGTTCACCACCCACGCCGTCCTCAACCACTCGATGTGGGAACGAAAGACAGGAGCCATCATAAACGTCTCATCCGTCACAGGTCTCGAGTGTCCACCCTTTAACGGCGAAGCAGTATATCACGCATCAAAAGCCTTCTTGGAGGGCTTCTCTAACAGTCTACGAATGGAAACTGCTGGATCAGATATTAGGGTTTTAGTTCTTCGGCCAGGTGCTGTCCAGACACATTTTCATCTTCAACGTGTTCAGTACGATCAGAGTGCTATGGATGACTTTGTTGAGGGATATGAGCCGCTGGTTGCAGAAGATTTAGCACAGTCGGTATTATACATGCTGAGCTTACCGCCTCGGATTTCTATCAAGGCTTTCGATTGTGTTCCTACGGCGCAGAGGGCTTTGACAAACTTTGATCGGGAGTGGAACTCACGTCGTGAATAGCTTCAATAATAGAGTTTGTGATGCAAGGAAATCAACAGATTCGGTTAAGAATGGTTTGCAATATGACGCCATCTTCATACCTAAGGACTGATAGCTCTAGTTCTATAGTCTACTTTCTGCATGGCATGGTGCCTTCGGTTGCCTCAGCAGGATTTTCCTTATCCTGTCTGTTTCTTCTTTTTCTTGGAGACCTTGGACACTTCAGAATGGCACCTTTTGCAATTGCCTGCCTCTCTGCCCCTCTCCTTACCGCATCTTAAACAAAGACCACTCTCACGTCGTCTAGAGTAGGCGGCCTGATAAGCAACATGCTTCTTGGAGCAAGAGCCGCACCTATACGTCTCAGAGGGTTCGCCACAGGTAGCGCATAGCTTGGTCGTCTCACCAGTGATTGGATCTTTGATGCCCTGATTTCGGCGTCGCTTGGTACGAGCTCGCTGTTGAGCCGACATTCTATCTAGGCAATCGCCGCATTGCTTGCGGTTAGCCCGGACTGGATTGTGGCAGGATCCTCTAGAGCATATGGCAGGTTCATTGACCAACGGAGAATCTTGCATAGTGGTTTGGCTGACTGTTTCATCCGCAAGAGATTGGCTGTCAATCGAATCAGCGAGGTGACTGGCAACGGGAGGATATGGGCTCAAGATGTAACTAAAATCGAAGGGTTTGGGCCCGAAGCGTCTGCGTCTGCCCTGTCCTGGACCCCAATCCTTGCGAGAAGGCATGATAATCTGGTTTCGTTTAGTCTCGAATAACTGCAGAGAAATACCTTGGGTAATTTTCAACTGAGTCCAGTTAAACAAAGTGATCAGAGTCTAAGTTCTGTCCGCTGGGTTAAGCTCTCAGCCACAAGTCTCAACTGCAAATAAAAGGTGATCAGAGATTCGATGATCGTATTGAAGTCCCAAATGTCGGAGGAAGTTTCACATTTTATACCAGATCCACGCCTCGTCATCAGCATGAAGAATTTTCTACGATGTACCACCGAGCAGATATGTAATGTTCATTTATACCTGAGTTTACTGAACTGTTTATGACGGTTCAGGTCTTGTTTGAAGCTCAAGCACAAAGAACAAGGTAGTCCTTTGTGTCGAATTCTCCCTTTCTTGAGTTCTCTTGAACAAGGCCCACCAATGTGGGTGCTTTCTACCCGAGTTGCCATCACCGATTACGCTCAAGTATCCAATAGGGCGTAGCAATCCCCTGCATGGTGCAGGAATCATGCATAGAGAATAGCCTGTCCCTATGGTGCAAGAAGGCTTCTAACGTTAAATTAAGGTACCAAAATTACTTAGTCTAAGATTCTCTAAATCTGTACTAAATTAACTCAATTAACCTCAGCGTACCTAAGGACTTTTGTTACCTAAGATAGAGGTCCTAAGTTTTACTGCACCCCCTTACCTGTCTACGGGATAAAGTCTCATCCTGTTACATGGCATAATATTTTAGTACGTAACACTGCATTGTAATGGAAACAGCTAAGCCTTGTTCAGTTAGATCTTCGCTGTCAGATTTAAGGGTTCATTCAACCTGCATGGGTTCTCGCTCCCAGCTTAAAACAACATTTGGATCAAGACATGCCACCAATCCCTTTCCACTCCTGAACACCAACATTTTACAACCTTGTTCGCAATTTCCCTCTCTATATCCAAAATGGCCCCCTCATGGCTTGAGAAGTTCATTATTCGCGAGGACGCAACTCCCGATCCCCGACGCAGCGCGGAAAAGCCCGCGCTGGAGATGCACTACACCGCTCTTGTCGGACACCGCCGAATCGTGGGTGTCAAGGGCGACAAAACACCTCGTTACGAGGTCGAGCGACGAGCTGTTCTGGAAATATGGGGCGATAAATGTTACGTCAAGTCTCCGACTCAGAACGCGGAGATCGCTATAATCGATTTTCATAGCATCCCTCCCAAGACGGAGGTGAAATTCTCACAGCAGAGCCGTACCATTACTATGAAGGGGGCTGTTGGAAAGTACACTGCTAGTGGCGGTCTGGGTGAACTGCACTGGAAGCCAACGGGAATGGTTGTGCACGGCAAAGCTTCTTGGGAGCTTAGGGATGAGGGAGATCTTGTGATGTCAGTTACGATTGATGATCAGCAGGTTAATGGGATGATTTGTCTTTGGAAGAGTGGACTTGCTCCAGAATTGCAAGAGGAGCTGATCATGGTCGGAATCTCCAAGATTGAGGAGTATCGGAGGCTGATCCGGAACTCAAAGGTAGCTGCAGTGGGTGCCGTCTCCAATGCGTCTTGGCTGGCAGTCTAGACCAGACTGGTTTGAAGATCAAGGCCTATGATCAAGGAGTGAGGGGATTTGGCTTGTCTTGCTTGTTCTGCGATTTGACTTTCCTCTGTGGTCTTCCTATCAATATCTTTTAGTGACATTCTGGAGAACAGATGCCATGATTGAAATCACCTAGGAGTTGTTCCGAGAATAGATCATACTCTTTAGTATTATTAGAGTTATGACCCAAAAATATTATTTATCTCTTTTGATAGTTCGACGCAAGGGTTATTTGGAGTAGTGGATATGGGAGCGTTCGCTGCCATGATGTCTCTGCGCTTTTCGACGGAGGCGCGTCACTATTAATAGTTGACTGGCGAAATGTAACACAACAGGCTCTGAATAAAAGTCGCGGCGCTTTTGAACGGAGATGTATGACTCTCAATACCGTTGGCTTATTCATTGCACATGAAAAGCCATAGATCGTTTCTCGCCGTTGGGGGACGGAATCTGGTAACTATTCTTAGACTTGTGGCATGCTGGTATGAATGGACGAGATGTTGCTTATGAGTAAGGTTTGAATTATGAGGAAGTGTTTCTAAACGAGGGTCCAGGAAGTAGCATAAATAGTCGCGTGTTTGCCTGCTTTATTGAGAGAACATTATCATCAACAAGCAAACCATCCCATCAAGAACAAGGATCAAGTCAATCATCTCAAGAGTCCAACAACATCAAAATGCATCTCTCCTCCCTCATCACTATCATCACCCTCAGCCTCGGCGCCAACGCCATGGCCATTGAAGAAGACACCTCCCTCGAAACCCGCACTGATCACTGCAACCCGGGCATTGATCTCATCAAGCTCAAGATCAAGCCCGGCAAGTCCTTCACTGGCGTTGGCAAGCCGGGAAAATGCTACAATCTTCCCGCCAACATCAAGACCTTTGACGTCTACTCTGACGACACCAAGTCCCTTGTCAGTTGCTTCGACTGCAAGGTGTACACTGAGGCCAACTGTAAGGGAAGTTTTGTCAGCCTCGAGGGAGCCGACAATTTTTCGTTCAAGACTACGAAGAAGCCTCACTACAAGAGCTGGAGGTGCGGTCCTCCTTAAGAGACATGGAGTTTTGGGTACACGATGAATGGATCTGTGAGGGAGAGGTCTTAGGGGATCAGGTTGGTAGTACCAGGACGTTCATTAGCTCAGCACCTCTGAGTTCGTTATGCCATGCGACGATTCGGGGGGTGCAAGAAGATTCGGTTCAGGAATGGAGGATTTATTTTGATTCAAACATTCTCTTGCAGTATAGGTATACGTCTTATTTGCTACATCACTCTTTGACGTTAGTTTAGGAATCTATTATTAGTTATTTGTATGTTGGAAGCCCACGTAGCTAGCTCATCAGGTCTCGCGACACTGTAACACACTTGACATAGGTAGGCACTAAAGCAATTAAAGGATGGGTCTTCTGAAAAGTGTTTGTATGTTAAGCCGCTTTCGCTATTGCATCCTTGCTGATATCCTGTTTGGCCGTTGGATGCCACTGACTTGAGGCCACACGAAGCAAATGCGAATTCCCCTGATTCTGACCTGTCGCCTACTCCTCTGAAACAGCTTTCCAGTTTCTCCACCGCTGGCCCGGACGCCTTCCATGATCCACGCACCAGTGACACAGAATCTCGTTTGTCTTGGATTCGCCACAACCCTCACACAAGCCTTTCTTTTTCCTGCTTGACAGATTAGTTAAGCTGAATTAGATCCGGGGTTGAAGGTTCGTCTGATTACCTCCGATATGCGCGACCAGAGTCAAGGCAGTAATCACACTTCTGAAGACCCTTAACCTTTGGCATTTTGCAGCCCATAGTGGAACAACTTCGGTCTCCCTCCGAACTACCTGCCTGTGACGGTCCAGAACTAGACGCATTCTCGACAGGCGCGTGGTCTATCGTGGGCTCCGTGTTTTTATTCCCCGGTGAACTACTGGTATGCTCGTTGGCTACATCATCGGTTTCGCGGTTCGCTGCGTGCAGAAATTCCTCAAACGTTTCGAAGTCGGTAGGATGCATTTTGGATAGTCGAGATACGTGTTGAATGTTTCTGAATACTGTTGATGGTTTGAAGTGGTAAGGTGCCTTGTTGAGAGTTTGTTGGAGAGAAGAAATCTTGACTTTCTTGGATCTCTTTCCTGTCTGTCTCTGCTCCGATTATTGGAACCTCTGAGCAGGTGCCAACAAAATGCTCGAGGTCAGCATCGGCTGTCATGTCCGGCAACTCTAAGTTCTGTCCGCTGATTTAAGCTCTCAGCCAGCAACTCAAGATGGCACTCTCATCTCAGCATGTTCGCCCGACTCGCTCACAGTCTGTGATGCGTGTTTCATGGCACCTGCTATATGAAGTTTGCTCCTGCCAGCAGAGTGAGGCACATTTTCACCCCTGCAGAGATTCCCAGGTTTCCTGATCGTTACCGATATCAAGATCAGACTTAGTGAGTGCCTGGAATTTACCCTGTACCGGCCTCATTCGGTCCCATCTCATCTTCTACTTATTTTAAAGCTTCAGACGATATTATAGTAACAACTTGGAGATACTTCAATCAGCACATATATGTTAAAAATCTACCATTTTGATATCGCCTAATTGATTTAGAGTTGAAGCTTATGACATCTCAACGAGACATCTCGAGCTAATGTACTCAAGATTTCCAATTAGCTTCAGTTTTTGAAAGGCAATATGCGTATAGTTTCAACAAAGATCAATCACCAACCTTATTTGCAGCTGCCTGCGATACAAGAAATTGTTACCTAAATCTCAGTCTTGTATACGTACTACTCGTCCTTAACAAATACATACCACATCAAAATGCCTCCGGTAAGAATGATGTTCTACCTCCTGAATTCATCTCTAACATTAGGAAAAGCAGATGTACCCTCTAAAACCAACTGATCCTGAGTATCGCAAATGTAAGGACCGTTCAGATGGCGTTTGCAGGTATACGACTAACCTTGTCTAGACGACGACTACTTCAACGATAACTGGAAACACGCCCTCAAGATAGCCAAGGTCCGAAAGATTTTCCGTGTTCGCGACAAAGAATTAGCTGCATCATACAGATGGAGAAGACATAAGCGGTATGGCGGAAAGTCTGTCCACCGGGCTAGATTGTTATTTCATGGCACAACTCGTGCCTGTAATGCTGGCGAGGAGAAGGGCAGTGGTAAGATGAAGTGGTGCAACAAGTCAGACTGTGGCCTTTGTGGAATTATGAAGAACTCTTTCAAAGTCAGCAAGTCAAGTAAGTAGCGCTGATGTTACTTTGACTGACACTGACCATGAATGAAGAAGCGGGTATGTTTGGACGCGGTATATATACCGCACAGGTATCATCAAGTAAGTCGGCGAAACAGAAGCACTGGACTACTTCTGATACTTTTCCAGAATCAGATATGTTCGTCAAAAGTATGCATCACAGGTCTCGGCTTCATGCCATGTTTATATGTCAAGTCATTAGCGAAAGACCTCAATATATGATGGTGGCAAGCCAAAAAAGGACCGCGCCGGACCCTGGCTACGATAGCGTGAGTCTTTCTTACTTGCCTACCTTGGTCAAATATCATAACTAAGTGCTGCAGGTTGAAGGTCTCGCGATGGGGGAGGGAGGAATACTTACGGAACGCGAGACGGTTGTTTACCGAGATGATGCCATCGTTCCTGTGGCGGTCATAATGTACGAGACGTCTCCATATAAGAGAATTGGGATGTCGGGCATCATCACGCCTGGCGCGCCATTGGCTGCGGCAGGGGGTGTGGGAGCAAGGCCCTTGCCACCAAGACCAGCAAGACGAACTTTTCTATCAAAACTATTCGGCCCTTAATGGCCGCAAGCTCATCCGACCTCAGTTGAAATGCCATCATACAAGTAATAATATTACTTACAAAAGTAGACTCTCACTTGTTTAGTATACACCAGCTTTAGTCGTTACTTCTCGTGAAATTGTGTACGTCTTGGCCGGAGCTCTCAACGTCGCAACCATGAAAACGGACAAGCAAAGGAACAAAAAGACGACACTTGGAAGCGTCAGATGAATGCGTAATCAGGGAATCGAACCCTGGGCTCCCCGACGCTGCTCGAATGGCAACGGAGAATTTTACCACTAAACCAATTACGCGGTGTTTTTGATGTCTCGTGTTGTCGCAAAGACTCCACAGGTTTCTCCATCGTGGTGTTGCGTGAGAGTGGAGACGAGGATAGTGTCTAAGTGGGGAGCAGTCTAGTCATACGAGGACCTGTATTACTGGTGCATAAGTGAGATGAGCCTCAGGTGAGTTGCGGTTGAAGGATCCTTAAGCTTGGGCTGGTTGTTGTCCTCCACCTTGAGCAAAGACATCCAGTCTCTCTATGACCACCAGGAGAGGAGATGAGGAGAACTTGGTTGATCAGTATCGATAAATCAGTAGGTATCTGTTATTAAATTTCATCAATGAGTACCATTGGCTAAGTATTTGTTCACAACCTCATCCACAACCTTCTGACAAATCCCTCTATGAACCTCATCGGCAGTCCTCGCAACAAACGGCATAAGAAGACTATTCGCCTCAATAATAACCTCCTCATACAACTCCCACTCCTCCACCAGCGTCCCCGGACTGCTAGTAGTACTCGGACTGCTCCCAAACTCCTGCCTCGGCCTCACAATCCACTCCGTCCTCACAGTAACACCAGCCTTGGCATCAGCTCTACAGCGAATTCCATTCGGTATACTCAGACACGTCACAGGCCAGCTCCTATCCCTGGTCAGACCGGGCGCCAGCATGAGTCTCTCGCTGGACGAAAACGTCCTCACGCTGCTATTAGGCGTTCCAAAGAATGGGTCTCTGCTGACGAGCTCCATGTTGGGCGTCGTCTCTTTGAAGCTCATAATGACATTGTTGTTGGCTAGCATGGGCGTGTAGGTCTGGATGTGAGCGAGGACGATTTCCGGCGGCACGCGGCTCGGGATAGGGACGGTGATGAATATCTGATGCTTAGACCGCATGGCCTAGTCTACAGCAGTACAGCCAGTGAGTGTTATCTAATGAGCATCGAAAGTGTTAGTCATAGCTTGGTCATACTAGGTAGGTACATGAAACGCCATATCTTTTGAGTGAATGTACATCAGACATGGCATTATGTGTTTCCCCCCGGGCCTCACCTTTTTGTGTTTCTAGACGTGAACTTACGTTGATTCGTCGTAGGATGCTCCGTCTTCCCCGCAAGTTGAGGCAATTTCGGCCGCCCGTGAGTAGTCAGCACTAACAACCTTGCTGAAGATGGCGCACTAGGCATGCGACGATTGCAAAATAGGGATGCAGTTGGTGTGCGACTGGTTCTTCTAGAAGGGGTTTATGCCTGTATCGTGCACATCCGAGGACTCCGATGAACAAGACAGGACATGACAGGACAGGACTTTGATTAAAGTTTTGCTGTCATCTTTTTTTTTTTTGGCTGCGTGTCTTAATCTGACAGTGAGGCAGGTCTTTTTCATTGGTCAGGAGGTGAGCCACTATTGAAGGGGTTGGGCGCTGTGATAGGCTATTGGGGCTGAATAGAGTTATCAGCAATTTCATACCCTGGACTCTGGAATTGTTTGTTTCTCCTTTTATGCTGCAAGTAAAGAAAGCTGAACTGTTGAAGATTCTTTGACTATCTAATTTGTACTGTATGATGGGTTAAAGCTAAAGCAATAAGTGAACAATTTGGTTGAGGATACAACATCTAAGCCCTAAGTCCCGGGACATTAAATCCGCCTCATAACTCCTCCACATCTTGAGACTTAGGATTTACGACTTCATTCCTTGACTGCCACAACAAGTGATTCAAGCATTCCCGGATGGCAGCTTAATGGTTATCCTGCAAAAGTGTCTCAAAAGCCTTGCGAGATATAGTCCAAGTCGGACCATTGGGCATACCGCCAGGGCTTCGAGGAAAGACAGACGCGTCAACAACGCGTAGATTATCAACGCCACGCACGCGAAACCTCGAGTCAACACAAGAATTTTTATCGTCATCAGCTCCAATGGCGCAGGTTGAGGAGGCGTGATGGCTGAATGCCAAGTCTTGGATACTCTGTCTCAGATTCTCGGGGTCAGGACTGAGCTGCGTATACGGAACACCAGTCGCGTCAAATGCCCTTCTGAGGAGCTCAATTCCTTCAACAATAGCGTCGAGATCACGCTCAGCTGACTCGGCGAAGTAGTTGAAGTTGATATTAGGTCGAATGCGAGGATCGGATGAGTTGAGTCGAACGGTACCGGCGCTGTTGCTGGTCTGCATCTTGACAACAGCGTGCATCCACTCTGCGGGATCATTGCCAGCCCTGGCGCCAGTTGAGTAGCCTGGGTAGAAGCCTACTAAGCCTGAGAGGCCGGGACTGCTGAGGAACATGAGGTCCGAGTCATTGTCCCAGCTTTGGCTGCTTTGCCAGACGGCGCCGTAGCTGCTGTCGCGTGATGCATATGGTCCCGAAGCGTCGTCTCGCCAGAGTACGAAGCAGGGGTCTTCGTCGTCGAACGTGCCAGTACATGGAGACTCACGCGGGACCAGCCAATTCTCTTCACCGCGAATTTGGACGGGGACCTCGTAGTTATCATGCAGGTTAGAGCCCTGATGATAGTCAGCATGGAACAGTTCAGAATTGGCTAGGGCACTCACAACAGCAGGTAGGTCGACAACAACAGGGATATCCCAAGCCTCCAACTCCTCACGAGGGCCAATACCACTCAGCATAAGGATCTGAGGAGTGTTGAACGCACCACCAGAGACAATGACCTCGTGTTTAGCATGGACCTCCCGAGTCTCACCAGTCTGCTCAGGATCATATCGTCCGTCAGCAGAGTACAACCCCTCTCCAACCATATACTCCACACCATAAGCGCGGGGCTTCTTGTTACGGCCCTGTTTGGTAAGAACTCGTGTCGCCAGAGAATGAAAGCTGACAGTCAATGGGTGTCCGGCATCGATGACCTGGTTGATGTAGATACCAGCACCACTTCTTGCAGCTGTGCCGGGATCAATTGCGACGGGTGTGCTGTACATGCGACCGTTTTCGTAGCGGCTGGGATCAGGGCCGTTGAGATCACGGCGAAGAAGCTCGGCCATTTCGGCGGGATCTTCGACATCAATGCCTTCGGTCTCACGAAACATCTGTGAAAAGAAGTTGGCAACATTAGGGGATCCGATATTGACCGTTGCGTTACTCTGATCGTTCTATAGATAACGTCTTAGTATCATGTCGCGAAGGAAGATGGTTGGTCCTTACCACCAGGTAACTATCAAATCCATGACCAGGAGTACCCTGCGGTACGTAGGTGCAGTTCTCGAGGTTCATCAGATGCCGACGCATATGCTCATGGCCCCAAGAGGAGTCGCCCGTGAGATTGGCGATGTAGTCCCACTCGTTATCGGGGGACCAGGCAAAGTTCATGGCGTTGACTTGCGCACTACCACCGAGGGTTGAGCCGCGAGGATAGTATAAGCCGGCACTATGATCTTGGTATGAGCCAATTTGGACGAGCAAGAGTGCTGATACTTACGGTCTAGCACCCTCGGGCGGATCAAGGCCAACGTAGTACGAGCCATTGGTCTGGATATAAGTGTATTTGGGATCACGACGAGCCGCATCAAAGTCCTCGTAGTGATTGACGAAGAACTGCCACGAGTGTCCGGGAGTCTCGGCAGCAGTTCGGGCCCTGAAGACCGTTAACAACAGTGCGCACTTGCGAGGTTCTCACTTACAATGCAGGGAGTTGCTCAAGAATACTAGTATGGTTGTCTCCTCCCGCTTCGATCAGAAAGACGGAGTGACCCTCTCTAGCTAAGTTGGCACTGATGACTCTGTCAGTATGAGAGATTTTTATTCAATTCCTGCTTTGACTCACGCAAGGGATCCTCCTCCCGGGCCTGAGCCAATGATGACATAGTCGTAGACGTCGGGCTTCGTTGCAAGACCGGTAGTGCCGGTAGCCAAAACGGCACCTAGGGCAAGTTTGAGGCGATTCAGAATCATGATGTAGATGTTATAAAAGAAGTTGTTGTTTCGATTGTTCTGCTAGATCAAATCCGATTTTAAGTCGATAACTTGTGTTTATATACATCTCAGCAGCGGCTTAGACCAACTCCCAATATCCTCCATTGCTGTCGCCAAAGATGTTTCCATCTTGGCGATTCTCACACTGAGCTTCACAGCCTCGCAGCCGCGTCAGTTCCATTGAAGCGACCGCGTAATGTCGATGAGAATCACTTGTGGAAGTGGTAGCCATGGAGCTCCGCGGGCATGTCCGGTGTGATTGTAGTCACTGGTCAGCAATGCTGACATGCCAAGTCTGAGACGCATCAAAGCTCACCAAGCCAAGTTCTCACGGCGAGCCACTTAGGGATCAGAGAAAGCGAGGATGTTCATTCTGGAGCAAACGAGTTGTAGAAATAAAGTTTTGAACTCGGGGATGAGGTGCCAAACGAGGGACTATTTACAGAACACGCTGATAAGTCATATTTTCTATTCTTGGTATGTAGAGGATCAGATTAATTGAACCTTGCAACTTGTAACTCGCACTACCCTCAACATAATAATCAGTTGCACTTATGCATTCACTAACTGCAGTCCCATGCCGGCCACAATGGCCCAAGCTGGCACCATGGTCGCCAAAGCCCCCGAAGTCGACGTTGACTGAGCACTGCCACTTGTCTTGGTTGATCCACTCTCATTGGCTTCGTCACTCTCACCCGACTCATCCGTCTCCTTGGAAGACGAATCTTGCGTTTTGCTTGGCTCACTGTTCAGTCATTAGCATCGATACTTCCTTGACTTTCTCCACGATCTAACTCACCTCTCTTCAGAGTCATCATCATCATCATTGGCGCCAATCCCACCCGCTTCAATCGCTTCCTTTGAACACTGCTTATTATAAATATCCTCGGACAAGTACTCCTGTGCACCTTCGCAAAGCTCTTTGAAGAAGATGACACAATATCCATAGTATGTTGAGCTAGCAATCGCTGGCTCGTTCTTATTAGGGTCGCATGAGGACAGACAGGAAACAAAGTTTGCGCTGCCATCGCCTGCGCACATGCATGTTGCGTAGGATCGGGTCTTGTAGTTGCCTGGACAACTTTCGTACGTTTGGTCAAGACAGGCGTCGCATGAGTCGGTTTGATACGCGCCGAAGACGGGGTTGGATGCTTGGACGGCTGTGAGAAGACCGAAGGTCAGTGAGACGATAGTAGATCGAAGCATTTTGTTGAGGGTTTCCCAGTATTATCGTGGTGTCCCGGTGGGAGAAATGCACTGTTTCAAGCGTGGGCGTGATGTACGGGTTGTTCTTATACTGCTTTCAAGTCTCATGCTCTCTGGTCTGTGGCTTCTCATCCCAGGCACTCTCAAACTCACTAACCTTCAATTCCTCGCTACTCAATCATTTTTATTCGTCAACCCCCTGGATACTGACCTGAAATTCTCAGCCGCTGTTACAAGGGGTTGTCGCCCTACTGATCCCGCGCGGTCTCGACCACTAGTTTAAAACTAAGCATATCCGGGGATTCAAGGCTGATTGGGTCAATGCACTCAGCTGAAAAAGATACCGCCACCAATTGCAAGTCATTCTGGTTGTCCCTTGAGCATTCTGGCTGTGTTCTAGACATTCACCCCTGATTTTAGTACACACGTGCACTGTGCTGGTGCCAATATTTAAGCGCGGGGCGTTCACTAGGGCGCCATCTTATAGAGGTGATGGTGCGTTTGGAGGATGTCACATTCAGCCTTGCAAACTCCAATTTACAAAGGCTAATAAAAGTCTTGTAGTTGTAAGCTGAAATGGTGGTGCGATAGCTGAGGTTCGGAAGACCTGGGATGACAACCACATCAGTACCTGATCAAAGAGCTGCTAAGTTCATCCCAAACTTCGGTATCCTAAGAATGTCTGAACTTGCTAAGGTAAGGTATCCCACTAAATCTAGGTAGGATGAAGAATCATGGAAACTCGTTGCCTCTTACCTTATTTACTAAGCGCAAGTCGGTCCTTCCTTCATTTTCCCTTCCATGCATGCTATTAGGTAAGTAGGTACCTATTCAGGAAAGTGCGAAAGTGCTCAGGCACTGAGAGAACAAGTTTTCCTCATCATCGTAAACAAATTCGAACTTATTCACACTTCAGTTGATAAACACAGCATTCTTTCATCATTCTTTCATCACTCTTCCATCTGACTTTTCCTCCCCATGCCATGCTACAGGTGGCACAGTCGAACATGTATTCTTCATCTTTGAATTCGTACACACTCGTTGTATCGTTTATTGCTTTGCTAGTGGCTTGGCTACTCATTGCAGCATTCATGGCTATTCTAGCGTTGAGACCTTGCGACCCTCCAAAGGCATCTCTGAGCGGCCTTGCGACGGAACTACAAGAACAAATCGCCCGTTTAGTAGACCCGACCGGGTTGATCTCGCTCCATCGAACTAACAAACACTTCCAAAGAATTATAAAACCCCAGAGACAGCAGGAAATCGAGCATCTGATGGCTCTTGAGTGCCTTCCGAGACATGGAGGCTTCCTTCTACCCTTCACTAACTGCCACGGCAAACCCCTATACAGCAACCCCGACCTCTTGATGACGCGGTCGCGGTGGGCCTGTACCGGTTGCAAGCTGCTTCTCCCTTATTACCATTTTCAATACAGATTTTTGGCCGAGGTGATCTGGCGAAAGCCCATGCCTGGATCCCCTGCAAACAATATTATCACTTCTTGGGAGCCTGGGCTTGGACGCATCGCGAGGCTGGTAACACCACTACCGCCACTCCCAGCGGACGGCGGCAGAAGAATACAAGATCGCTATAACCTCATCGTAGGGGATATTCTAGCCATGGATCCTGGCTACCTGTTCACTCAGATCCGAATCCACGGCTTACTTCACTTTCAGGGAATGAGCTTCGGCGAGTTTCAGGGATGGCTCTCGTATAACCCGAACGACATACGCCGGCGACTTTGGTAGAATTTGATCTCAATGCAGTATAGCGAGTTCGGCAAAAGCAGACACCATCGAAAGTGCAACTCATGTCAATTTAAAAACCGTGTTTTTACTGACGCGACCATTGCCAGCAATAGTGGCATGTATGGGACTAAACAGTTTCCCATCATTTCGATTGAAAACCATATGATCACATCCCCCCTCGATCGATATTTCCCTGGCGTGTTCGAAGTCATGCAACAAGGACGGCCATCCAACCGTTTTTATCAAGGCTTCCAGCAGCCTTGGACTTTGTGGATGGCTCGGTGTACTCGATGTGCGAGATGGCAGGAGTTAAGAGCATTTCGGTTCGGTGCGGGTGCCGGGCTTGGGTTTCAGGCATGGGAACCGACCATGGGGCGGCTTACTTGGGACGGAGTAATACTTTCGCAAGAGGTACTTGATAAGGCTTGCTGCAACGCATGCTTCATGAGACAGAATGGACGGCCCGCACTAGCCGAGTGTCTTGGCCGGTGGTTCGAATTCTTAGTGGAACAGCAACCCAACGATGTACAATCTGAGCTTCTTTACGAAGCAAAGAAGTTCATTGCAAACTACGGAGCAGTGGTTGATTCGAATAAGCTCACAGCATGGAATTAGCAAATCCTCGACATTGAAAAGCTTCGATCGGAGGGCCAGTCCCCGTGGCATTTATCCCCCTGTTTTCAATCCCTCTACAAAGACTGGTTCGATATCTGTGGGCAAGCCGACTTCTCCGATGACCCCAGAAGTCAAGCTCACATGCAAAGCGTATCGCAAACGCTGCAGCAGCACAATGAGTACCTCAAGTGGTTAGTGGGGTGCAGAGAGGAGATTGAGAGCAATCGTGATCGTTTGGTGAAGTGGGCCCTGGAAAGAGGCGGAGAGCCCTTATAGCGGTGCAGTTGCTGGTTTTCTATTAAGCGTTAAGCGTTGTATAATGGGTTTTCTCAATGCCTTGCCGCATGTCATGACTTTAGGTTCAGGGCGGGCTGAAAAGGCTCTTGTCTCCTGCTGGCTTGTGTGTAGCGAAGATCAAGACTGTAATTAATTAACTACCTGAGTCATGTTTTATGTCTCCTTGCCTCTATTCAGTTGTACATCCGACAGTGAAAACCGGCTGCACGCCAAGGACATTGAAGAGGCTGCTTGCGAGCTCGAGTTTCAACCAACTCAGATTGGGGCGCTGGCGCAACGGTAGCGCGTCAGATTCCAGCTATCAAGCACGGAGATTCCTGAAGGTTATCGGTTCAAATCCGGTGTGCCTCATTCTTTTTTCTTGCTTTTTCTCGTGTCCTTTTTAGTGTTGGAGTTGTGTGGATCTTCCTGTTGAGGTATGGTGTCGTATGTGGAGATTACAACCCTGGGACATGGGGACTAGAACCGCTGATAATTTAAATAACTAGCTTCCATTAGAATGGATATATGGCTTCACTTTTGTCGCATCATTCGTCGTGGATAATCTAGCCAGATATGCCACTCTGGTGCAAGATAGTCCACGATGAGCCCTAGCAAGTATACCCCTGTATCTCCAACCTGCCAGAGACTTCGTCCGTGGTGCAATAACAAGGCGTAATAGCCTAGCAGGATCAAAGCTTCTGGCCGTTTTGTAGCTAGCAAACTTGTCAGTCCTGGGGACGCTAGCATCGTCCATTGGAATATCATGCGATATCGACTGCCATCGTCCTCTTCGAACATGGCATCCAAACCAAGCTGGAGGTACTGTATTGCCTCATGGCAGACTTCTTTTTCTTCATTTGACAGAGCCGCTGAGTCATTGATGAGCTGGATTATGGGTTCGCAGTGGTTCCCTACGGGGTCTTTGGAGGATTGTCGGCTGCTCCATGACAGAACTGGTTCGAGCTCCGTGTTGAGGAGTAAAGGCCATGCGGAGACAGTTAAACGATACAAACCTCGGTTCATCTCGACGCACTGAATATAATGAGTAAGAAACCCATAAAGACCATCTGGAGTTCGGGTAGTCAAGGCGTCGGCGAGGAGGTGATGGCCAAGGGTAACTGAGAACAAGAGAATAGGAAGACAATTTGATGAATCAACCTCCCGTTTCGTAGAATTGAACAGAGAGACAGCTCGCGTCTGTAACTTTACAGCCTGATCCAAGTAACTTGCTGAACGCTCGGGACGAATAGCCGCTAGATGGCGTGCAGAAAATGCCAGCACTTGATGCAAAAGATACGGTGCCTTGACGCTCTCTTTAAGCCAGATATCAAGCATCTCTTGAGAATGCTCGACTTTATCACCAAGGCTGAACAGGTCTTTGCTTGTTATCCCATGGATGAAGAGCTCCATATGCTCCATGTTGACAACGCTATCAAAAGACGATTCATGACTGTCGGAGAGAGATGTCGCGCTTGTTGATATGAGGCTGGTGTCAGGGTTGAGGAGTGACCCTTCGCGAGATGATAATTCTGAGGTCGATGAGTTTGTGTCTTGTGGTGGTTGCAGGTCGGAGGCGAAACTGCACTCTCGGTTTGACATTGTGCAGAGGAGACATGTTGGACGGCCTTCATCGCACTGAACACGCGTGTTAGTCATGGAATAAGGGAAATGGTGAGTCAATGTGGGTGGTAAAGATTAAGCTCTAGGGGAGGAAAGAAAACTCAGGACCTTGATCCTAAATGATAAAATGGCTTAGGTAACTTTTTAGTATAACTTTACTAGATATCTTTTGCTAAGTTTATTTTTAATACCTTATGTTCAGGCCTGAGTTTTCTTACCCCCCGAGGAGCCCTCATATATCTTGAGTAATGGGCGAGTCGTACCTTGACATGACGTCGTTTGCTGATCAGACTGTGTCAGTTCAAGTTCCTTGATTAGGTATGGATCTAAGATGTTACGTCAACTTACCATTGTGCACATCCCTTCTTAGACTTTTTATGACTTCGGCGAAGCATGTTGAGTTGCACCAGAATGGAATTTTGGAGAAATAGCAGCGCGAAACAGTAATACTCCTTAGAAGTCTGGAATTAGGTGTGAGATTAATGAGCTGAGACAGGAATTCATCATTGAGGATTCGCAAGCAGTTAGCGAAGTGATCGACAGATAACCCTAGCAAGCCCAAAGCCTAGATCGCGCAGACTAGTCCAAACTCAGTAAAGCGCTTCATTGACCCCTGTTAGAAGCTTAGCTAACACGCGTGTTCGGGCTTTAACGTCCCGATCTTATCTCCAGCTTCAGGGTAATTTTGACGATTGGGTCTTTTTGAGGCGTAAGACATGTACGCAACACGCGTGTCAGCGGAGGATTTGCAGGTATAACTAGGGGCTTAAATGCAAGGGGTGATGGAAAGATTATATATATGTATGGCGTGATGGTGCTTTGGGCAATTGTATATCTATTCTCAACTTCCTGTAGAACAACCATTGCCATAAAACAGCCTTCCGAGAGGTTTTGTTATCGAACGAGCACAATTCATCCTGGCTCTCTCTTTTCGTTGTTTCGTCGTCCGATCATTCATAAGAATTTCTTTGAATTTCTTTCTCTCTAAAATGCCCGAGTTAAAGAAATACTTGGGTGAAGTTTATTTATGGCAATACGTCCCCAGTCTCGTCGGATCAGTCATCTTCACCCTTTTCTTCGCCCTCGCAACAGTGGCCGTTGGATATAAGATGCACAAGTCCAAGACACGCTTCTGTCTCCCTTTTTCCCTCGGTGGCTTCTGTATGTCTCCACATCCCCCAATCCTATCTACAACTCTAACTTATATGTAGGCGAAGTTCTGGGCTACTTCTTCCGAGCTCTATGCTACAACGCCACCGACTCCTTGCCTCTCAACATCATGCAGGCCCTCTTCCTCCTCCTGCCGCCAGTCTTCTTCGCAGCCACTTTATACATGGTGTACTCTCGTCTTGTACGGGCTATTGGTGGAGAGAGTTGTTCTCTCATCTCTGTTCGCTGGACGACTCGACTTTTCGTCCTTGGGGATGTCCTCACGTTTAATATGCAAGGGAACGGAGGTGGCTTGCTCGCGAATGATGATCTTGTTCACATTGGAAATATCATCGTTATTACCGGCCTTATCGCGCAAATCCTCTTATTCCTCGCCTTTGTAGCCTGCTGCGTTATCTTTCATCGACGATTCAGGGTTCATTTGAGGCATACTAGCATCCCAGTTTCGATCCGTTGGGAGGCATATCTAAACATGCTTTACTTCACATCAGCTCTCATTCTTGTTCGAAACATCTTTCGAGTCGTCGAGTTCGCCATGGACAAGGAGGGCTATTTGCAGCAGAAGGAATGGCCGACTTTTGTATTTGACTCGGTCCTGATGCTGTTGGTTATGCTCGCGTTTTATGTGAGATATCCCGACAATCTCGTGGTGAATTCGAGAGACTCGGCGATTGAGCTTGTGCCAAAGGATGAGCCTCGGGCTGGAGAACCTGGAGCTTCGAATCAGATGGAGTATAGATAGTGCTTCTAGCTCACAATTTAGACATTCTTCCATTTTTTCTTATGAAACATCATCATCATCATCATCATCATGATTTGTCTCAGCTATTAATAGTAGTCGTTTTTCTGGTAAGCGCTCGTAGATCCTGGCTGGTAAAAGGTCACCCAATAGACGCCGCCTCCGATTCAGCCATTTACCAGGATGCGCTGCGCAAGGCTGACTGCAAGTCTCAATCCAGACCAGCTGAAATGTTGTCCCCGCATCAGCACTTGGCCTCTTCAACTTCATCAAATGGACCCTCTATCTATCATCAGCGGCTGCGCTGGCCTCATAACAGCGATCGGCAGTTTGAGTATATCGATCAATACCTTTGTGCGCAGCTGTCGAGAGGCCCGCAGCGACTTAGACAGGGTATCGCGCGAACTTCATTCTCTCCAGACAGTGCTTGAGCTCATTGAAGAAGACGCCAAAGACGACACGAAGCCTTTCCCACCAACAATCCAACACCATGTGTCAGGCATTGTCACAAACTGTGGCTCCGTGGTTCTCGAAGTCGAAACGTGTATTAAAAAGTATGGGGATGGACGCATCAAGAGCAAAGCCGCTTGGGCGATCAATGGCCAAGGTGACATGGAGAAGCTGAAGTCCAGCTTGGAAGCTCACAAATCAGCCCTGGAACTGGCCCTCGACATGTTGTCTCTATCTCTCACGAAAGATATCAAAGCTGATACTACGGAAATTCGTAACGATACAGCTGCGATTAAAGACGACACAGAGTTGATCCTGCTGGAGATCGCGCAGCTTCAAGCTCGATTACCCGATACGGCTGCTGCTCCGAATGATTATATTCTCCAAAAGTTCTTGGAGGAGATGGCGACATATACCGAGACGACTCTCGATGCAAATGTGTCCTATAGTGATGGTACGAGATCTAGAGCTTTGTCTATCGTAGTTGAGGACAACGACAGCTCACCCAACTCTCCGCGATACGATCTACCGACCTCAGAACTCCAAGATCCTACCGCCTTGGTGGTTAGTCTGTCGCCGGACTCATCAAATCCAGAAGATGCCGCCAAGGACGGCAAATATTACCCTACTTATCCAGAACCTCACCGATACGCTCCCTGGCCGAGACCGGTAATGGAAGACATCCCCCTTCGCCCAAAGGGACCTGGTCCCGCATCTTCGTATCCCAATTACGCCTACGACAAAGAAGTTGCACTCGGCAGTGATCCTCAAGCCCTAGCATTGGATTCTAAGAATGGAGAAACGCAAAATCAAGTCGCATCTCTGCCCACGAGAGTCCAAGAGGAATCTGATGTTTCTGAATTTGCGTTACTAGACGCCTTCGATCCTCTATGGCGAGAGCGCTATGGCAACGATATCTGGACACTATCAAATGACGAGATTAGAGAGAACCAGGAGTTTGTCATCGGTTTTTTGAACCAACTTAAGAATGCTGAGATGTCACAAGTAAATTATACACCGTCAGCAATGAACAATAGCCGGGTACAGAGTGACCAAGCTCAGCCTCTGCCATCAATACGTGACTCTCAGCAAACGGATCCCCCCAGCTCGATTTCTCATCAATGGCCCCAACAATTGATGCCGTACATGGTGCCGACTAACGGACCGATTGCGAGAAAAGAACTCAATGCTGTCACATCACCGTCCAGGACAAAAGACCAGCCCAGCCAAGAAGGATTCCATATCGTGAGGTTCAGAGGCAATGTGGTCGTTGATCTACCAGTACCCGACGGGATCCTTGCCCGTGTTCCTCACTCTGCCCCCCCAGATCGAGACGAATTCACGCATTCGAGGTTCAGTTTTATTACTTGTCCGCCAGAGAAGTTTGGAGATCATAACTATACATTGAGAGCGACACTCTTTGCGAAGCCGCGGCAAACGAAGTTTATTTTAGTCGTCCAATTAAACCCTAACGACAAAGATTTCATACGGCGCTGGCGTCTAATTCACGATTCTATTGCATATACTCAGCAGCATTCAGATGGCTTTTGGAAGCGAGTTGTTGTTCATTTCCACCTCACTCATGGAACGGAATGGGGACCCCGTGACGTTGATCATCCATTAAGTGTGCTAGAGGCCATTGGTGGGAATCTGACACTCAGCGGCAAACTGACAGAAGTAGGCTCTAAGAATCGTGAGCCGATAGACAAGGATTCGTCAGCGATTGAAGGGCAACCGATTCATGCCACTATGTCAGAGGTATGATTTATCCCACAGGAGAGACTCGAAAACGTACGCTCACCCTCAACATAGTATACTGTCCTGCTACGCCAGATAGAACATCCACCCAGAGCTGTATTACCCGCGGAAGTCCCAATCCAAGTTGTAACTACAACGGCTCGTGTCCCAGAAGGCTACTATATTCACTGGTCTCATAAATACATCCCATGGACATGCGCCATCAACAAAGTCCTCCAAGCGGAACATGTCATAAATATGAGCGAAATCTCCGAAACCTTTTTATCTCAAACTGACTTTCTGTGGGACGTGTTAAGAAAAGATACGATTTCTCCTTTTATTAAATTTAAGCCGCTTCCGCAGTGGGATTTGGAAGTCCTCAGTTTTAACAGCCTAGCTGCGGAAATTCAGGCGGAGTTAAGGATAGAAAAAGTACCCAAGAAAAGGAGCTCTAGAGTGAGCAAGTGGTTGTTTTCACGAGGGACTTAGTAGCGATGAAGATGGACTATAGGCTGATGATATAAATACACGAATCATGGTGTTCTTTGACGTTTATCCATGTGAGAGTACCTTGAGAAATTGGGTTCTATGCCGTTATCAGAGTTTCCTAGCCACAGGTGTTCAATTACAGACAGTATATAAACCAAGTAAAAAACAAAGAGTGTAACCAAAACATCCCAAACATATGATACAGAAGAACATTGCCTCTTGTCCTTCCGCTCAGCATAAAAACTGTCAAACCTCGATTGACCTGAACAAGAGTTTCTTGGAAGGATCCGGAATCGACTGCAACCTTAATCAGTACACATAGTTGGCACTAAACATAATCATCTGTCAACTTACCATATGAGCAAACTCCATATTTGGGTATCTTTCAGTAGCATCGCCCACGTTCTTGACATCATACTGCAGCAAGGCATGTGCCAGAATCATCTTGATCTCGTTTGCGGCGAAGAATCTTCCAGGGCATGCATGTCGACCATACTCAAAAGTCAAGCTGCTCTGGTTCACACTGACAAACTGGTTGTTCGCTGCCTTCTCAACTGACCCGCCGTCCTTGGCTTCAGTGCGAAGTCTGTAGAACCTCAATGGGTCGAATTTCTCTGCGTTTGGGAAGACGTTGGAGTCGGAGCTGACTGCGACAGCAGGGATCTCAATTGTCACGCCGGCTGGGATGACCTGGCCGTTGGATAGAGTAAATGTTTCGAGGACCTTGCGTTGGAATGAGGCTGTAAAACTTATGTTAATGGCCCACGTGCGAAGAATATCGGGCTATGACTTACCCATCGTCGCCGGGTGAACTCGAAGTGTCTCCTTGAGAAAACTATCCATCTTCTTCATAGATTGCAGGACGTTGCTCGTGAACTGGCCACCGCTCTGCGATAATGCTTCCCGGACCTCTTCTCGAAGTTCTGTCTGAAGGTCTGGCAAAGCCGCCAAGTCGTAGAATCTGGTTTGGTTTAGAAACACAGACTAGTATAGGAAGGCAGGATCACTCACGCATTTGTGGCTGTCAGCGTTGTGGTATGAACAGCAGCAAACGTAAGGCCGAGCTGCACCTTGGCAAGGTTCTGACTATTCTTATCAGGGAACTTGTCCTTCCCGTCAATGAGCCACTGCAAGAAATCATCCGGCTTCTCATATGATGGATCATTCATCGCGTCGGTTCTGCTTTCGACCACGGGTTGGAGGAAGGCTTCGGCTTCAGCAATTCGCTGGTACAGCTTCTTCACCTCGGGAAGGCTTTGTGCTCGGAAATGTCGTAGCCAGGGGCGCATGTTCTGCACGGCACGCTGGGCGCCCATGACTTCCATGGTGTAGTTGATGGCAGCATCGAGATATTGCTCGGAGCGGCAGAGCTCAGGGCCGATGAACATACGGCCTGATACCATACCGACGATACGAAAAAGAGCGTGGTGGATGTTGACCTCTGTCCAGTCGTTGCATGATGGCATGGTGAGATTTATGGAATCTCTGACTTCGCTTGCGATGGTCAAACTCAGTCGAGCTGGACAATGTCAGAGCGGTTCTGCAGACGATCTGGAACTATCTGGGCTTTCAAATATCCGGAGGGACCTTACATAAGGATGGAGTCAATTCTCCTTTGATCTTGTGCGGAATAATGGGTACTGAGGTCTCGATCTTGGTGTACTTGGTCTCCATTGACTATTGACATGGTCAGATAAGTAAGTAAGCTCTGTCATCAGCTCTACGAACCTCATCAACGGCAGCCTCCATACTGAGAGTTGCATCAGGCAGCTTCTTGAGCTCAGGGAGAAAGTAAGGCGAGATGACAATGGTGGGAGAAGCTAGAGACATTAGCTTCAATAGGACTTGTGATACTAGGCAACAGATACATACTTCGCGATGTAGTTATCAGAAAAACGCCATCTTTGAACTGAAAGTTGTGAGCTGTGCCTTCATACCGACCTAAAGAGCGTTGTTACCTTTTGATACCCGGCTGAGTACAATTTCCTGGCTCCTCCCAAGTACGCTTGTCTGCGCTTCTCTGTGTTACCAAGCTCCTCACCAATGGTGGGGATGGCCCATAGCCGTAGTACGTTGACGACTCTTGGAGCGACAGCGGCTATAAAACAAGCAAATAGGGCAGTGACAAGTAGTGGCCATCGGTTGGCTACAAGATCAAGTAGGGATTGCGCGTTGCCCATTGTGAAAGATTTGAGTATGATGTGTTTAGAAAAATATTGTGCGTATGTAAGAAATGCTGGCGTTTGTTGATTTGGGTGTTTATGAGTCAGTACAAGTCTAATAGGAGCGAGGTCCAGATATTAATACCAGAAGCCACGACAGCAAATTGCGAAAACACGCGGCCAAAATCCGAAAATACACAGTCTCGGGAAGTTGTTTAATACCGACAGGCCCCTGTGTCATGATCGACACAACTACCGCGTAATAAGAACAACCCGATTCGCCTTTCCATCTCGCTGTAACACAGGAAGTTATGCGATAGCCACAAGCTCTACTCAAAGGAGTAAGCGGTCTTATGACACAGCTGTGGATACGCGTATAGCTGTTTGAAGTTGGAGCAAACCCAATCTTGCATTGCCTCGAAGCACAGACATGATAGCGGCCTGACAACTACATTAGATCTGATTCACGTGCTTCAATTAGCTTGTTTCATATCACAATTGCCCCTATTGCGTGGAGGGAGGTTCTATATCCGTACTTAGTGGTTATATACATTTAAGCTCGTGGAGCATTAATCATGATCGACACCGAGACCGAAACCGAGACCGACGAGAACGCTGCGCCATGTAACCACAATGCTGCTCACAAGCACGAATATAAAAGGCCAAGAGCTGCCGATCCCTCGGGAGTGAGCCTTGACCTCGTCATTTCAACTATGGATCGCCAACAACGCCCAACTTAGCCATAAGGGACAGCTAGGATCCTGCTAAGTATCCACACAGAGTCCCAGAGTGTACGAGACAGCCGGGATTTCAGATTTATACGTTCTCAATGACAATCATCACTCACGTATTGTTCCTTCAATGGAAGACTCTCGCCAGATTCCAATGATCCAACCACATCTACCTGAGGCGTGCCACAGGGCACAGGCAGAGAAGAGCTGACGCATGTATGCAAATGCCGCGTTGTACTACAACATTGAGATTATTGGGCTCAAAGAAAAATGATGATCCACTATCGGAAACAGCCAAATGCACCGGCAGACACCCTTCGTACCACATACAGGGAATCTTCCAAAATCCCAAAGATACGTCGACGGTACTATTGGTCTTGTGATATCATCAGCCTGCTATCAGTCTTTCTTAGCAAGCGAAGTTTCAAGTGAAAGGCATCGTCCTGTGGGCTTCTTCGTTCCCTTCACCCGGACTGCAACACTCTGATCAACAGCTTAAGTCTATCTTTCGACAACGGACAAACAAACTTGATCGCACAGAGACAGGGCTAAAGATGTGAAACATCCGAGCAGATGGCCAATTATACTCGTGGACGCTCTCGGAAGTGTTTCGTGCTCGTATTTTTAACCAGAAGGGGGCTAGGCGATCTGACTCGCGATGGCTATATCGGTTTGACGGGCGAGATATCGTAGAACTTGATGCGATTCAGGTTATGTCTTATCTCAGAACAGACGGATGTGACGAATTATTTCTTGGCTAATAACTTATTAACCTAATACAAAATAAGAGTAGAATGTGTAAGATGCAGTTGCAGCATGATATACCTGTGGGTACTACTTTCAAATATATATAAGCAGTTTGATCTAACAAACTGTAGTTTAGACTACGTCCATTTCTGCACCTCTTTCGTGCATTTTGGTGTATTGACTATATTGGAAAGCGGTTAGTAGAGGGTATTTCGGGACTTTTAGCTGCGTATTGGGCAAGTTGGCTTCCTAAGCTGGAAACAAGTGATGTCCAGCAATCGATAGAATAGTGAATAGTTCTTGCAGTAAGCATGATGGCAGTGGAGCGGTTCCTTTTGCTCATCATTTGATGGTAACAGCAATTACATCTTTGCCGAATGATATCTACAAAGAGTTACTAAATTATTTTTGGGAGCGTTTCTTAAGCTTATCCTCTGTGCCATATATATACGAATTTTACAAAGTACCTATATATAATTATAGAAGATTTTATATATTTCATCCTCTTTACAGTAGTAATCCGTAATTCATATCCGAACCAAGCCTCAGCCTCCTGCAGTTTATCGTCCACTTCTCCCACTATGTCGGAAAATCCACGGTCAAGGTCATCCTCTCAAAGCTGACAATTATGTAACCCCGCTTCAGTCATGTCATCTGACGACGAAACCCCTACGAGTTGATATTTCTCAGTATCCATCTCACTTTGTTACTTGTATCTTGCAGTATCACGCACATCCAAAGATGTCTAGGATGGCCACCAAAACCCCTCATATTCCCCACATCCACCTCCTCTGCATGGAAGAACAATTCAGCGATGCCTTCAACGTTGCTCGCAAGCGCCGCAAACTGCCCGACTCCGTCTCAATCGAGATTCATAATTGCGCTCTCTCCCAACTTTCAAGCAAAGTCAAATTCGACACCGTCGTTTCACCCGCCAATTCCTACGGTCGCCTTGACGGTGCGTTTGACGATGCTATTTCTCGACAGTTCTCACCCCGCGACGATTACCATGCTCTCACCGGCGTTGCCCAAGCTCAGCTGTACAAGACCTGGCGTGGATTTGCACCGCCGGGGACATGTACTTCGGTAGAGATTCCAAAGGAGTTTGAAGCGCGATCGCGGAATATCTATGGGACACGACGTGTTGCGCTTTGTCCAACGATGCGGATGCCTGCTGACGTGAGATGGGATAAAGAAGTCATTTATGAGTGTATTTGGAGTTTGCTTTGTGCGATCGATAATCATAATCGCGATGCTTCTGAATATGATCAGATTCAGAGTGTTCTTATGACACCATTGGCGACAGGTGTTGGAAGGGTGAGTCCGGAGAAGTGGGCTTTACAGACTGTTCTGGCTTTGAAGCATTTTGTTGAGGCTTCTGAGAATCCGGAGAAATGGAGCTCTTTGCAGTGGGCTGATCTCGGCAGAACTTGTGCGGAGACACAGCTAACTTGGGCAAAGTAGTATGTCCGATTACCGGTTATTTATGTGAACATATGTTATTAATGAAGGCCAATTCAGGATTGACGGAGACCGTAATACAACTTTCATGCGGTATTTTCTTTTATCAACTGTGTCGCGGGCAAGACTCGCGGAGGTCTGCTGCCTACAATTATCTCATATTCCACTCTCATCTCGCCTTTACACAAATTGTGAACACGCAATATTGCCTATAGCCAAAATCACAGGATAGCTGTTTTATTATATAAAATAGAAAAGGAAATTTAATTTTTATTTTTACACCTTATTCAGCAGATTTTCCCCCACCTCCTGATTTCACGCTTATCCCATAATTTTGCTGCCCTCTTTAGGTAGGGCTCTTATTCACCCAGATCCACGAGGATAAGCTCGCTGTAAGATCTCTCAGGATTAAAGCAGACGTACCAGCTCCGCCATATCTCGTAAAGAGCGATATCATGATAATGAATGACATAAAAGTCACCCTTCTTCCATTTACAATGGATACACGACGATGTATTATCAACCACGACACCTGCCGATTTATGCGGACAGGGCATGGAGTGACAAGACTTATGCACCTTTCGATATGGATGCGAACGCTCTGAAAGCACATTCCCCGTGATTTCCCGATGGCATATTATGCATATCCAATTTTGTTCAGCATCTCCAGTCGGTATAGGGTTGTAGCGACTTTCCAACTTGTGAGGCCAAGAACTTGAGTCTCCTAGGGTTTTTATGAGCCCATCGAGCGGTTCATGTTCAACGTCCCACGAGGAATCGTTGACCAGTAAACATCTAAGAAAGCATAAGCGTAGTAGGGGCTTAAGGAGGTCTGATACGCATTGGGCGATGGCTCTGGGAGATGTCTCCAAGCCTCGTGCATAGCGATTTAGGTGTTTCAGGAATGCGGACGTAAAAGCTCCCACTTCGCCTTTATCAGAACCTGATAAGGAGGCATTAGAACTGATATAAAAAGTTGGAAACCCGTTCTTACCAAGTTTACCATCCGGGGTGGCTTTCGAGGTAGCTTTGAAGAGACAGGAGAGCCTGGTAAGTATACCTTCGAATTGTGCATCGCTCTCTCCAATCGTCACCACCCTACTCTCTTTTAGGCAAATCGTGAGTGAGTCTCGGAACTCATTGATGTACCTCCATCCACAAAGGTAGATATCATTAGCGCGATTATCATGTAATTGCTGATAGAAACAACTCAGGCGTTTTAAGGACTTGTCTTGAATGGAGGCGAGGTAAAGGCGGCCGTTGGAAGATACTGGCAGTACTAATCCCCACGATAAAAGCTCGAAACAGAAGGTGTGCCATTTGGCTCTCTCGTCGTCCTTTTCGCTGTATCTTCCCACGATTGGAAACTTGCAGGCATGGCAGTAATATGCAGCTTCTCGACAAAAGTGTAGCATGCAGTATATACCGCTGTTTTGCTGATAAGATTCACTTTCTTTAGCGAAAACGATATCGCATCTATCACAGGTAAAATGGTATGGGTGGTACCGACGATTAAGTGTTGTTAAAAAGTTACCTATAATGGGTTGCTGGCACTTGAAGCACTGAATGTCCCGTCGTCGAACGTAGTCGTCCTCACATAGTGGTTTTGACGGAATGCCGTTTTCCTCTTGCGGTAGGTGACAGCCGCTTTGGAGAGAGACTCCACAGTCCTGATTTGTTACTATAATCTCATATATATGTGACGGTCTGAGTGTAGTGCTTACAGAGCATTTGAAACAACCGACATGCCATGTCCCCCCTAATACCCGTAAGTGATCCTTTGAAATACTCCGGAGACAACCGTAGCAAGTAGTTGTGCCAGCGAGCAGAACAGGTCGGACTATTTGAAAGTCTATCCAGTTGCCGGACTCTTGCTTCCGGAACGATGGCCTCACGAAATCTTTGGTGTTTGAAACTACCTTCTCTCGTGAGTCTCTCTTTAGAGAAGTGGCGTTCTTCTGTGATTGCACTGGACCTTTATCCACCTCTTTTACCGTCTCCGTATCAGAATCCCCATCTTCGACATGAGTGGGCCGGCTCTTACTCTGAGCTTTAACAAAGACGCGTCTGTATGCCTTACTGTTGATAACGAGATCGTCGAACTCAAAATCGAGCTCAGAGGGTGCATTACCGGAAACGGCCTCGAGGTGAAAGAAACTAAGACTAGCAGCATCGTTATCGAAAATTGACTCAGAGCCCATCTTGACGCTCGGGTTGCAAGATCGCAGGGATTGTGCTTCTGAAGCAGCTGCCTTCATCTTCGGCGCATTCTTTCGAATATCTTTCTGGATATTGGATAAAGTCTCACTTTCTATATCAGTATGCAGATGAAGATGAATAATTCTCAGACTTACAGTTCAAGGAGATTTAGAAGAAAGGTTATGGATGACTGCTGCGCTCTGAGAGCACCCAAAAGTTCTTTCAAGCGGTCCTGGTTCCAGATAAACTTGATCTTAGCCCAAATTCCTGGATTTTTGGATCGAAGACTTCGTGTTTCTGCCTCGAGGCAGCTGAACACAACCATGCATCCAGTCAACGCTGTTTCAAAAGCCGTCCAGATCTCTGTTTTCGATGCCCATGCTTGTGAGAGGTCATCTCTTCGTAGGATCTTCATTTGAAGTTCTGACAGGCCGATACTAATTATTGTTGATTCGGAACATATCATGGCGATGACTGCTGGGACGTCTTGATACTCGCCAGCGAGATCGTGGAGTTTTTTACAGGTTGAAAGGCATGTCGCCGTCAATCCCACCTAAACAGAGATTAGCTTCTTGTGGTTGCATACCATGGTAGCGCAGTTTACCACTGAACTCGCAATAGACAGCGGATCCATCGTCAAATGTCAAATATTTGGTTCCAATCATCAAAACTGTGAGAAACAGCGAGTGAAAAAGAGATTAGAGGTTTGAAAAAGTGAGGGGTTACGTGTTTTTTGTTGAAACGAGGCTCTCAGTGAGAGCCTACGGAGCTGAGCTGATGGTGTGTGCACAGCCTCATTAGACAGCCCCAGGTTCCAAAGTGGCTGCCAAGGCTGACTTTGGATTTCGCAGTTGACATAAAGATTAATATTCATAAAATGAAGGTGTTACATCTGGCGATATTTATTTTAACATAACTAAAACCCTTATTCGTCGTTATTATGAACCATGAGCTGAGTAATGATAACCTTCATTTCCATTCCAGGATATGCCGCCAGATGGAACTCAATCACCTGATCATCTCCATCGTTATCCTTCCCCTTATACCTATCTCTCAAGATTATACTATTCCCTTCCCTGGTAACAATGTCAAGGCCTGTTTTGCAGAATCAGATTCGACGACACCAGCCTTGAACCCTCCCATATACGGAGCATCAAGTCCCTATCAAACAATAAGTTCTGGTTGATGATTTCTTTGCAGGGCTACTTACGATCGCGAAATAAGACCGATGAGTTTCATCTAAATTTGCCGAAAAGGAGAGGCCCGTAGATGCCCCGGCCCGATCGTGATACGCAGTGAAAGTCATTTGTCCATAGGGGCCGACCGACTGAGGCGCCATAAGGTACCTTCCCGTATCTAAAGAGCTATTCTCGAGGCGAATCTCGAACTGGGATGGTGCATTGATACCAACGACGCTTCATTTTGATCTCATGCGAAGGGGGAGGGGGCATAGCTCCCAGAGTCTATAGACAGTGAGTAGAAAGGACTTCAATGCAATTTCAATGATGCATACATCTTTCACTTTTGCAGCCAACTTCGCTGGATTATCAAGGACAGTGTTGATGTCGATGATAGCCATCTTGGGTGTTAGAGAGTGGATATAGAATATGTTAAGTATCTGTGGAGTAAGTTGAAAGCCAGAGGAATAAGCATCCTCACACGTAATATCATATACCTCCTTTTATACCTTTTGAGCATTTTAAATTCTTTGCATCTAGATCTTCGATTTGTATAAACTATTGAACCTTAAGTTCTTAGCTTCCATAACTGAACGCGGGGTCAGACCATACCAATGAGCATTTATCCCAAGAATCCATTCTTTATGTAGTGGTTGTGTATCTTAAGTGACCAATTATCACATTCATGGTCATATGCTAGCAGAGTATTTTCTCTCCGTTGTGGTTGCTTTTCAGATGTTGGAGTTAACACTCTTCAGGATATCTGATCTGGCTAGAGAGCGCGGAAAATTGACCCAATACTAGTGACGGACTATCATTCGACTACAATCCCAGCCGCAGACGTATACCGTCAAATGAGAGTTAGCTAGCTATCTGGCTATTTGAACGGTAGCTCCCGGCAAAAAGGTCTAGCCTGATGATCGGCTTTCATCTACTAGTTAGGCGTGGTGGTAGATCACTGAGACAGCAACCTCACTAAACAGGCATAACTAAACATAAGTTGTTCATTATGCATAAAGTAACTGTCTTTCGAGCCAACACAATGCCCGGAATTAACTGATACTTGGCAGCCAAAAGGATTTAAGCCAAGCGCTCAAGGCGGGGGCTCAATAAGGTCGATGATTGGCTAGCTCGCATTTCATTGTCTTTGATTGGATGCCCAAGCACGACCTTCATAAAGTTCCTATCTTATGATGGACCAGTATTTATTGAAACGCGCTGTGTCTTGTTTTTCGGGTTCATACTATTCTTAAGTCTGGATCCTTTAGACATATTTAAACTCGGGTATAGTCACTGATCTTCTAATTTACCTCCTCCATACCAAGCTTACCAGCTTACACAAACGAAACAGCATTATCAAAGATCATACTTCCAGTCATAATGTCTACAGAGAAAACATATCCTTTTGACCCAACCAAAGATATCCCATCCCTCGCCGGGAAGGTCATCTTCATCACCGGCGCAAACACTGGCCTCGGAAAAGCCACTGCCATTGAACTGGCCAAGCACTCTCCTGCTCATGTCTATATCACCTCACGAAACCCTGCCAAGGGGAATGCTGCACTTGAGGAAGTCAGAAAGACCGCTAGTGAAGGCACAGAGGTCTCTCTTATAGAGCTCGATCTCTCCAGTTTCGAAAGCATCAAGTCTGCAGCTGCCGAGTTCCTCAAACAGGAGGACAGACTTGACGTTCTCTTGCTGAACGCTGGAGTCATGGGCGTTCCACCCACCCTGACTAAGGATGGGTATGAGATGCATATGGGAACTAACCATCTAGGGCATGCTTTGATTCTCAAGCTTCTCAAACCAGCCCTTGATAAGACTCCCGATGCTCGTGCTATCCATCTAAGCTCTGCTGGATTCCGTCACGTCGGACCGGCAGGCATTGAGTTTAATACTCTGAAGTCAGCTAAGAGCGAAACGGCTTTGCCTTTTCGATACGCTCAGAGCAAGCTCGCTTGTCTCCTTTACGCAAGAGAAGCAGCCAAGCGATATCCCTATTTCAAGAACATCGCCATCAACCCAGGCGAGGTTCAGACAGAGCTTTTTACTCGTGAGCCAGGAGATGACTTGATGAAGCACTTACAAGAGAATGTGGCCTCTAAAGTTGCAATTCCTATCACAGAGGGTGTCAAGAATCATCTTTGGGCTACTACGTCACCAGATATTGAGAATGGGGAGTTTTATGAACCTGTTGGAAAGACTGGTGGGTTGGAGGGACATGGGCTGGATAATGAGATGGCCAAGAAGCTTTGGGATTGGACGGAGGAGCAGCTGAAAGATCAGGTGTTGTGATTCGGTATTGTTTCATCCCTGTCATCCAATCATGGATGAACTATGGCACATCTCATCGGCGTGAGCCTTGGCCGACTACAAAGATCCCGTGCCCACTGAGGGAGTTCATATCTGTGTAACATACACCGGGGGCCAGCGTAATGCATTTAACTTCTCTCTCAATTGCCATCCAAGAGATTAATATTATCTCCATTTCCCTTTAGTTTCGCAATGTAATATATCAAAGACTCCTTTATTCCGTCTATCATCTTTTGCAACAATATATCATATCCGCTGCCTACCGTAGGGGGGAGTACGGGAAGCGAATCTTTGGCAGTCCCTGTAATTTCTTTCCTAGTCTTGCAACCTTCATAATGTCCTTTGTTCCGAGCCTTATCTATTTTTAGTCTTGTCTTATATGCTATGATGCAGTGGCTGAATAGTCTACGGTGCTACATTTTGAGGCCTTCCACCTTAGCGCCAGCCTCGTCAAAGTACCGATCAGCTCAAAAGCAAGGCTCCCAGGTTGAATTGAGAGCCATGTTCTCACTGTATCCTTTATACCTCAGATGATTTTCAGTTACCACCTTGACACCCTCGTAATACCAGCACCATGTCGCAGTACGAGTTGCACAACTTATCATCCCAGCAGAATCTCACAGCAACTCATGATGGCACGGGTATACAAACCAACAGATCCTCGTCTGCTAAAACTGACGGGTTCTTCAAAACTTTGTTCAGGACAATCGGTCTCAAAGTCATTACATTCATTCTTAAGTCCAATCGGGAGGAGAAGCCCAAGGTTCTCATCAAGAAATCGCGTCGCGTTGCAATCGCGCGATGTGCAGTTCATGTGATACCTGCGTTGCTGACTATTGGACTTAGCGTGGTAAACTTTGTCGGTTTCTTCATCGGGGGAGAGCTGCAGGGCAAACAGAACGACGATTCTTTCAAACTAGGTCTTCTCCAAATCGCAACAAAAGTACAGGAGCTTCTTATCGTGGCAAGCATTGGGACTGTAATCTTCCACTGCCTACGCTCCGAGGTCATGTTTGGTCCTGGACTACCGCTTGGTTTTCTTGTTTCTGGGTACTCGTTCTCGTCCATCTCGTATGTTCAAATGCATGGAAGTATGGTGCTTGACTAATAATCGGTAGCTACCTTTTGTCGCCCGAGTTCTTAGGCGGGCTCAAGCAGAGCTGGGCCCAGCCCATGTCAGCGAGAGACAAGTTCAAAAGGAGATGCTTTGTCGCTCTGATCATCGTTGGCTGCTTGCTTGCCCTTCTGGCTGCACTGGCAACCGCCGTACTAATGATCCCAAGAGTTAAGGACTGGAATATTGGCGGTGGTATATATTGGCTTACCGGTAGGCTCTCTACGTACCTTACTAAGTGATACATTACTGACACTCGTCATTCAGGAGACAATGATACGCTCTGGCCCAGAAGTATAGATGCCAACTACTACGCCGGTATTGACTGCGCCACCGATGCGAATCCTTTCCTCAGCCCCCAATGCCCATCTTCTGGATACATGCCATTATTCCACCACTTTGATAATTGGTGGATTTTACACGAAAGGGCCATTGACCATGAGGTACTAGACCCTTTTCTACGCAAGACTCTATACACGAGGCCTGCCCTCATCAAGGAAGCCAACACTTGGGCATTTACGGCTCACCACGCCACAGCTGTCCTTCAAGACGCTGTGAGGGGAATGCACTTCAAGGCCGTGGAACATCTCAGTCGCGAGTTCCCCTCCCGTAAGCCCTTCCCAAATCACCTTATGTGGGCAAGCAAGCAGAGGTACGAGGTTCAGACTCATGTTCCTGCCGCCAGAGTTCTTTGCAACGCCCATGACATGACGAACTTGAACGGAAATGATCTGAGGGTCCGGTTTCCACATCCAGACAGCATAGACTCGCATTACGAAGAATATAAACCAGTCTCCGGAGACGAAATTCCGGCCTTAGTAGAGATTGATGTCCTAGACGACGTGAGAGATCATCTTGTCAGGAGAGGGGTAATTCGCAACCTCAGCAGCTCTCTGAATGACTCTATGTTTACAGACACCCGACCAATCATCATAGCACCTGTAGATATCTGGCCTGCGACCAACGCCTCCCTCGGTATGGTGGTTCTCTTGGAAAATACGTGGAACACGACAGTAGGTCCTCGATATACGACGAATGTGCTGGTTTGCTCTATCGATGCTCGTTGGGCTAAGGCCAAGTCCGTTATGTCTGGACTTTGGGATCAATGGGTACCGCATGAGTACCATGCCGGCCGGGTATTGAATTTGGTTGAGACTGAGCTGGAGCTTCAGTCGAAAATCGGCTACCTTCGTGTAGCACCTCCCAAGAACGATTCCTTGAAATCTATTAGGATGAACACAAATTGGTATGAGATGCTATCGCCTCAATTACCTGACGCTTTGCCCAGCGGTTTGAAACAGCTTCCATTCATCGGAACAAAGATGACAACTCTCGAAGCGTTATTCGCTACTATTTACCATGTAAACCTATCTCAAATGGCTTCCTTCGAGAGTGTCATAGGAGCTGCGGTTGTTGAAGGGCTTTCGCGATGCGGTCTAGACGGGAACGAGAGACAGCTTGAGATCTTTCTTGACGTGGCAGTTAATGAATCTCTAGCCCGGAAACTTGTCCGTCCTGGTGACCCCAAAGAGTATTGGCCAAAACCCAAAGAGCCTAGGCAGGAAAGGCTTGTGTTACAAGCCATATACACAGGTTACGTTATGACATGCGATAGTTGGTTCGACTGGATCGCCAACATAGAGCTCCTGCTTTACGCTGCGATTGCTCTGTCGCATTCGGTATATATTTCATGTAAGGGACAGACAAGTGGCGCATGGGATTCGATTCTAGAGCTCGTTGTCCTTTGCCAAAATTCGAAGCCACCCCCGAGACCAATTTTGGCTAACACTTCAGCCGGTGTGCACTCTTTCAAAACTGTCAGGTCTATGGCTTGGGTTGAGGTATCAGAAGATACATCGGCTACCACCAGCACTGATGTCCCCGTGACCGGAGGAGAGCTTCAACTTCGAATTGGCGATGGTGAAGCACAACGAGATGAGGGCCTTAAGCCAAGGGTAGGGGCGGCGTACGGGGTCTCTGTTACAGGCTATCAAGCATTGTCCTCTTGACTCTTGAAATGGAGGGGCATCTACAGATTATTCTTGAAGAACGAAATGGAAGCTTCTTCTTAAAGCTGACATTTCTTATGTCCCAGGGAGAGGTGTCACGACAATGTTTGGGTGATGAAGCTGTCGCTGGAAACTGGCAGTTCGATTTTTAGGCCCTTGTTTGTATGTGTTATTTACAGCTGAGAATTGTTGCTGAGAGCTTAAATCAGCAGACAAAACTTAGGGTCTTCAATTCGAGTCATTTTACGTTCCGAAGCTAAGCTCATCTTTTCAGCGTCGCTTGCTGCATTGAGTCTAGATGACAAAAGACAGCCTGAAGTCGGAGCGGATAGGAAGACCTGGTCTATAGCAGTAATTTGCGTGACAAGATCGACAATGTCATCTCTTTCGGACATGACGGACCAGTCGTCGTAGAGAAATATGAGCCTCGGCGGTTGCTATGAGTTCTTAAGAGGTCTAGCCTCGTTCAACCCAACGACTCTTCACAAGTAACGATTGTGGCTCGTGAATGTTGGTCCCTGGCGGAACATTTGCTAAATATGTGTGGCGTGTTTCCGATCGCTCTGGCCATTGTTTATTCTACATATCTTGGAGGCAACTTCTTGTCCTGCAATGCATGTATGGGAAAGGATCACATATTTTGGGACGTTGTGATCCGTGAACTCCACCACGGCGAGGATGTTTGCATCTAGAAGACTCATTGCGAATTCTGAAGCAATAGGGGAAAAGACAAGGTATGTGATGAAATGCGGCGTCAGGAATCTAAAGGTAATTTTTCTTTTTTCTTTTAGGAGAGGAGGAAGCTTGTAGAAGTGCAATTGATCTAAATAGGCATGGGTGATAAATAAACGGCTGTAATTGTCAGCATGGGCAACGGGCCTTCTATAGTATCCATATTCATCCTAGTTGCCAAGGAATTTATAAAAGAACGAACAGCCATGCAAATGTCCATCTGCACTCTCAGCATACTGCGGACAAACACCCCATTCCGTATACCCAAGCTTCAAGTAAAATCCCCTCGCCGGAGTATCCGAAGCTGTATCCAACAACACCATCTTCTTACCCAACTCCTCCTTCGCGAATCTCTCCGACATCTCCATCAGCTTCCTTCCCAATCCATGACCTCTTTCCCCTGCGGAAACCAATAGCTTGCCGACTTCGACCTTGTGAGCGTGGGTTTCCTTAGGATGAGTCACGAGCGAAATTGTTCCCACTGCGGTGGTGTCGCGGGCGAGCACAAACAGAGTAGCTCTGGGGTTGAGGCCGAATAGTTGAGGTGATTGGGAGGACCAGAATTCTGTGGCTTTGGTGGTGGTAAGAGGTGCGTGAAAGCCGATTGAGGATGCGGATGGATCATCGTTGACGCAAGATAGAAGTAGTTGAGTGAGTGAAGGAGTCCATCGTTCTAATTCCTCAGGACTAGTGACTTTATGTAAGGTGAAGCCTGTTGGGAAATCGGGAGCAGCTGAGGAGCCCATGGTATTAATAATTCAGTAAATTGAAAATAGTTCAAGTTTGATATATACGGTACAATTGTCCTAACGGCTTACTATAGATATAAAGTTCATAATTGTACGCATGAGTCATTGGTGGATAGTGACCGAGCTAAATTATGTGATAAAATCACTTATCTCTTATTCTCTTTTCAGAATGCGAGGCTCGGCTATCTTCGGAGATCCGTGCCGAACAAGATATCCCGTAACTTGTTGGTTACTATTCTGAGGCTGATCGTGGATAAACTTGCTACCATGAATCATGACTTAATAATCGTGATTCACGCCCTCCGCACGACATCGGCGTCTCAAAGTCAATTATCCCGCGATCCCCGCTCTTCAAACCGGCCAAGTGTTGACAAGTTCCCGAAGACCCTCCAATCTAACCGGCTTCTTGAACGTCGTGTTCATTCCAAAGTCATCAATCATTCGCCGATTCTCACTCTCTGTAGGGTCTGCCATAAGTCCGATGATGATAGCAGGCTGAAGATTGTTTTCGCGCTCATGCTGTCTTATGAGAAGTGAAGCCTGCATGCCGCCCATGACAGGCATGGAAATATCGAGCAGGATCAATTTGCATTCCTCAGGGTGCGACTTGTACAGGTCGACGACTTCTTGGCCGTTCCAAGCGATGTTGTATTTGAGACCGAGTCTATCGAAGTGGTGCTTCATCACTTTCATGTTGACTTTGTTGTCGTCGACTAAAAGGTACTTGGCGTCTTCAACCCATGCGTCCAATTCCTTAGGACCTCCCGAAGAGGGGACAGTTTGGGCCGAAACATCTGACATTTTGTTGTCTGTTTCACTCATTTTCGCTGGTACATATATCTGCTGATTGTGATTTGACGCGGGGTCTTGTGCTGTACGCGTCAGCATCCAAGCTTCAAACTTAGCGACAGTTTGGTGGCTTGAACGGACCGGGTTGGATCAAGATTTATAGATAAAACTCAATGATAGACGAGACAGAGATGAGGTACGAGGAAAGTGGATGAGATTGAATGAGTGGCGGCCTCTTGACATTTGGTGTCGTTGCATTCAAGGGTTGACTAAGCCGTCGTGGAGCCTGAAGGATTATATCTGGGTCTTGAACGCATTGCGATCAGCAGTGTCAGTGGGCCAGCAAGATTGTTAGTGTCTGCCTCGCAACGTCGAAATAATTCTAGCATAGGCCATATATTTAATTTGGTCCCATGGTCATTATGCTGAGTGTAAAGCCACAGGATATGCCCTGATTGGCTCTGGCGTATGCACCGAAGTCCTATGATGGCAGCCAGGACTATAGAGCTCAGCCACTATCACCGCCCCCTCGTAACCATTCGCTCGCCGAAGTCTTTTAAAATGGAACATATGAAGGCTCTCCCCTCATCCTCAGCTCCGAAAAATAATTTCTCTTCTCCAACGTTGCCATTGGTCCCCCGTAAAAATGTTCACTCTTTTCCCTAACCTACCACCAGAACTTCGCGACCAAATCTGGTACCACGCCCTATCAGAGCCCCGCCAACCAGGAATATGTCAATGGAAGCCAGGCTGCTGGATCCCAAAACACCTTACAGCAGAAGACCATGATTGGTCCGACAACGATCCCAACAACATCCGCTTAGAGTTCCGCTATGACAAGCTGGGAACACCAGTTCATATACCGATCGTGGATGTTAGTCAAGAAGCGCGCCGTGTTGCGCTAGCTTGGGCCCGCGACAACAACATCAAGAATCGATACAAAAACGGCAGATACGAGTTCAGGCGCAGAATGGATAAGGATAGAGACACAGTCTACTTTCCCAACAATATGATAGAGACTGCTGAGGTAGAGGCTGTCGATCGAGGCTTTGAGGGTGATCTTAGGAACAGGAATCACACCGTGGCAACATACGTTACAAGTTTAGCGGTACCAGCAAGATATATACGAATTGCAGATGAGGCACTTTATACCTGGGAGTGGCATGAGAGTCTCGAAAAAATATACGTCATTGTTGGCAAACAACCCGATGGAAAGGGTCACTGGGAGATTGATACAACGAGAGGAGCAAGCTTGTTTTGGTCAAGAGACACCGGCCAGTTTACTCCCCAACTTGGAGCGGATGAATTCTGCAGTGGGGACCTTTTGAAGACGATCATGGACGATAATATGGGTCTTGGGTTTGCTCTCCTGCGCTGTCAAGGACCGCCGAGACAATCATTTGAGATTCGCGTATGCTCGGTCATAAGAAGGTTAGTGGTTTTGTCTCTTGTACAATTATATACTTACGTGTATTCAGATCACCAAAGAAGCCGTCTCGCACGGTGGAAAATATGAAGAAGATGTTTGATGGGTGTTTGAGCACTGTGAATCGAAGCCAGCGTGGTTGCTGATGAGGCTATACAGAAACGAGATAGTCCCGACAAGAGCTGGTGTATGAAAGAACAGATGCTTCAACCATACACAGGTTCTCCTCACTACGGATAAGTTCGACGGCGACTGAATATCCGCGATACTATCAAAAACCATAGAAACATCACATCGTCTGTCGAACCACGAAACTTAGGTGTAGGGATGATTCAGGTCTACATCCTGTCGATAGAGCCCTTCCATCGATCCAAAATCATATCTTATCTTATAATACACTAGGAAGCCAGTCCACCCTTTCGACCAGCCTCCTTGGCCTTCTCACTGCCAGCCTCGAAAGAGCCAGATGAGGCCTTGCCGCCCTCAGAAGCGATCTCTCGCTAGATGATCTGTTAGAATGTGATATTTGTATAGATATGCATGCGGATTGACCAACCTGCTTGTCGGCGTCCATACTGGCAAAGCCGCCAGAGTGGCTAGACTTTCCGCCCTTGGAAGCAATCTCTTGAACTTCCTCTTTAGGTCTATCTTTATTAGACATGTTGAAACTGGATGAGACTGAACATACCGGTTGGCAAAGTTGCCGGGATTGGGGTTGTCGGTGCCAGTCATTTTGATAGTTCTGAGAGTTTTTTATGAGGTTTTGTTTATAACAAGTCGTCCATGCTCAAAATATGGAATTTCTCATGGTTAAATATTTCTCTTTGATTGATTCCTATGTGAAAGTGGTTCGTCAACGACGCGTTACAGCTACGTCTACATGACGTCTACGACTCCACGCGCCCGACCAACGTCTCAACTAATTATCTATTTTTCAACATGACGTTTCTGAAAAAGCAAAATTGACAAAATACACGGCTGAGTGACGAGGTCATTACTCTGATGACGCCCAAGATGTTGCTTTTTTCCTTTGCAACAGCTGAAGACTGGACTTGATTGGTGTAGGCTCAAAGTGATCTGCAGGGTTACAAGGTTGCTCCTCGTTTGAATACAACGCTGAGCTTTTGTAATGCCATCGCCTTTAACGTTATCCCATGCGCCTGATAAGATATGGAGCCCGATAAGATCAGCACCCACCAATAACAAGCCAAGCCGCAACGTCATTCCATCTCACGTAACCGTCGTATTCCCGTAATCTCACGCTTCACCCAAGTCACCGAGTCGGCGACTTGATCTCTGACCAACAAGCCGCTGAGAAATCACCAGCATCAACTCTATTCTCAATGACCGAGTCACAAAATCGCCAAAGCAGCGCAAGATCACCAAGCGCTGTACCTAGCCGGACGCGTGTAGCTCGCGTAGCTTGCAAAGCGTGTCACGCAAGACGGGTAAAGTGTGACGCCGCCGATGGACAGCCGTGTTGGCATTGTCGCACGCGCGATGTTACTTGCGAGTTGATAGACTCCAAACGTGGAAAGTGCGTGAAAGAGATGTGTTGTGATGAAGAATTGAGACTCACGGGTTTGTAGATATGCTAGGCGAAGTAATGCGCAACGCGTGTCAAAAAGACAACAGGCGCAGAGTCCAGTCGACCAACATGATATGATGAATGACAGTATTGCAGTAATTACGCCTCAAAGTAACGAGAATTCGCAGTACCAAGAACACAGCCAGCCTGTCCCACCGAATACCGCGCAGAATAATGAGCCAGAGTCTCAGCAACAGAGCTTGTCTGGGAACGACAAGTCATATTTCCTGGGCGACTCAAGCAGCTTATCATACATCGTCGAGATGATATGCAGTCCAAGAGGTGGTGTCAGCGAGCCCGTCAAAGTCCACTATCCCATACCAGCATCAATAGCAGACCGCGCAATTATTCCAACTCGACCCCAAGTGGAACCACTCAGTGTAGGGGATGCGCTGGCTATGCCGCCAAAAGAAATATCTGACCGTCTGGTATACACCTTTTTCGAGATCATTCATCCGCCTTATCCGGTGGTAGACAGGCGTGCCTTTTCGGAGCTGTACAGACAGGGCAAAGCGTCGCCTATACTCTTACATGCGATGTTCCTTGTCACCTTCATTCTGTGCGATGAGAGTCTTATACAAGCTGCTGGATTCAGTGATCGGACTGCTGCTCGCAAACATCATTATCTTCGTGCGAAGACGCTGTATGATGTTGATCATGAGACTGATCGAAATGTCCTCACAGCAGCAATCTTCCTTTTGGGATTTTGGTGGAATGGGCCGGATGATCAGAAGGACTCGTGGTTCTGGCTTGGGTGCGCGACGTCTTGTGCGCAGTCATTGGGGATGTATCGTTCGTATGTGAACCTTTGGCAAGTTGTGGATTGGCTCTGACTCTGTCGCAGGACGGTTGCATCGAGGCTGAGTCCCGAGAAAAGAGCGCTGCGAAAACGCATCTGGTGGTCCATCTATGTTAGTCTAAGCAGTAAAACAATTGAGTGCCCCTACTAACACTTGCAGACTCGCGACCGACACACAGCTGCATGCCTCGGCAAGCCATGCAGAATCAGGGATGAAGACTGCGACATCGAACCTCTGACCGAAGAAGACTTTTACTTTGACGACGACCACAACGATCCTCTCATAGCCCGACAAGAAGAACACCATACGGCTCTTGCGATAGAGATGACCAAGGCTGCCGAAATCTGTGAGTCACTCCCAATTGATAAGTCCTGTCCTTCACAAGGCTAATATCTATCCAGTGGGTGATATTGTTATCGCAGAATACAGTCCTCGTCGCCCTGACTCGGAACAATATAGACCAGATCGTCTCAAACAGAGACTGGAACAATGGGAAGCACAGTTGCCGAAGTGCATGCAGAGGGCGCAGCTTGATGAGACACTGGGTCCAGCGTTCTGGGCGACTCAGTTGCATATGGCGTACCAGTAAGAGACACGATAGCGTTTGAAGAAGAGATATCTGACCTTACTCAGGAACTACTATATTCTCCTGTTTAGACCAAAGGCAATTGAGGACTTAACACCGTCCGAAGCTGAGGGTGACATTTGGGCGCGAAGGGCTGCTGATTCCATCACTCGTATGACGGAGGATCTTCTAGCCGTCGGCGCAATGAGTAAAAGTCAAATGCACATGTAAGTCAACCTCGCCTCCATTTCCACGCAGGTTCTAACCCTTTCTCAGTGTCCCCGCTGTCTTCGGCGCCCTCTCCATCCACACCCTCGTCATCTGCCGCAAAGACCCCATCCGACGCCAACTCGCCGGCAACAAATCACGACAATGCATCCTCGCCCTAAGCGAACTCGCCAAACACTGGCCCGTAGGATTATGGATCATGAGATTCTTCGGCAACCTCATGCGAAGACTCACAGGTCAAGGATCGGCTGTTTCAGCAGGTTCAATAGTCGACGTAACATCGCGCATAGCAAATTGTAGCCGTAACGAAGACTCTGCTCTGAACACCTCGGCGGAAGTCAGTAGGGCCACGTCTCAAACTTTAGCGGAGAATGGCGGCTCGTTCACTGACGCGACTAATGCTCAAGTCGCTGGCGCTGTGATGGAAACTAATGACCTGTTTCAACAGCCGTCTGATCAGTTCGGTTTTGATAACTTCTGGGCGGAGAATACCATTGATGTTGATCTACTGCTTCAGCATGGTTTATGTCCATTGCTGCCCGGCAACTTTGGTTCTTTCCCACCGGTGGCAGATTCACAAGGATTTTAGAAAGACGGAACTTTGGTCATACTTGCGAAATACAGTTATTTTAATAGGGTATGAAGTCTATCTATTCTTTGCGTCGCTGCTCTATACTGCTTTTTTCTTCAACCTCGTCTATCGCACCCCAAACTAAAGTGATGCAGCCAACTTTTGGCTGACCCAATCACGTATCTCTTCTCCAGGTCTTTTCTGCCGTAATTTTAGATCTTCGAAGCGAACTTGCTCTTAGCTCGCAGCTTCTTGCCGTATCTGAAGAACAGATAAGGGAACGGTGCCATGGCAACCGTCAAGAAAGCAAGAAGACTGGATGCCCACTGATAACCAAGCGTCTCGTACATCTGAATACCAAACAGTGGGAATGCCGCTATACAATCGTTAGTGACTGTTGCTTTCTGTAAAGGGGTGAATCGAACGTACCTGCGAAAGAGCATCGGGCAAAGCTGTTGGCTGCCATGGCAGAAGCGGCGTACTGAGGATAAGCGTCGACCAAGAAGGTGAAGACACCAGTGAAGACCAGCATCATACTACATGCAGTTGTTAGCATAATCACTAAAATAATTGTCCACAGACACTTACCCGCATCCAAAAACTCCAGATCCAATGATAGGCACAATCCAATGAATGCTTGAGTACGTCGTCCAAGCAAACCAGAACAAGCCGATAGGAATAAGAATAGCACCAAGAATACAAGGAGGTAGTCTATACTCAGGCTCACTGATGGCCTTGCCAGTCTCCTTCTCCTGCTCCGCCAACCAGCGAAGTCGAAGTCTGGCCCAGAAGGGAGTCGTAGCCGTTGCAATAACAAATCCGACCAGGATTCCCAAGAAGGTCATGCCGGTCTGCCAAAGACTCATACCGTGGTTCGTTCGGAAGATGAGAGGGAAAGCGCCGAAAAAGAGGTAAAGAATACCAAGGAGGATGGCAGAGTAAAGATCCAGGCAGAGACACATGGGCTCCAAGAAGAGAAGCTGAAAGGGTCGAAGGACTGAAAGTTTTAGAGTTTCGAGAATGGGCTTCTTGCTAAGCTCCATCGGCGCTCTATACGCGTGATTTCCAGTCTCCTTTCTCAACATCCTCGCCTTCTCCCTCAACAAAATCGGATGGAACGTCTCCGGCGCAAACACCACAATAGCCACCATGACAAACGCAGCCCAAATCAGCATAACATAATACGTCCACCTCCAATGCGTATTATAATTAATAAACCCTCCGATCAACGGCCCAATAGCCGGTCCGATAAACGGCGCCAACGACACCAAACTCATAGGTTTCTGGATCTCATGCCGTTCAAAGACATCACCCGCTGTTCCACCTGCAACGCTAAGGAACGAACTCCCCGCGAAACCAGTAAAGAAACGCGCGATGATCATGGTCTCGATGTTTTGCGCTACGGCGGAGGGAATCGTCCAGATTATAAACATGGCCCACGAGACGAGGTAGATTGGTCGGCGGCCGTAGTACTCGCTCAGCGGGCTGGTGAGCACAGGACCGAGGGCGATTCCTAGGACGAAGGTTGAGAGACCGAGGGTGGCGACGATTTGGGAGCAGTGGAATTCGGCGTTCATTTGGGTGTAGGTAGCTGTGTAGATTGAACTTGCGCATGTTCTGGAGATGTCAGTGGATGGGCAGTGAAGGTGAGATGGGGACTTACACGCAGAGACTGCCCATGCATGCGATTGAGACAATCATCCATTTTCGCAACGTCGACATACTCCGTGGACAGAGCGGATCTTTGTCGCCATCCCATGAAACTTCAAAGGATTCGCAGTCGGTGGTCAAGTTGCCAGCCTCGGTCGTCTGATCACTAAGATTCGCATTCTGATCATCTGTGTTATTCCCAGCCATTGGCGAATTCTTCTCAACATCAGTTAAAGACGCCCGGTCCAGAGAAGCTCGCTGTTGATCTTGGGACATATTCCCATCACGAGGAACTTCTTTCTCACTCATTGTCGCTGTTGTGATGATAACATGCCAAGACCCTGTTTTTTTGTCGCATGAGAGATAAACTGACGTATTTAACAAATTTGCGGCTCCACGGCGCGCATCAGATTTGTAATGACGCTCTCTTTTTTACAGAGATAAGATGTGGGTATATTCGTTATCTTAAGATGCCTCGGCGTCTTGGGACGTTAGTGTAGTTCGTAGGTGCATTGTGATAGGCCCGGCTTTTTATGATTGCAGGGGGTGTTTTGGCCACCTCGGTTTTGGGCGCGGTTTTGCAAAAAAGTCGGCGATTAAGTAGTTATGGGAGAAGGACAAAGCGGATTGAGGTTGTTGGTGAAAGGGCGTGGTCTGCGTGTTTTGAAAGGAGTTTAGGGAATTTTCCGAGTAATTCCGGGTTTGAAGAGCGAGATTGTGTCTTTGTTGTAATTGTTGATACGAATTGCCTGATTTTGAAAAAATTTTGACACATGTCGATCAGAATATTGGAATTCTTTTGAATATCGGCTCATTTTTGAGCTCAGACAGGCCAAGGCATGTGAGCGACTCTTTGCCTCGAGATATCTGTTCGATGCCCTTGTTTTATCAAAATGCCTACCCTGTAGATGCACAATGAAACCGTCTTTTTTTTTTTGTACTGAAACTCGAAGATGTAGTAAAGTTGAGGCTTGGATAATTCTCTCTGGAGAGTATGTAATTATTTCCGTATCAATTTGAGGTACTCTCCTCGTGCTTTGTTTATTTTGTAGTTCTGGTAAAATTCTTTCTCCGATTCGTTGATCATCCAGTCATCACTTTTGCTCCCTAGCATGCACCCTCCTCAACTTTTCATTCTAGAAGCCAACCCAGCACGTTCAGGTAAAACACCAGCCGCGATGGATCACGCTCCAGAAAAGCCCGTGCTGTTCTTGTATAAGCCCTCCCCGACGTCGTTGATGCCAACTCTAACGGTCTTAGTGACATTGACAACTGTCTATACTCACGCAGTATGTCAACGGTCAAGTCCACATACAGAGCCTAACATAGGTATGCAGATGACAAAGTCCTGGAGCACATGTCCAAGAACATCGACGACTACTTCAAGAAACATCTCGGCCTCTCCCCAGACGACGCAGAGCGCCTTCACAAGGATTACTCCCAGCAATACGGCCAGGCAATCGAAGGCTTGGTACGCCATCACCAAATTGACGCGTTGGAGTACAACGCCAAGGTCGATGACGCGGTCCCATTGGACGACCTGATCAAGCCAAATGCACAATTACGACAATTACTCGAGGACATCGATACTTCCAAAGTGAGGCTTTGGCTACTAACTAATGCTTACGTGAACCACGGGAGACGGGTTGTGAGGCTGTTGGGTGTTGATGATTTGTTTGAGGGGTTGACGTATTGTGATTATTCTCAGGTCCCATTTGTGTGTAAGCCGCATAAGGAGATGTTTATGAAAGCTATGAGGGAAGCTGGAGTCTCTGATGTGTCGAGATGTTATTTTATTGGTAAGATGATCGCCTGTTTTACGGCTTCGCTGACACTCTCAGATGACTCTCATAAGAATTGTGTTGGAGCGAGGGACGCTGGCTGGACTGCTATTCACTTTGTGGAAGAGGGACTTCCTGTACCCGAGTCATCAGCGTCTCAGCATCAGATTCGCCATCTTGAGGAACTGAGATCACTCTATCCCGACTTCTTTAGAGTTAGAAATTGATGCTACTGTCTCTATTCTCTGTTGTCTGTGTCCGTCTGCTTCCCCGCCACCCCGCCAGCCCCTGTCGAATGCCCAGGATTAGAGCCCCACTACGCGTTAATTACCCCTTACCTTATCGCACCGCGTTGTGTCTTATCACACGCGTCTCATCGCGGGGCAGCATCTCCCTTCAAGTTTCAACTTTCATGCTCAAACACTTACGACTCTGCAACGAATATACCCTTCTTCAAGCAATTCGACTCAAAATGGTGCAAAAACTCTGCAATTTGTGCGGAACACACATTCTTAAAACCTCCGCGGACATATGGGGCAAGGAATTTCGCGCCAGGAAGCTTCCCCGCCCAATCTCAATCTAAATCTCAGCCTAGCCTAACCGACCTCAAAATAGTATGGATCCATGGTAACAATTTCGACGATGTGAAAGTCTCTGGCGTGGCAGCTAGTGACTGGAACGATCGAAGCATCAACAGCACTGTTCCAGTGGATCCTAGTGCACGCTACGATGATCGTCGACAGGTGGACGACGACGGGTTTCCCATTGAGGATAATGATGGTCATGTGCCAAATGTTGAGATCTCCATCGTCAATGTCTTTCATCCCGATCCCCCTCCCGAGTGGCGCTGGGGCTTCTTGTTCCACGATGTTTGCTGGAGTCTGTTGAACTTTGAACAAAAAGTTGATCTTCGTGGCCTCTTTCGACTCTGCGTCTCAACACCTAATGGTCCTGACCTGCTTCTCGACTTTGGCCACTACTATGGTGGCGTTGCGTCGATGGACTATGAGGGAAGCATCCGGGTATTGGTATCTGACCTCAAAGGTCCAAACACTATGGGAGAAATGCTCAGGACGAATCCTCTTGACATCCCCGCCCTCAAGAAGGCCATCAACTTCGCGGCCCGTATGCAGCAGGATGCATTTCAGTCTATTCTCGACCGTTCGACCCTCAGCGCAGACAAGGATGTCTTCAATTACTTCCCTCCAGAGATCCTTGAGAGGATTGTGACCTTTCTTCCATCCCCTGATGTCCACTCTCTTCGCCTTGCATCTCGTGTGTTCGCAACCCTCAGCCTGTCAGAACGCTTCTGGGTTTCACGATTTACAGAAGGGCGCGAGTTTGACTACCTTCCTGAGGTGTTCACTACCCCCCCGACATCATGGAGAGCTCTCTATCTCTCACTTCACATCTGGGCGTCTGATAACATGGGAATGGCCAACCGCAGACGTGTCTGGCCACTCATCCAAGACTTTCACAGAACACTTGGCCAGATGAAAGACGTGGATTGTCTTGGGAACTCCATAAAGACGGCCTTTGAGCCCGAGGTGCCAAATCCCGGCCCGCAACACGAGTCCTTGATTACCGCAGAAAGGTATCTGTTCGAACCGGGAACTCATTTTGTGGGCGGCTCCCGTGTCCTGCGGGCCCGGTCCGTAGAATTTCCCCGGCGTCTCAAGGTAATGCTCATGTCTGTATCATTTGTCGAGACTCCAGATGGGCTCTTTATCTCTGGCCTCATATTTATTGGCGCCGATGGTGTCTTTGAGTCTCTCGGATACACTCACAAATCAGAAATGGAGCACATACCGCTTCCCAAGGATCAATATATCAAAGGATTCGAAGTGGCCATCGACGTGTGTGGCTTTCGAGCAATCGCGGCCATCACTGAGGATGGCACCACGTCCTTGTGGGCTGGAGATCCGGCGGACAACCCCAGGAGACGTCTCATTGATGTCGAGGGCATTTCTCTCCTCGTTGCTCAATTCGATGTAAGCCTTTCTGAACCACGCAGGATAGGACCGAACTAATTCTGTAGGCGTTCAAACTTGTGTCGCTAAGTCGCGATCGTAAAACAAAGACACTAGAACCCAGGGATAGACTGCTCTGGTATCCCGAAATCCCATCTCCCGAATTATTCTTGGACGGAGTCCGACCCCTCGACGAAAAGGCCAGCTCCAAAGTTCCCATTACGACAATATTCTTCGGCGAGAACGACGGTCGATATGTAAGACAAATGACTGCGATAGGATCCCACAACTACGACTGGTGTCATGTCAACCGCCTCCACTTTGACTTTATGGACGATAGCATAGAGCGATGTCTTGGGGATGTGGAGTTTGAAACAGAACAATCCGATCGCCCCCCGCAGAGATACCCAGACCACGGCAATTCTATGGGATTTTTCGAAATCGATGGTGGAAATGGTGAAGAGATTGAGAGTTTCGAGGTTCAGTTTAACGACGATATTATCTTTGGACTCAAGGTAAGACTGCTCATCTGAGAATGGGGAGAGTAAAGGCTGACATTTGAAGTTCAATCTCAACACCAATCGCACGGAGCTTTTGAGCAATAGTGATGACCCCTTCGATGTACCGTGGACCAAGGTTACTCCGCGTGGTAAAAATATCATTGGGATGTTTTCTCAAGGCGCTGAGGATCATTGGGGTGTAAGTTTCATTCTCCCTCTCTTGATTCATGTGTATATGGTGCTAATATTGTCTGATAGGCCAAGACGTTCCACAATTTGGGCTTCATCTCCACTAACGAGGAACAGGAATAGATTGGATGATGGACATGTTTGAATTTTAAGGATTAGATAGTGTGTTTATTTTATGCCGCTTATGAATCCTACCCTTCCCTCATCTGCAGTCAGCCCAAAATGGTGCTGACATAAGTTTCTGACTGGTGTCTTGACCAAAATCTCACTCATTCTTCTTCCCTTCATAATAACCAGCTATTTCTTTGAAGGTTAGACAAGACGTGTGAATGGAGTCTTATTACTGCCTGCAGTTATCTAGGGTTACCACCCTGCACAATTTTGATCTGACCCAATTCCTATGGAATCGTCAAAGAGAGTACTCGTCACAGGCGGAAGCGGCTTCTTGGGAGGACACGTAGTCCGACAACTTCTCAGTGATACCGGAACAACTGTCGCTATCGTCAGTCGTCATCCCAAGATGCCAGGTGACGTTGCTGACGAGTCCCGCGTCTCACTTCATGCAGCCGACTTGACAGTGCCGAGCCAGATTGAACAGGTGTTTAAAACGTTCAAACCGTACGCAGTCATCCATGCAGCCTCGCCGTCTTATATCGACACACCTGCGAATCTGATAAAGGCAAACATTGATGGAACGAAAGCCTTACTTGAAGCTGCCTTAGCTTGTGCCAATACTCGCGCCTTTGTGTTTACGTCCTCTGATTCAGCCGTTATACCTACGCAAGAGCCTCTATCTGAAGAAAATTCTGTTCTGTATGATGAGACTAACGCCCCGAATGCTTATGCAATGTCCAAGGCCGCAGCTGAAAGACTCGCCATTGCTTCAAACTCAGGACAGCTTTGGACTGCAGCTATACGAATACCGGCCACATATGGCGAATACGACATGAATTTCGTGCGTCAACTCGTACAAAGCATTCGGAGAAAAGAGCACAAAATGCAAGTCGGTAACGACACCAAGATCTTTGAGTTCTTGTACGTGAAGAAAGCGGCCGCGGCACATATCCTTGCCATGAAAGCCCTCCTTGACCTAGAGATGCGAGAAAAGGCCGGTGGTCAGGTATTCTTCATCTCGGATGGAAGACCGCAAAAGTTCTTTGATTTCTCTCGGAAGCTCTACGCCGCAGCTGAATATCCTGTTGCATTGGAGGAGGTTACAAAGATTCCGTTCTTCATGATGCAAGCGATGGCATCGACGGCTGAATGGGTTTACTGGATTATGACACTGGGCTATATAAAGCCTGGTATGAGAAGGACTGCTATTGATCATTTGGACTCTGGGTGTTGTTGGTCTTTGGACAAGGCTAAGAGGGTGCTGGGGTATGAGCCTGTTGCGGACCAGGATGAAGCTATCAAGAAGACTATGGAGTGGGCATTGAAAGCTTTGTGAGCGACCATTGGACATTGAACTAAGTCAACTCAGGGTCTTTCCACCACTCCGTCGATGCAAAATTGACGATTAGTTAACCAAGTTTTGGTCCCTGTTTATACCAATCGAACTTCCCTCATCAGCCTCAGGGTGACGGAAAGCAAGGGATGACGATAAGACCCTGAGTTGACTTATGCAGTGACTTGACACTTGTGGTAAGCGAGATATAACCCCGGGAGCTAAACATGGCTAGCACGGCAGAGCTCTGGCAGCCGGTAGCCGTTAGAACGGTTAGAGCATATGGCCACTTTTCGTAATCAGAGCTGTGGCTGAATCTTAATTCTGGCCGACCCGGTTCCTCCATTCCAGACCGCAAGAGTACAGTATCGCAGTGAGACCTTTCCTAAATAAAGTCAATCGTCTCAGTTCTAGAGGCCATCATACAAGACTAGGGTATAGGTGCCTGGACAGGATGGAAAGTAAACGTCTAGATTTAAAGAATTTTCGTGCACTTTTGACGTCTCGCTTAGCTGCTTAACGCTTGAAGAAAACGGGTACACTTGGTTAATTGAGTTCGAAGCAAATTTCACTAGGGGGGGTAGATTCGAACTATTAGACTGTACCATTCCAGACATCCAGTCTAGAACAAGCGATAATGAAATCCGAGCCTCAGTTTGGTCAAGACTAATTTAAATCCGTTACTGTGTACGGAAAGGAAAGGAAATGCCGCAGGATGTTAGATAAGAGAAAATGTTTTATAATTAAACGACCAGTTCCCAGATGCTCTCTGGTCTATGAGAGAAGCAGTTAGTCTTCTCACTGCAACGAATTCGCTGCAGTAAGTATTATTACCTCTTTTACCATGAAGCTACACCAAAGTCTCGCGACCCTATGGGTTCTTTTCTCTTTATCTTCGGCAGCCCCGTGGTGTACGGACGGTGAGCATACTGCCCAAAATAACAAATGGATTATTTCTTGTGGTTACACTCAAATCGGAGGCACGAAATTGTCTTCTAGCAACCAGAATACGTTAACAGAATGTCTGAACCTTTGTGACATTAGCAATGGCTGCGTCAGTATGGCATTTGACAGTATGATGGGTGGCTGTTACTTGTACTCCACGTATGGCAGTTTACGGCCCTACAGTGCCGGTGCTGTGGCTTTTATAGCCCCGGCCTCCTCAACATCATCTGCACCGTCAACGTCTAGTTCAGATGGATCTTTATCATCAACATCTTCAACATCATCAACATCTTCAACATCTTCAACAATCAACATCTTCAACATCTCAACATCTTCAACATCTTCAACATCTTCAACATCGAGTTCAGATATATTCTCAACGTCTAGTTCAGATACAACTTCATCCTCGACATCATCTGCACCTTCGACATCGAGTTCAGCTGCAGGCTGTCCACCCAGTTACTACACCGGCTCGCAAGCTACATGGGAGATCTTATGTGATCACAGTGTTGTAGGAAACGTACTCGCTTCGCGAACGCCCATGTTTAGTGTGGCCGCCTGTGCAGGCTTTTGTGATTCTACTCAGGGGTGCACTGCGGCAAATTACTATCCGGGTAGTGTGTATTGTGTTCTTTATAGCGGGTCTGTTACCGTTGGGCCTAAACTTGATGTGCAAGCTATTTTCATCCCGTCAGCATCTTCGTCTGCATCCTCGATGGAATCAACGTCAACAACAACCTCTTCAACCTCTCCAATATCTTCTTCAATATCATCGACATCTTCAAGCTCAGCGTCATCAGAAACTCAGACATCGACATCTTCAATATCTTTAACATCCTCAACAACTTCAATGTCTTCAACATCTTCAGCATCTTTAGCAATAACTTCTTCAACAACCTCTTCAACATCATCAACATCTTTAACAACTTCAACATTTTCAGCATCTTCTTCAATATCATCTACATCCTCAGCAGCTTCTTCAACATCCTTCATATCTTCAGGCTCAGTATCATCAGAAACTCAAACATCAATGTCTTCAATATCTTCTTCAATATCTTCTTCAATATCATCTACATCCTCGGCAGCTTCTTCAACATCCTCCATATCTTCAGGCTCAGTATCATCAGAAACTCAAACATCAATGTCTTTAACATCTTCTTCAATATCTTCAGAACTACCAACAACCTCCACATCATCAGAATCATCAACAATCCCGACGTTTTCACCTTCAACAACCTTGACATCGTCAACCTCAACCTCAGCATCATCAGAAACTCAAATGTCAACATCAGAAGCAACTTTATCATCATCTATTTCTACTTCTTTGGAATCCTTAACGTCTTGGATACTCTCAGAATCGTCATCATCACCATTATCATCATCAACAATATCCTCGACAACGTCGACATCTTCAACAGTATCAACGTCATCAAAGGTGCCGTCGGCATCGGAAACTTCAACATTCCATAGTTCATCATCCGCAGCATCTCCAACACTAGAACCTACAACATCTGCGACATCTACCTCACATACCTTGCCTATAACATCCATAATATCGCGCTCCACAACAGAATCTACACCAGTCTCATCTATTAGTTCCGGAGAGGAGCCTACATCAACCGCCTTGTTTATCTCTTCAGTATCACAGTCTTCATCAACTCCCTCCGCTCTTGCCAGTACTACCTCAACCTCAATGCCAAGCAACCCAGCTACCACAAGCAATCAATCATTCACCTTTTCTACCTCATCTTCTACGATTACTTCTTCAACATCTTCAAGCTTGAGCTCTCCATCCAACGCCCCAATTGTTCAAGGATACGCCTACGACGGATGTCTTGGGTCTCGGGATAATTACCCATCATTCACCCTGGTGGCAACTGAGTCTGACATGACAGTCCAGAGGTGCATTGAGATGAGCCCTGGAAGCAAATATGTTGGTCTTTATGAGCAGTCTTGCTACAAGGCAGATTCCCTCAACGGGACAGAGTTTGTAGTAGGTGCAAGGTGCAATATTCTATGCCCTGGAGATCCTGATTCATTCTGTGGAGGTAATGTTGGCCAGGAAAGACGTCGTTCTGTGCCATCTAATCGCCTTTTGACTATTTATAGTCAAGTTGTTTCTTCTTCATCTTCTTCCTCTTCATCTTCTTCCTCTTCATCTTCTTCATCTTCACCTTCTTCCTTACCTCCCATATCTTCTTCGTCCACTACCCGTACTTCCTCCTCGTATTCGACATCCTCCTCTTCCTCTTCTGCAAAACTCGGTACATCAACATCGAAGGAAAGTTCTACGACAAGTAAAGGCAAAGTTGAGTCGACTCTCTCCGGTTCGGCTTCATCTTTTGAGTCGACTACGCAGACATCTCAACCTCCTTCGCTTACTCATCCCCCTATCATTGAGCCTACCCGAACTATCCATGTTACTAAGGATGTCACTATGACGGTCTTTACGGAGACTACTGTCACTTATGTAACAGTCGATACTGTTAACCCAGGAGTCATGGTTACTACCTGTGTTTCAATTGACCTCTTATATATCCCTTGCGGGTGCGAGGAGCAGGTGTACCCATCAGTAGAAATGACTACCATCACCTGTCCTTGTAGAACCTGTGGCTCGCATGGAGAGAACACAGTTACCCTTACTGTGCCAGAAGCTGCTTGTCAGAGCACTGGATATGAATACCCACTGGCTCAACTACCCCCCGGTTGGATCGGAGGTTATGAGACGGATAGCAGTGGCAACCGATATGTCGTGGCGCAGCCAACCTCAGGACCGCAAAATGACTTTCAGCCATATTTCTCTATTCCTGTAGAGGGAGCGCGAGTCAGCCCTCCTTCAGACCAAGCCACCGGAAGGCCAGCCATTCCCAATGGAAGTTCAACAGAGCCCAGCAACAACAATCAACCTCCCTCAGCTAAAAGTCAAGGTTCTCACCAGGATATCCCGGGATCTCAACATGGAACGCCTTCAAACCCTTCACATCCAGCAGCTACCAACGGCAGTCAACAAGGATCAGACAACTTGGGAGGGTTTGGAAGTCAAATAGTCACTACCACTTCTTTTCACCCTGACATTCCCGCGAATCCGTCGGGGCCAAACCAGGGATCAGGTAACGGATCAGGCAACGGATCAGGCAACGGATCAGGCAACGGATCAGGCAGTGAGGCAAGCAACGACTCAGGACATGGTGAACCTAACAACGGCCGAGAAGGCTCAGAGAACTCGGCGAACTCCGAGAAAGAAACAGTTACCATGTCTACTTCCAAACCTGACATGGAAGTGCGTCCATCTGGATCAGGTAATCAGCCAGAAGTCGTATCAACGTTGGAGACAAAGACAGGAGGAATCAGTAAAGAGATGAGTGGTCCCGAGTCAACTAAGACCCTCAGTGCATCGGGTTCCGAGGAATCAGGGAAGTCGCCTTTAATTGTGTCAGGAGCCAATAGCAATGGGGACATGCCTTGGACTATGGTTTTGGGAGGATTGATTATTGGCTTTGTATTAGTCCTTTAGTAGTCTGCCTAGTTGCTCTTGTTTTTCGCCATTGTTACAGTATGAAGAAAAGAACTTGTAATACCATACTACTCTACTTTACTCTAGTGACCGACAGGTTGGATCAGCTCTGTATTCAAATTAGTTGATGCCTCAGCACTCTACATCATGCTATCACTCGCCTGGGCTGCTGAGAAGCCATCTGTGGTCTCATGCCACCCTAGTGTACTATTGCCATGCAGCTTCCCATCTGTGCCACCTATTGCTATCGTCATGCACGAGCCTGGGCTACAGCATTTCTGTTCTGAGCATCTCTCATTGCTTTGATCATCTGAATACGAGGCACTGTCTGCTAGTACATCTCCATTCTCTGTGTGGTGATCTCTCGAAATTCAGACAATGCAGCTTTCGACTACGCCGAGCCCGATCTGCCTCCTTTACAGACCGCCAGCCCATAGCGTGCGCATCCGCTGGGACCATATTTAGCAAGCAACGCCCTCAATCCCGCCTTGTTCGTGCACTACATCATCCAGAAGCGTGTGCGATACCCAGTCGACGTAGCACTCTTGGCATAACAAGGCCTCAGGAAATCCCCACCAATGCCTGTTCGTGGCTACATCGTTCCGGCTGCACACGGGTGCGGCAAAAACATCAAAGTCATGCTGCTGAAGAGCGGCTCCCAGAGCCAGTATAGACCAGGAGCCAGCTAATCTGCATCTCCACTGGCCTGGAGAAGATGGTGCGTCGAGGCTGTACCAGCATTATCATCGAGAGCGGTGACCTTTGAGACTTTAAAATAAACAAAATTGTATTTAGCTAATATATATACTGGAAATACTTATTCTTAAAGTCAGTTTCATCAAGGAGTCCCGCCTCCCAAGCTCTCTGCTGATTCTCAGGAGTGTGAAGGTCCCGCCTCGACCTATTCCTCATCCACAACAACACCCACAGAGCAACAAGACTTGCCACCTGAATCGCGATGCAAGTGAACATCATGCCGACTCCAAGCTCGTACTGAGGCGCCTGGTTAGACTTGAAGAAGAATGGTCCGACAAAGTTCCCCAGACAATATCCTATCAAAAGCAAGGCATTTGTCGTAATCTTCTTTGTGTGCCCTGCTGTGTTGGCCATTGAAACAGACATGCTAAGCGTCCAGGTTGCTGTGTATGTGAAAGACATCCATAAGCATGCCAGACGGGCGTATGCATCGCTATGAGGGACGAAGTGAAGGCCAAGGACGCCGGCGAGGAAAGGAACGAGACCGAGAAGCATGATTGGAATTCTGGAGTTCTTGATCACGGAAGCTCCCCAACTATGAGAAAATAGTTAATTCAACGACCTGTAACAGCTTTGAAGGACTTACCAAGCAAGTACGCATGCAACAAGTTGGACTGCACCAGAAGGCATCTGATATAGCGTCGTATCAAGGGTACTGAAGCCGGCACCTTTGATGATAAGACCTTGAAACTGAGACAAATTGGTTAGCAGTATTCTGTAAGAGAGGAAGGATTTGCATACCGCGGACAAGCCTCCATTGGGCGAGTTACTCGTCAAAGCAAACAAGAACAACAACCAAGTCTTCAAATCAAGCATCGCCTCCCAAAACTGCGCCATCTTAAAATGCTTATTCTCAATACCCGTACCATTTCCTCTTACCCTCGCCACAACCCTCGCCTTCTCATCAGCCGTCAAAAACTTGGCTCTCATGGGAGCACCAGGAAGCAAGAAGAGAAGAATAACGCCCCAAGCAACAGTGATGGACCCCCAGATAATGAAGAGTACTCGCCAAGAAGGTAGAGCAGACTTGACGTGGCCAATACCAAAACTAGCTATGCCAGCGATGATGTAGCCCATTCCTGCGGAGCCAATCCATATACCCATACGGAGAGGCTGTTCCTTTCGCGTATAGTACATGCTGAAGAGGAGCATGGTGCCAGGGTTTATGGCTGCTTCAAGGGCACCGAGGAGGACGCGCACGACGATGAGGGTTGTGAAGGAGTTGACGGCTCCGTGGGCCATGAGCACGGCGCCCCAGCCGATGACCTAGTGACATTAAGCAAAGGCCAACGACCAGAAGGGTGAGGGGCTTACAGTTCCTGACATGAAGTAGTTAATTGGAAACCTTTGGAGAAACATACTAGTCGGAAATTCCCAGATGAGATAACCGAGATAGAATATCCCACCAGTCCAAGAGAACTCATCTCCCTTGAGGTTGAGATCTTCTCGCAGGCCGAATACGGCAGCATAGCTGATAGTATTCTTATCAATTGACTGTAAAGCATATGTGAAGCACAGTAGAGGCATGAGTCTCAGGTCCAGCTTCCATCGTAGAGCCTTATCGAGCTCAGGACTTGTCTCGATACCATCTGCGTCACGGCAGAGAGTTAAGGCTTCAGCTGTGGAGGCATCGTTTATGGTCCCCTCTTTGATCGATTGGGTATGCTTCAAGTCGTCTGTTATTTTGTCTTCCATTTTGTTGACAGTTTGTACGAATGAAGGGAGACGTGAAGCGCTCCGTGGACGTACATATGTTGATGCTTTATATTCATCCCCTCTTCCGGTCGTTTGAGGTTAACTGATTGTTGATCAGTGGATAATACGTCGCAATACCCGCGGGAAAACTAGCAGTGGATCCCACGATGTTGTAGTTCCCGTACATGGCCCAGGATGCTTATCATTACCCCTCAACTACAATGTAACGCTGATATCGAGCATGAGTCGTACCACATAGATCTCTATCTCCAACCCGGTCTATGATCTGTATGCCGATAAACGGAGCTTGGATTTGCCATGTAACTACTAAGTCGTTTGTGCCGATTCAAGCTCCCGGCCCCAATGATCCAAGGCCACCCGACTTGTGGTCGATTTAGACCTTTATCTGGAACCTTGCGCCAACATCGCTAGAGCTGATATAGCCGTGCAACTGAAGAAAGTCCCTTGCGACTAGATACCACCCAAGGACGTTAGGCGCTTCCCAACGACGACCTAAAACAATGGAATCAAATGAGTATAAGCCATTAGCAGCTCTGATGGTATATCGATCTGAACCAGGACATTCCGGTTTTATAAACCATCAAACAGAATGGTTAGTAAATTGCCCTTCATTTTTAACCATCGATAAATCGTTCCCGTTGTGTGCCAAGCACTGTCCGGAGACACAGTGTACGAATCTGACAGCATGCCTGAGATCAGCATGGAAGTCACACCCAAATTGCATTCTCCACGTCGGCCGTACCCTTTTGGCTGTAGCTGGGTCTTCTGAGCTTCGATGGATAGGTATACGAGTCTCTAGGGGTATACGAATCTCTATGAATAGGTACCTTGAGGTGGTATCAGGGACACTTAGACGTTTTGGTCCGATTCCAAACCCCTCGTCAGTCAGGAACATGACGGGAATAGAGGAAGGCCGTAAGAGAGCCCTTTCAACCATTCGGACAGTATTCTGTCCAACAACTTCTTTGAAAGTCTGCTCCTGGTTGTCGAGTTTCCCCATCTGGCGTTGGATTGTAAGCATGCCTTCAGAAAAATCCACATTCGGAGCATCGTAAGCCATCTGCAGTAGATAAATTCCTTTGACCACCACGACCCAGTAGTTCAGCATCTATCTCTGGTTAGCATAATTTGATTATAGACTGGATCTTGGAATATTACCGAGGTCTTGCTCTTTTCGTAATAACCAACGAAATCATTAGAGTTGTCAAATGCCTTTTGGACAGACTGGCGGAGAAAAGACCTTGGTCCATCCTCTGCAAGAAAGTCGTTGATGCGGTCAAGTATACCGGGTATTTCGTTAGAGCACATTTTGAGGCGATCTTCCAAGCGAGTCTGAATGGCCTTCAGCTTTTTATCTCGCTCTGCATTCGAGATTTCCTCAGGTAAGGTGACAGCTGTTTCCATCAGGTCGGTAATCGTGTCATACATGGTCTCTATCTTGGTAAGAGACTCTCTCAGGCTGTCGCTTCGGAGATGGTGAAGAGCTTCGGGAAGCTCTCGCGACAGAGTATCGACAGTTCGTTTGAGTTCTTCATTTCTGTGACGGCCCCGGAGATGGCTTGACGGATCTTGTCTGTGTCACTACCGCCCGATGCCGAGTGTAGAATCTGTTTGAAGACCCATGTCCCAGCTTCACCTGCCAGGCCGATGGCGAATTTATTTAGAAGCGCGGGGCCGGAGAGCGTGATAATAGTTGATGTTACCATGACTCATTGAGTATCTATCTTCAAGAGGATCATGAAGTCTTCGAAAGTGGAGAAGAATTAAGGACATGGAGGAGGCGACCAAGTGTTTTATTAGTGGTGATATCCAACGGTGCGGCTGAACAACCTCATCCGATAGTTGTTGATCCTTACTGCATTCAGTGGATTTATTGGACGCCACTCGTGGTCTAGACCCAAGGCCTTTTTAAATTGAGCAGCTGATTCTAAGTAGGTAGGTCGAACTATTGACTCTATTAATTGTGGTATCTTGAATGCGAGTGTCCCTTATGTGGCCCAGTTCAATTGTGGGGCCTCGATAAACGCGAGGAAGCCTACTTCTAGGACTTTTATCCTAAGTGATGACGAGACTTCGGTAAATTTAGGCAAATCGTAGTAAATCTTTAAACGAGTGCCTTCTGGAACCCTAAGCTTCCCTGTCCCCCTTGCGCGTGCAACGTCAGAGTCTCGGATTTGCTTATCTGACACCTGGTTACTACCTAAGTTTTCCGCGGTTGCGTGGGAAACATCTAACTGTCCTGTTTCCCGGGACAGGGCAAATTTGCCGAATGCCGATTGATAAAGAGGACTGAGATACTGATGGAGCGAGATACAGCACTGCAGTTCCTCACAGTACAGGCACAGAATGTCATCCACCCATCCGTACCAGCTGCTCTCTATCGACGAGAGAGTCAAACGAGTTTTGGCTACAACTCCTCTTATAGATGGCCACAATGATTTACCTCAACAACCCAGAGCTTGCTTTCATGGAAAAATACACGACAATGAGAAATTCGACCTAGAAAAGGGATTCGAGCGCGGCATGACCGACATTCCTCGACTTAAACAAGGTGCCCACCAACATTTGCCACCATCCTCAACTTGATGCTAACATTTTCTTTCAGGCGCCGTGGGCGGCCAGTTCTGGTCTGTCTGTGTCCCTTGTCTCAGATCAGCAGAGAACTTCACCACACCAGAGTACTCTGACATGGCACGAGATGCCATTGAGCAGATCGATCTGACTCTCCGGCTCGTTGAGTCTTACCCAGAGACATTTCAATTGGTCAGTGGTCCTTCGGAAGTCAAGGATGTTTATGCCAGTGGTAAGATTGCTTGCTCTATTGGCATTGAGGGGTTGCACATGGCAGGAAACAGCATCGGTATTATTAGAGCTTTCTACAGGCTCGGGGTAAGATACGTAAGTAAAATAGAGCTCACTAGTTTGAGATATCATACTGAGTTGAATAGTGCACTCTTACTCATGTCTGCAACAATGCGTTCGCGGATAGCTCCACTTCAAAGATCGGTCCGGTTCATGGTGGGCTATCTGACCTAGGAAGGGCTGCTGTCAAGGAGATGAATAGGCTTGGTAGGCCCCTCGACACTCCTTTCGCGCTTAGCTAATCTTTTAGGCATGATTGTTGACCTCTCTCACGTCTCGGAAGACTGTGCGAACCAAGTCCTCGACCTTTCCCGGGCCCCCGTCATGTTCTCCCACTCCAACGCAAAAGGAGTATTTGACTGCCCCCGAAATGTGCCCGACCATATCCTCGATAAAGTGCCCCTCGATGGAGGTATCGTAATGGTTACTTTCGTCCCAGAGCATGTCACAACGCGCCGAAAAGATGCCAAGATGGAAATGGTGATCGATCATCTCTTTTACGTGGCCAAACGTATTGGCTGGGATCATGTCGGTCTCGGATCCGATTTTGACGGGATTGCTAGTGTTATCCCTGGCCTTGAAGACGTGAAATGTTACCCCCATCTTTTGAAAGCTATCCTTGATCATGGAGCGACTGAAGACCAATTGGCAAAGGTTATCGGCGAGAACATTCTTCGAGTTTGGGCAGGGGTCGAGCAAGTGAGAGATCAGATGAAGGCTGAAGGAGTACTTCCCGTGGAGGATGTTTTTAAGGATCGAAAGTGGTGGAGATATGATGGGTATTATCAGATGGAAGATCCTGATCCTGAGGATAAGCTTGGACTTGACTGGTATGGGAAACCCCCACCAGATGAGGGGCTATACCTTGAGAATTAGAGACGCTTGGGACAGAAGATATCTCTTTAGAGTTTGAGAGATTAAAGCATTGTTTGGTCAAAGGTGGGTCTCGAAGAGGAAGAAAATATAGGACTTTAGAAGAGAGTGGTAAAATAAACTTAACAAAGAGTCCCCTAAGTTTAGGCTGAGTCGTCTAAGTATTTTATTCATTTAGTGTTAAAGTCCTGGGTTCTCTTCTTGCCCAAGGGGCGCTAGCAGACTTAGAAGATAGGGATGAAGTGAAAGTTGTTTAATAATGTGAGTGAAAGTGATGAGCCACTATCTACAAGACAACCTATCTCATAGATCTTTAATCATACAGAACCCCCAGTGAGAGGTTGTGATGAATGCTAAAAAAGAGAATGACTATCTGAATCATAGGCTCTACTGTCGTGGCTCGACGGGAGTCTCAAACCTCGCGGTCTCAGCCTTCGGTTGGAAAACACCCTTATCAGCCTCCATACTGTTTCCATCAGCGCTGGCACTGTGGTGAGCAGCATCGATATCAGCGTGGCCACCCTCTAGTCCACCGTTGTCAACGATGGGGCGGTTGTCAATAGTCATCTGAGGGGCGACATCATACTTTCCATCACCACGTTCAAGACGGTGAGATGGGATGAGAATGTTGAGGAAGCGAGGGGCAAGGAATGCACCGATGATGAAGATGACAACCATGTGCATGAGAACAAAGCTGTAGATGAAAGGGGGGTCATCGGAGTAGTTGTTGAGGAACTTGGGATAGGCAAAGGAGAACACAAGAGCCACGGCGGGACCCGTGATAAACTTCAAACAAAATGGCCATATAGCTGGGATCTTCCAGTTAGATTGACCGCCGAGGATTGCGTTGTTGAGATCGCGGCGGAGTTGATTGCCCTGATGTGAGGTTAGAAGCCGACTTGGAGACGAAGACTTGGGGGGATACGTACCGAGTAAAAGGCCGCGTACCAGAAGCGGCTAAGAATGGCATTGTTTCCCCAGAATCGGGGAGCAGGGATCGATGGGGTCTTGCCAAAGAAGGCAGTGAAGAGGGAGCAGCCGATAAAGATTCCAAAGCCAACGCCAGCTCCAGCAGGGGCGCTCACAAGGTGGCCGATCAGGAGACCAAGGAACAGAGAGAGAATATAGCCACCGTTAAATACAAAGTAGCTAATAGCGCCGATCTGGTCAACAGGGTCCTTCCATCGGTAGAGCGTGCAGGCCATATAAGTCTCGGAGAAGACAGTGATAAAGAGAGCGATATCGTTGACGAAGGCATCAACCGCATCGAGGACACTGAAGCCAAACTCACTGCTGTAAATGAGTGAAGTAAGGGCACCGAGGACGATGACGGAGGTGGAGATGATCCAGCGAGGAATACGCTGGCCCATGTTGGTGTCACAGAGGAGAGTGACCAGAACTTCGGCGAGGGCAAACACGCAGGTGAGACCAAGAAGAACGAGGGTGATAAAGAAGAGGGCGGAGAAGAAGTTAGATCCAGGCATCTCGGCCAAGGCTTGAGGGTAGTAGAAGAAGCCAGAGCTGAATGTGGACAGAGGGTCGACATCACCGGGGTTAATGCCGAGGTAGCCGACAACGCCCATGACAGCCAAGGCAGAGATGATCTCGATGGCAGAGTTGCTGAGAGCAATGATGAAGGCATCTTGAACAGCGTTGGCGAACTTGTTATTGTAAGAGGCGTATGAGGTGAAGTAGCCGAAACCAACGCCAATGGAGAAGAACATTTGTCCAAATGCATCTTGCCATACGCGAGGACCTTCAAGAGACTCGCTTCGCCACGTACCAACGTAGAGTCTAAAGCCATCGGAGGCGTCGGGAAGGGAGAGCGATCGGATGGCGAGAATGCCAATCATGATGAGGGGAAGGGCCATGGTGATGTAGATGACACGACCTGTGAGGCCGACACCCTTAAAGGTACACATCCACACGACGAACCAGATCATGATGCACCAACCAAACGTCTCGCCGACGATGCCACGGCCGGGATAATGCTTCAAACCACCGCCATCATCAGCACCACCCGTAGCAGGAATGTTGCGAACAACCCTATCGTTGAAGAAGTCCACAGTATCCTCCCCCGCCCAAGGCAGCGGACTCTGAAACGACATCCTGAAATAAGTCATAGCCCATGCCAGGATGGGGACATAGTACCCAACGACACTAAAGCCATTGAACACCATGCTCAGTCCAATACCCTTGGCGCGATGGTTCACATTATTCCAGGCGATAACACAGCCACCGCGATAGGCCTGACCGAGGGTGATCTCGAGGATGAGGATGGGAATACCGATAAGGAAGAGCGCGACGGCGTAGGGGATGAAGAACTGCAGACCGTAATTGTTGAAGACGACAGAGGGGAAGCGCAGCAGATTTCCCAGACCGACGGCACCGCCCATAGCGCAGAGCACAAATTGCGAGCGGGAGTTGAAGTTATCACGACCGTCATCGTCTTTTGCCGAGTCTGGTGCGAGCATGAGAAAGATTCTCTTGGCCATGCCTGGCTTCTGGCCCTTTTCGGCGACAGCCATGATTGACTAGTTTCTCAAATGGCTATTCACCTAGGAAAGTAGAGAGAAATGAGGTATAAGTGTGAAGAACAAAGGTGATCGACCTCTCCGCAAGGTGGATCGCGTCCCCTCGATATATACCCCAGACCCAATATCTCGCCGAGACGCGTGCGATTAACAACATGCTCATAATTGGATTTGCCCGGGGCAGCCAAGACATCTCAGCTTGTTGGCCTCAGACCAATTGTCCTCGATCTTGGAGCAGGCGAACCACTTTATATCACCGCCAAGGAAGCGCATCTCCAATCCGCAGCGCGTGCCAATGCGATACCCCATCTCGTGATATCTCCCGCCAAGCGACATAACAGGAAGGCCAGAAAGAGCCAACATTCCACGCCTCACGTGCTGGACCCCAAGGATTAAAGAGTCCGCCAAGGGAATGCCAATGCTGTTATCTGGGGTAGTGCTTATCGACGGACTCTGCATTCAGCAGGTGCTTTTGTCAGTGTCAACAGTAGCGCCTTGGGTTTGGTCTTGGAGTTATTTCCGTTTCCCCGTTGCCGTTGGTATCCGATACTAAACAGTCGCCTCCTTTGCTTAGGTATCAGGGTCATGCATGGCTTTTGGAGATTCAGGACAGTTGGGGTTTTGGATTAAGGTGTCTTGGCTATTTCTTGGCTGATAGCAAACATAGATAAGCTGTCCGCTTATGCTTAAAAAATGGATTACGACGTATGGGGGCTAATAAGTTACTGCCAAGATGCTAATCAAATAGATTCTACTCTGTCGGTTGATACGCGGCCAAAATGATCACTCATCGAACGATTAGTAGCTTTGGGGTCGAAAAGCTGCAAGACTTGTTCCTGGTGATTCGTGTTCATCGTATTGTAACCCTAGATCACTTTTTCTGGAAGAGAAGGTCGGTTGGCCGATGGAGTGAGCAGTCATCTTTTGTGCCAAGTGTATTCGCTTGGCGTGACTGGGGAGACGTGACACTGATGTAACGCCGTGTATGAGTAAGATGGAAACGTAAGCGTAAACGAACATTGGAAGAAAAGAAGTGGAACGATTGTTGCCTGATGATTCAGTTCCTGCATCGAAGGAATACACAAAGTTAGAGGCTTAGCTTTCAGCCTTGCGAAGAACACGTCAAGATGCTTGTTCAGGTTGATGAGGATCGTCAATTTATACGGAGCACCAATTCTTAGATATGACGGTTTGTTTATTTGCTATGCTTCTAGCGACATATCCTCCTAATTAGGTAGTGCTTTTGAAAGAAGCGTATTTCCTGTATACCATTGTAGTAAATGCTGCATGGAAACATTAAGAGAGGAGACAATAAAAAACCAAGAGGGCAGATATGGACCTTGGAAGTTCACACATCCTAAAGCTACCAGAATCCAGGAATTTGGTTGATATATCCGAAACAAGCCATGTCTTTCCTCGGGGATGAATCCTTAGGTTCGGGAGGCTGAGGACCATTTACAGCTTCACAAACCGCAGCAACTATTCCTACCCCAATAAAGGTGTTCTCATACCTCCCTGCAACAGTCAGCTACATAACTTTCCTAGAATGCTGCTGGACTTACTCTCGTTTCTCTTGAAGTGGCTTACCACCCGGTCACGCAACCCCGAAGATTCTTGCTTATGCTTTTCATGGCTATGATTTTGTCTGTGTGGCGAATAATACCGATGTGTCGGTTGGGATATGTATGTGGGCGACAATCCGCTCTGAAGTCGGTGGGCTTGTTGCCTCAATGGAATCGCATATTGAGCTTTGCTCAGCAGGCGAGGCATTATGGATGAGATCATCGTGGGATGGTTGGTGGTGAAAGTCGTATGCGTGGTTGACGAGGTTGAAGTGTCTAGGCGATGTGGGGGAGATGTGACGGGTAGAAGTAATATTTACAAGATCACGTTGCCTCGGGAGGAAGATTGCAGGCACTATCTTATATACCTCCAAGGCTGGTCGAGGAGTCGTAATCTAGGTTTATTTCATTGGCATTATATTGCATCCATTGGCCAGGCATAAAGTACAGTATGTAAGTTATGAGCCAAACGTGTCTTTTGTATTTGAGGCTTGTGGCCGAGAGCTTAAATTAGCACGTAGAACTCGGTTGCTTGGGCCTAAGAAGAGAGGCTATCTGAGAGTAAGTTTAGAAATTTGCTGTCTGGTGACTCTGGCAAAGTCAAAATTTGGCGGCAGGAAGTCTATGGAAGTTGACCTCGGTCAAGGTGGCTTGCAACTCGATAGATGAATTCCATGCCGATATACAATAGTGCAGACAACTGACATTCAATACGCAATAGATTTTTATGCAAGTAAATAACTCTCGCTTCGTCTGCGCACTCTGATGTCAATTCTATCCGAGACAAACCTTATCATGTCCCTCGCCTCATACTGAAGGCCATGACTCACCCGAGATCAACAAGTCACTCCCTCAAAGTCGGCAAATATCTCAGGGCCAAGAGAAACACCAAAGGTATTACGGAAATAATCGTCTAGTGTCCATTCATACTTCAGCTAATGCAGGGCGGGCTGTTGGGTTTAACGCCGTGACCGAAACTCCGCTCCGCAAGCTCAGCTCCGCAACAGCCTTGCATATATAGTTCGTCTTCTGCACGACATCTCTACTTGTTAACAATTCATATCATAGCAATTGAAATATTTTATAATGGGTATAGTCGCTGTCGCTGGTGGCTCGTCCGGTTTGGGCCGGACAATGGTCGACGCCCTCGAAGCAGCCAAGACTTACGACTACATTGTATTATCGCGGAAGGCTAATGGACCGGAGACACGGGCTGTCGATTACTCTGATATTAATGCTTTGGCCTCGCTTTTTGACTCTGAGCAGGTCGACACGGTTATATCCATGCTTCCGATCGATAATGATGAGAGCGGACAAGCTCAGCTGAATCTCATCGAAGCGGCCGAGAGGTCAACTTGTACTAAGCGATTCTTGCCGAGTGAGTTTGGAATGGTCTACACCAAGGAGTACGTATCATGCTCTACTTTTGCGACGCATATGACTTGGCTGACGAGTCACTAGCAACATCGCTCATGTCCCTTCCTACCAATGGAAGCTGAAAGCAGTAGAAGTTCTTGAAAAGACCAACCTCGAGTTCTCACTTATCTCAATCGGTTTATTCCTAGACTACTGGGCTGCCCCTCGCATGCCCACCAATATCCGTGCAGCAAACATAATCATCGACCCCGAAAACAACGCCGCAGTAATTCCCGGAGATGGAAACACTCCCATCGTCTTGACTCACTCTACAGACGCAGCGAAGTATACCGTCTCTCTTCTCGACGTCCCGAATTGGAAGAGCAGATACGCTGTGATCACAAACCGCATGACCCTCAATGAAGCGGTTAAGCTTGCTGAGGAGGTCAAGGGTGTTAAGTTTGATGTTCAGTATTTCTCTGTGGAACAGATGAAGAGTGGTGAGAATGAGTTGACTCCGAGTATGAAGAAGGCATTGCCAGAGGAGATGCATGGCGGTATGAAATCTATGCTGGCACTATCAGGAATTGGGATAGCTACAGGATCGAATAATATTCAGGGAATTGATGATTTGGTGGTTGAGTTTCCAGATATCAAGCCTGTCACTGTCAGAGACGTCTGGGAAGCGTGGAAATAAAGTCAACGAACAGCGAAAATCTATTGTGAGAATGATAGAGTAGCTAACTTGTGAATGCTCATATCTAGATAGCATCATCTAGCAACTAAAACCCCCACTGGCGACACCAGTTCTTCATCAGCTCGGGTGTAATCGGCCCAAGTTCTCTCATCGTCGGACTGTGACTCTTGGTCTTCTCCATCCCGTACTTAACCGGCTGAACCTCCTCCCCTACCGCAAACAATCCTCGATACGTATCCAGAAGCTTGACACCTGGATTCTTATCAAAGTCCACATTCTCCTCCTTGGCACTAGCCTCCAACCTCTCAATCCATTCTCCAACACTGCCCAACTTCATCCTGTCGCCATAGAAGTCCTTTACTGCCGGAGCGATGTCGGACCAACTGGTCGTGGCAGGATTGACACCATGGAAGTATCCAGAAATCTCAGAGATAGGTTTCTGAACCGTGATACCTGCAACGTCGAGAATAAGCCCTGAAATATCCTCAATGGGAGTCCAAGCAATCTCCTGCTGTGCGCCGAGATTGTCAGGCAAGACTCCAAGATACACTGAGCTTGCAATCATGCTTGGAATCATCTCTTGACGGTTCCACAGACCCTTCTCGCCCCTTGAGCCCGCAATCTGCCCAACTCTCACAGAAACGGTCGGAATTCTAGACTCCTCCGCAGCTGCGTCGAGTATGAGACTAGCAGCTAGCTTGGATCGGCCATACGCCATACTAGGCAAGGTCAGGTCATGCAACGCCTTCTCGGGGACAGCGTCGGGTGAGGACCATCGGTCGACAGTTCCGATACTCGAGATGAAGATGATAGGTACGTTCTTGGAAGCTGCAAAAGAAAAGTCGACGAGATGTCGAACGCCTCGAACATGGCTCTCAAAGGAAGACATGGTGAACTTGAAGTTCACAGGCCAAGCGTTGTGAATGACACGATCGACATCAGCTAGAAGAGAATCGTACTTGGACTTTTCCACGCCAAGGTCAGGGAGCGACAGATCGGCGTGGAGGAACTCGACTTTGGAGAAATCAGTTGTCAAGCCACGGAATTCGTTGATTGAAGGCTGTCGAGATACGCCACCATCGTCACTTCTGTTGAGAGCGATTATCTTCTTGACATTCTCCAAGCGGCAAAGCTGGTCAAGCATATAAGCTCCCAGAGAACCTGTTGTACCCGTGACGACGACTGTTTGATCGTCGTCTAGAGGCGCCTGCTTTCCCTTCTTAGGCGGTGGGAGGTTCTTGGTGTACTTTGAGACCTGCTCCTTGATCTGATTGATCTCATGCGTCTCTTCGTCGTCTACACTAGCACCACTTCGCAAGGACTGGATGTACTCAGCCAGCCCCTTAGCAGTAGGATTGCGGTAGATGATAGGTGGTGCGATTGTCGAGGCGTTGATACCAGCTCTATGCAAAGCACCTCGCATTAAATTCGCCGCAGTCATTACTTGCAAGGAGTCAACACCGACAGAAAAGAAGTCTGTATCCGGTTCGAGTTTCTCAACCCCAAGGTTGGTGACAAAGACACTGATGATAGATCCCGTCAAGGCGTCGTCGTTGTTGAAGTCAAGGGTGATGGATGGACCATCTCCAAGCATCTCAGCCTTCTGATACAAAGCCGCAATGAAGTCAGCGTACAGGTTGACAGTCTTACCACGCTGCACAGTGCCCTTGTCAGCGCGAGCAAACGGTAAAGCAGGGTCAGCAAAAGCGACAAGATTCGCGGCGATTCGTCCGTGAGCCACGGTTTCAGCATTAGCCTTCTCAATTGCCGGCCAGATCTTGTCGAGCAGAGCCTTCGTCTCAGTCTCGTCTTTCGGTTGGGCCTCCGCGATAGGCTCGATGATGAGAGCTGCCTGAAACATTCCCTGACCGACGACAAGAGCTGATTTGACGAGAGGATGGTCCGAGACGATTCCTTCAATCGTAAGTGGATTCAGCTTCTCACCATTCGAAAAAACAATGATGTCATCGGCCCGACCTTTGTATAGCCAGTGATCCTTGAGCGTTGGGTGAGGTTCAAAAATGTCGTTGGTACGCCATTCGGATAATTCAGGGAAGTTGTAGAAACATCCTTGCGAGCCAGGATCCGATGCCTTGCGACGGACTACAAGCTCATACTCATTCGAGGCATGGCGTTGCCAGTCAATGTCCATGGCTTCAGCGTCAAATATGAAGTATCGCCACAGTTTGGGGTCTTGGGGACTGTAAGGAGCCAAAGGAAACAGTCTTGGTTTCATTAGTCTCCGCGCTAAGTCAGTTCAAGGGGATGCTTACTCAGTTGATGAAATGACGTTCCTCAAGACGACACCCCTCTCTGCTAACCTGTTCCCGGCCTCGGTTGACAGGCTCCCTATACAAATGTCAGCAACACACACAGGTATTAGAGACTATGCTGACTCACCTCCGCCAGTAATAACGAGTTTGAGCTTGACCAAAGCCTCCGTACCCTCTTCAGTAGCTGCTAATTCATCGATAACAGAAGGGGGCAGCATCGTGCCATCGGCACCACTGTGGTTCAGGTAATCCATGGCTGTATCGACATTCAAAGGCTGATTTGGGAACGGCATAACCGCAGAGAGACCCGTGTATATGAAGCTTAGAGGGAGATACGTTCCTGCAGCATGATACATGGGCATCCCCATCAAGATCTTGTTCGCCCGTTCGGCCCACTCATTGAATATATATGAAGAACCATGAAACTTGGGCAGGTTGAGACACTCTTCAAAGGCGTACAAGATACCTTGTTTCAAGAAGACAGGCTTGGGGACTCCAGTGGAACCACTTGTATGAAGAACAACAAGGGGGTCCCATCGCGCCTGTTCGATAGTTCTGCTGTAGGGAAATGGCGTGGGAGTTGCTGTCAGGAGATGATCAATACTCTCGATCATGGCCACTTCCATTGTTCGTTGATCGACACAAGGCTGCATGGCCGATCTGAACGACTCGGTTGTGTAAAGATATCGACAATCCGTAGCTTCGAAAAGGGAGAGCTGAACGGCGGGGGTGTTTCGCGGAGAGATAAAGAGGGCCTTACAACCAGCTTTGACACAAGCTATCAGAATAGCCGTGTATCGAAAGTCGTTAGGGCCGATATATGCCACGGTTGGGACTTCGTCATCTGAGGATTTGGTAACGGTTTTGGAGATGTCGTGGGCGAGGTAGTCGACGGCGTTTGCGAGTTGGAGGAGGGTTACTGGTTTCCATCCGTCTTGAGGATTAGAAGACGATGGAGTATAGGTAAAGACCCTCTCAGGATCGTTTGTGGCAATCTCGTGGACTAGGTCGACCAGGACATGATGTTTGACATTCGAGTTGCTGATGATATGACCCTTCTCGATGGCATTATCGCCTTCGTTCGACGCACCGCCCGAAACGGGGGCATCGTAGTGTTCAATGTCAGATCGCATAGCCATTTTCGATAATATTAATGATAATAGAGAAGAGTTGGTAGTAGATGTGTTGAGTGCTGTGTAAGATTGATTGCTTGATATTCTGATAAGACTGATTTCCCGGATCACAACGACACAACGTCAGGATATAAATATCGGAGGAATATTTCTCGTACGGATATACATCCATCATAGCCCCAATTCCGCTTCTTAGCGTATCGGGCCGTGAATGGTGGCTAAAATAGCGGCATACAACTCGCGCGGATTTTCCACGGACGGCATTGCTGCCACACGGAGATTGGGGATCTGCATTTAGCCCAGTGAGTGCCGATTCAGCCGTACAAGGGGTCACTATTTAGTCCATATTCTCCGAGAACTGTACGAAAAAGGCTGTATTCCGACACATATCAGTTTCATATATCCCTCAGCGAGATAGCGAGATTCTTTAACCGTTTTAATCCCGCTGTGTTTCGTCACTGAATACGTACTTTTGATAGATATTAGTCCGTCAAAGGGGTGAAAGCCCCATAATTTCCACTTATTGTGTCATTCTCGATGTGTTGTTAGTCTGGTCAGTTTCCTTGAAATTCATCTCGCTTGGACCCTTCTCCGTGTAGATCTTCAGCACCAAATCGGAGTATCGGTGCTGTACAACAGCCGAGATGGAGACAGTCTGCCGCATCGGTATTCGTAGAAGCCGACTGAAAGGGCAGAATGCAGATCATCAAGTATTCGCCGCGTGTTGAAGCCATAAAACGGATAAGTCGGTTTCGTGGCCCACTTCATGTTATCGGTATCGAAATAACGAGTGACCGATGTCTGCTTTTGGCTAAATGTATCTTGCGTATGTGGCACTGTTCTAGAAGTGCGGTTTGCATCTTAAACTCGAAGCAATGAGGCGCTTGGATGGTAGTATTGGCTACAGGAATTATACGTTGCATCAAACTGTATCTCGAGTTTAACTCTATTCTTTGAACTTTAATATATTAAAACTGCCTTGAAAGAGAAGTCGCATCTTGGTAAGGAAAGAGAAAATTGCTTAATATTTAGTATTAATCTTCCTCTTGCCATGTACTTTGCACTTTGCTCAGCTTTTCAACCCGTAAGGCCAATCAGTGATCATTGATTCTTCGTGTAACCCTCTATGAGGCTTGCGGCTGAAAAATGGCCGTGTGAAGGCCCAATCACTTGAAGCATTTGACTATTTATAGAATCGTGCATTGAAGCTGAGAAATTCAAATTAACTATTTCTATTCTTGCTCTGCCTTATCTCTCTCACTTCAATTTTGTCTCTGTGCAACTTCTCCCGCACGCATATTGCTCAGGCACCAAAACTTACCCTAGGCAGATTCGAGCAAGATCCTCTGAGAATGGACTGTTCGCCAGAGAGGCTTGAAAGACTTGTTTCTGATGAAGACGTCGAATTTGACGCTGATATCGCTGGGCCAGGAGTAAGTGGCACGCAATTGGCATATGGCCAACTAACGGCGATTAGGTACTAGCTGCTTTCCTTGTCACGTCGTTGATAGCACTAGCGACTCTGATTCTGGCATTTCTTACAATATCAGTGCCTGAGCGTCTTCTAAACTCTGGAGACGACGTAATCGCTGCTGGGGCGCGTCGGATTTACCACCGATTGAGGTTTCTCAACACCAAACGCCCAAACACCAAACCCCCCAAGGTTGACCAAAGCAGAAGCGAGCGGGTTCATGCTTTCATGACCTTCATGGTCGCTATAAGTGATCAAATCCTTGTCTCTCAAGCCTCCATCCTAATCGCCGCTCTTATCATTCACGACGATATCACCATATATTCAAGCAATATTGTGATCGCCCTGGGGTGTCTCGCGTCGACGGTTCACTTGGGTAGTTTTCCATTTTATATAGACCGCATTAAAGACCATAGAACCGCCAAGCTTATTCGTGTCCTTGCTATGGTCGCCGGCTCTGGAATGCTCGTCTTCCTGCTCGTTATACAACTATCGTACACCTGGGATATGGAGTCCCACGTCTACTTCATTTGCGCCCTTCGGGACTATCGGATGAGTGAGGAGATGGCAGGTATGGACGTAATCAATCTCCTCATTGGGATGTTTGTTCCACTAGCAGTGCTTTATGGCACGTATGAGATTATTCAGCTTCTGTATCGCGACCAGCCAGTTGAAGATAACCCCAATGAACCTGGTTCTAGGGGCGAGCCCCCTCATGCACGACAAAATAGATCGCATCTTGATGATCAGGAGCTCTCAGAGAATGGGGGTATTGAACTTCAAAACCTTGCTAGGTTAGAAGACCAAGCCAATCCAGAGAGCTATCGGGATACTAGCGGTATAGAAGTCGAAAGTCAGGCGATCGTTTCCATTCTGCAGCTGATCTCAGACAGCAACAGAGAGATGATGACAGACAACGAGGCGGGCTATCAACATCAAAGATTCATATTGTTGAGGCCAAGAGGCGCAAAGATTCAATTCAGAGAGCTACTGAATGAGATCAAAGAGTCTAAACGGGAGAGACTCCTGAACAAATGGCTGAAACTTAAAGCTCTCACGATCTTGACCTCGAAGAGAGTGTCGACAAGAAAGCTCAGACTCCTTATGAGATTGACAGATGAAACATGGGCATTCCACCAATGTCGGGGATCCTTCGCCTGGAGATTATTCTGGCTCTGGTCAGGTAATGTCTACGGGATCGTGACCATTTTTATTTCGAGAGCTGTGACAACAGGCATGTCAGGCAATCCCAACACGATGGGATTTGGCCAGGTTGTGCCGCTAACGTTGCTTACTCTCCCGATATTTGCGGCCATGGAGGGCCGCGCTGGTAATTCTCACTTATCACTCTACCCTTGACGGTACTCTCTGACATTAAAGGCAGACTATAAGCAAAAACTAAAGTCAATTGACAAAGCTCATGCTGATCAAGCGATTCTCGAAACACCGGTTACTGGGAACACACGGTCTCAATCAAGACATCAATCTCCTGCTCAAAGACATAACATACCTGCAAAGAGAGAGATTTTAAGGATACAGACCGTACAAGAGATCCTTAAGAAGCGTTCCAAAGATATTGGATACCCGGAGCTTTACGATTGGTTGACAGGAGACGATTTGGCCTCCGCACCGAGTCTCCAGATGGGTGTTGCGCTTCATGTAGCAGTCATGTTTATGATTGCAACTCTACTCGGCTTTTCGATGGCTTATGGTATAGCCAGTATCAATATTACATTGATCGTGCTTCTGTTTCTTCTTGCCGCTCGCAGGCTCATAGGCCTCTCGTTGGTTGTTCAGGATTTGGGATCGTGCCCCATGATCCTCGATCATCTTGGTTGCTCGAATCATTTAACTCGACAACAACTTGGAAGTCACGGTGAGAGAATGGCCATAGGTCAGGCGACTGGAGATGCTGGGGAGGATATAGAAGAGGAGGAAGGGCAAGAAGCGTAAATAACAGTGCTCTTAGACCAGCGATAGATTTAAGTATTATATTAAAATATAGTATTATGTTAAAAATTATTATATATTAATCTTATA